TGTGCGATCTGGCAGGTTTTCCCAACCGTAAATCACGAGTTCTTGGCCACGTTAATAGCTCGGACCCCAAGACACCAGGTATGCATCGCCCACAGCGTGGTAACCAATCCGGTGTGCCCGTCACGGCCCAAAGGTTCTCACGGCCTGTGCTGGCCAGTGCATTAACATGCCTAAGCATTTCATTTTAATTACCTGGCCCTCCTCGATGGGACCAAACCCAGGTAAAGTTCACTTGGGGTCGTAACACCCCCACCCTTCAAGAAATTAATTCGCCACCACATGGTGAATTAATTGAACATCTCTTACTAGACAACCATACCAATCTCACAATTCCTCAAAAGTCCCAGAATAAACCTAAATGGGACTAAATCCATTTAACATAATCATTACTAAAAAGATAAGAAACGTGGATGATTTAGTCACAATAACAAGTTTGACTAAATACCCCAAACACGATGTCATCAAACATAGACATCAAAGTAAATAAAACAGCAAATCTGCAACACATGTGTCACTGTCGCAAATAATGCTAAGATTGAAAACCAACAGTCTTCGTTTTACTGATAGTTACGTCATCAGTCAACAAAACTTGTCAATACAATTAAAAACTGTCACGAATTCATCATCATGTAAAACATCAATAACACATTTTTTTTTCAAACAAGGCATGTATAAGGGTACATTCTTTAAGCCTGAAAACAGTTCATTTTGATTAGAACACTTGCATCCTGGGAAAACATGAAACAATCTATCTTGGGAACAGTTCTAATACGTTTGAAACACAAATTAGTTTTCCGTCTTTCGGGTCATCATGAGTCCGTAAACATAAAACTTAAGCCGAACTTTATAACGGCGCAGCACAAATTTAGTAACAGAGTTATTGTCCGTCCACACCAATATCGACTCGCACATAAGGCGTGGTTTCACAGGACTGCTTGCACTAATGTAGCCATGTTTTGACACGATGTTAATCCTGAACATCCAGTCACACAAAGAGGGAACGAGTACACGCCCCGTCTCCGTGAAAGCAATGGGGTGTGCGCTCGCTTGTACGCACCCTCGGTTGAGAGAAGTAGCGTGACCCGCTGAGGTCACCGTCTCCGGGTTGTTGGTTTTGACCGGGTCGGTCAGAGAACAATAAATCACCTCCGTGATAAGGGGAGGGAAGCCTGAGTTAGGCTCAACTCCTAAACAAGAGGTAACAACTACGCTTGTCACCGACGTTGACAAAAGATTCGTCGTCTCCTCAAACTCGGGATGTAGAACACCATCCGCGTGACCTCCAGGTGAGGTCATGGCCTCCAGGTTGCTGGTCTTGACCGGGTCGGTCAGAGAACAATAAATCACCTCCGAGATAAGGGGAGGGAAGCCTGAGTTAGGCTCATTTCCTAAACAAAAGGTAACGACTTTGCTCGTCACCGCTGACAAAAGATTCACCGTCTCCACGATCTCTGGATGTAGAACACCATCCACGTGACCTCCAGGTGAGGTCATGGCCTCCAGGTTGCTGGACTTGGTCGGGGAGAAATCAAATACTGCTGGGATCATGGGAGGACAGCCCGTGTTAGGCTCACCTCCAAGACAATGGGTAACGATTCCGTCCGTTACCGATGCTAGCAGAAGAGTTGTTGACTCGTCTACCCGAAGGTGTGGGTCACCATTCACATGACCTCCAGTTAAGGTCATGACGCCTTCAAGACCACAAGTGGTAAGGTCTTGATCAGATGCAGTTACTGGTTCAGGTTCAGACGAGGACAGCCTGTTCTCATGGGTATTCACTCTCTCGGTGGTTACCGTGATTTCAGCGGTGGTTGTAACCACTGGTTCTGATATTGACTGCCCCTTTTCATGACTGGCCAATATCAGAGTGTTCGCCGTGGTATCATCGGTGGTTATATCCACTGGGTCAGATATTGACAGCCCCTTTTCATGACTGGTCAACATCAGAGTGGTTGCCGTTATTTTATCTAAACCAATAACTTGCTGACTGCCTTCAGTACTTGTCGGCACACAACTCTCGACTCGTAAGCTATCAGCACGTTTTGACGTTTGTGCTGGTTCTGCTAGGTTAGAGTCGACTTCAGGGACTGAGCCAAAGCTAGTGGCAGCCTTAGTCTGAGACTGACAAAACTCACTACCTACTCTATCAGACAACAAACTATCTTCATCTCTATACCGATCCTCGGAAACTACTACACTAGCCTGAGAGAAAACAGAGACAGATTCTGGAAAGTCAAACAACCCACTAAGATGCGCCTCCTCCCATAGCCTAAGTAAATCCCGTTCCCTCCTGATCTCCAATAGTTTAATTTCATGTCCGAACAGTTTCTCTAAACTTTTAATGTTAATTTCCTTCCAAGATTCTGACATGAATATATCCCTCCTGATCTCTAACAACTTATCCTCTTTTTCTCTCGCGATCTCTAACATCTTAACTTGAAACTCTCTCTCAATTTCTTCAACCCTAATTCGTCCTATCTCATAATATTCTATCGAGTCTAGACACTCCTCCTCTAATCTACCTGTATTTACTAACTCAACACAAATATGATCTCGTAGAACTCTATCTCTATCCGAGACATCAACCTCTAGTCCTAGCTCCTCAACTAGACGCAACAACTCTACGCGACAAAACCTGTCTAAAACTTCTAGAGTTGGACACTCCATAAAACTCATTACGTCCATGATTCACACTTACGGAACTTATCAAGCTAAATGGTGGCGGTTAACTAACAAAATGTGGCTCTCACAAAAAACAACTTTAACTTAAACATTAAAAGTACGGCTATCACCTTTGACACTTGAAACAGGTAGACACCAGCTATACTGGGCCAACCAAACTAAGATATCCAGCTACACTGGATCACAAACGATTCACTCACGTATACTGGGAATTGACCCTCCAGCTATACTGAGCAAACCAAATAAAAATTACGAATTTATTCACGTACCTGGGAATGACCCTCCAGCTGTACTGAATAAACCCGAACACTCCAGTTCCACTGGACCAAACAAAAATATTCGAGTATACTGGGCATTAATCCCTCCAGCTATACTGAATAAAAATAAAAATTCCAGCTCTACTGGACCAACATAAAAACTGCATAATAAACTCAGTGTCAATACAAAGGTGATAAGCTCGCTACTTACTCAATGTTTGGAAAACTCTCCTGATTCCGTGAACAACTTTACTCTCACTACTCATAAAACTTAAAACTAAAACACAAGCTCGTGAGCCCCCAACTGAAAATGGCATCAAAAGAAACTATTCAACTCGTTGTCTGTCCTATCCCGGACTCTAGCCGCCAATTGTTACGTCCCCCCTTCTCTAATCCTTTCGAACTAGTCAGGGGATCGTAAACAAGAAGAAGAAAAATAAAAATAAATAAATGCCAACTTCAGTAATCTCTATTTATTCGCCACAAAATACAACATCTAACATTAACCCGCCACCGAAGTACAACAATCAGAAATATACACAACTAAGTACTACAACTACAGTCCTTAATTTGACTAATCTACTTGTCCCTAACCGTCTAGCCTAGCCTAAGTCTAAAACATGTCGTGGCTTTCCACTAGCTCACAGAGACGACCCCATGTCTGTCTCCCCTAAACCTAGCTATCCGAGACGTCCGTCCGTCTCCGTGTGTGTGTCGAGAGTGTCTGTCGAGAGTGTCCCCCTAGTCTCCGGTCTACCCTCCTAAAGTACTCAAGTCGTCCCTCGCTAGTGTGGGAACCTTGTTAATCGAGCCTGACCCCCAGGTCAGGTCAGGTCAGGACATGACCGTCCATCTCGGCCCTGTGCGATCTGGCAGGTTTTCCCAACCGTAAATCACGAGTTCTTGGCCACGTTAATAGCTCGGACCCCAAGACACCAGGTATGCATCGCCCACAGCGTGGTAACCAATCCGGTGTGCCCGTCACGGCCCAAAGGTTCTCACGGCCTGTGCTGGCCAGTGCATTAACATGCCTAAGCATTTCATTTTAATTACCTGGCCCTCCTCGATGGGACCAAACCCAGGTAAAGTTCACTTGGGGTCGTAACAATATATATATATATATATATATATATATATATATATATATATATATATATATATATTATTGTTATTAAAATGTTATTTTTATTTTATATAACATGGAGGTTATTGATTGTGGCTTGTAAAATCAATTTCTAGACAATTTAATATAATAAAGCTAAGGTGCTGCAAGTAAATGAAGAGTTTTCATTATTTACATCTAAATTTGTTATAGTGGGGAGGGAGAGGTTTTGAGAGTTCAAAGGGCTCGACACACTGGGTTGGTCAAACTGTTTTGTTGTGTTTTGTGAGCACTGCTCATGTATAGTTTGTCGTGAGTTGTTGACAATAATATTTTTAATCAATCGTGTTTTTTTTTACTATACTCTCGTATTTAGAATATAACTCAACACTATTCAATTTTCGTAATCATACATACATGAGAGTGCGGAATAAAACAATGACAGTAGTGGCCAAAACTTTAGAAACATAAATAGATAGATCGATGCGAGTGGTGGATTTCGGGGTTGTGGGGTGGGGGCAGGCGTGGTGAGTACGTCAGAGCAATATAATTTATTTTTTTAAAAGAGATTGACGAATATGAGTTCGCAAATAAAGTAACTTTGTGCTATATGTTACTTGAGTATGTTTTAAACGTAGCTTTCACTATCTAATGTATTAAAAAATTAAAATAGCTAACGCTTTTCAATTTAATTTTTTTAAAATGATTATTCTTAAATGTATAAAATACAGATATGTTACCATATTTATATTAAAATTTTCAAATGTATAGCGATCTACCAAATTAATTTTACCACATTAAATAATGGTGAATTTCTACGTTTTTTTTAACTACTTTTGATAACATAGTTATAGGTTGTTTCCCTTTGTATTTCAAAATTAGAAGTCGCAAACAAATGTATAAGTTAAATACATATAAATTCACTCCATGTTTTGTTTTGTTTTTTTTTCGTTTCGCAGATGTCTCGCTTCAGTTGTGTGCGTTGTGGCTTTTGTTTTGATCGGGGTTCAAGGTCACGAATTCCAGCCCGACGATGCCAAGTTGATCCTGAAGCAACACAATGAGTACAGACGGCAGGAGTCAGCAGCCGACATGTACCAGATGGTGAGTAGTTGGTGAGAGATTTTAATCAGGTGGTGAGTAGTTGGTGAGACATTTTAATCAGGTGGTGAGTAGTTGGTGAGACATTTTAATCAGGTGGTGAGTAGATGGTGAGAGATTTTAATCAGGTGATGAGTAGTTGGTGAGACATTTTAATCAGGTGGTCAGTAGATGGTGATACAGTTGACCCAGATGGTGAGTAGTTGGTGAGAGATTTTAATGAGGTGGTGAGTAGCTGGTGAGAGATTTTAATCAGGTGGTGAGTAGTTGGTGAGAGATTTTAAACAGGTGGTGAGTAGTTGGTGAGAGATTTTAATCAGGTGGTGAGTAGTTGGTGAGAGATTTTAATCAGGTGGTGAGTAGTTGGTGAGAGATTTTAATCAGGTGGTGAGTAGTTGGTGAGAGATTTTAATCAGGTGGTGAGTAGATGGTGAGACATTTTAATCAGGTGGTGAGTAGTTGGTGAGACGTTTTAATCAGGTGGTGAGACATTTTAATCAGGTGGTGAGTAGTTGGTGAGAGATTTTAATCAGGTGGTGAGTAGTTGGTGAGAGATTTTAATCAGATGGTGAGTAGTTGGTGAGACATTTTAATCAGGTGGTGAGTAGTTGGTGAGACGTTTTAATCAGGTGGTGAGTAGTTGGTGAGACATTTTAATCAGGTGGTGAGTAGTTGGTGAGAGATTTTAATCAGGTGGTGAGTAGCTGGTGAGACATTTTAATCAGGTGGTGAGTAGATGGTGATACAGTTGAATCATAGTAGATGGTGATACAGTTTTATATGATGGTGAGTAGTTGGTGAGAGATTTTAATCAGGTGGTGAGTAGATGGTGATACAGTTGAATCATAGTAGATGGTGATACAGTTTTATATGAAGGTGAGTAGTTGGTGAGACATTTTAATCAGGTGGTGAGTAGATGGTGATACAGTTGAATCATAGTAGATGGTGATACAGTTTTATATGATGGTGGTGAGTAGTTGGTGAGAAATTTTAATCAGGTGGTGAGTAGATGGTGATACAGTTGAATCACAGTAGATGGTGATACAGTTTTATATGATGGTGAGTAGTTGGTGATACAGTTGAATCACAGTAGATGGTGATACAGTTTTATATGATGGTGAGTAGTTGGTGAAACAGTTGAATCAGGTGGTGAGTAGATGGTGATACAGTTTTATCTGATGGTGAGTAGTTGGTGAAACATTTTAATCAGGTAGTGAGTAGATGGTGATACAGTTTTATATGATGGTGAGTAGTTGGTGATACGGTTGAATCACAGTAGATGGTGATACAGTTTTATCTGATGGTGAGTAGTTGGTGAAACAGTTGAATCAGGTGGTGAGTAGATGGTGATACATCTGAATCTGGTGATGAGTAGATGGAGACACATTTTATAAGATGGTGAGTAGATTGTGATATATTTGAATCAGACGGCGTTACATTACGAATTAGATGTTTAGTAAATTTGGTGATACGTGGTGACACGCGCCACGTGTGGGTCTCAGTTCACAACTTCATTGAATCACCTTTGTGGCGGACATAGCCTCGGGCTCTACACGCGACTCACAAGGTAACTGAAACAGTTTCACTCTACTTCATCTGGCACATGTATCATAGGCACGAAAAGAATATATATATATATATATATATATATATATATATATATATATATATATATATATATATATATATATATATATATATATATATATATATATATGTGTGTGTGTGTGTGTGTGTGTGTATATATATATACATACATACATACCTACATACGTATATATATATATACGTATATATATACATATATACGTATATATATATCTCCATATATATATATATATACATGGATCTAGTTTGTACGGGCGTCAGTGTGTCTGGTACCCGCACGTTCATCAGGTACTATCTCCAGTTGGCGGCGGAGATGAAAGACGATGTGTCAGGGGCGTATCTTTATTGGCTCGCTAATGGGGAGAATTAGCTCGGTTAGAGGCCGCGGACAAATATAATCGGTGTCACCGCGCAAGCTAGGTGCGCAATAAACCGCGTGCGGTGATGCTAATAATATATTTAAAGGGGTAAGGGAGGAAACCCCTTTAAATAATCATAGTTGAGTAATTTATAATTATATAATATTTGATAAAACATGTTGTCATATGGACGATTACAAGAAAAATGAGCAAATGGAAAACTACGCAACGAAAAACTGCACAAATACACGCAAATACAAAAATTGATACTATTACACTTTAATTTTGTCATATTTCGTGGAGAAGTATTTTATTTTGCTACAATGTACATGTGGTCATTCTTTGTTAATGTCTATAGGGCTGGTAAGTAGGTCACCAACCAGTTCTACGGCTCAATAAAACCTGCATGAGCCATAGAACTGTTTATTGACCTACTTACTAGCCCTATATTTGCTTGATTTAAGAAAACTAAAAATACCCTTGCGTACTTTTATGTGCGCAGTTTTCCGCTCACCCACAAGGACATACCTAAGGAATCTCCATACACGACATCATACACCAGATTTTTGTGACTATTTAGAGCCTACTAAGCGTACCAAATGATCAATTTTAAAAAATGTGGCGTAGAATATATTTTGTATTTCTTAAGGAAGAAGAGGAAAAACGTATTGATTATTTATAAAGTATTCATTTTGTTTTGAATATATGTAAGGGTGGGGGATTTTGGAAAGGTGGGCAGAACTTCGACAGAACTTTGCAATATCATTTTCTACGTTTTCGGGAAGTTTTCTGGAGATTTTGTGTCGAAAGAGGGGAGTGGGAGGGCTGGTGACCAATGGCTAAAATCGCGTGCCAGTATAATCTTACGAGTGGTGTTGGTGATTACGTTGTTGTATCTTGTCTTAATAATCTTTTGCCATACTTAAAATATTTATAACAGTTTTTCCTATACGTGTGCACTTTTATGCTCTGATTTATGGATAGGCCCACAGTAGTAAAGTGCGCCAAGATGTAGTTACAATTTTCTCAAAAAGTTCTTAGATATGTTACGTGATTTTTTTTTCAACAGTGCACTGTTATGCGAATGCCGTCTTGAAATTGTGTTAGCATGAGGATATGTTTTCAAAAGTGCAAGAAGATTATATTCTAGAAGCGTGGGTGTTTGCGGAACTAATGTATACTAGAACACAGACGCAACAGTGTCCGTACGAAGATGCTATTATATTACTACGCAGAAGGAAATATATCAGTATATAGATCTAGTTTTATTAGTGCGTACATTCACTTTATTAGTATACAGAAGTAAATTTATGAGTGCGCATATGTAACTTATTGGTAGAAACAATTGCATTAATATGTAGACGCTACTATATTAATACGCAGATATATCTTTATTTGTAAGCAGATACAAATCTATTAGTACATAGATGCAACTTTATTAGTATGCAAATGCAACTCTATTAGTACGCAGATCCAACTCTATTAGTACGCAGATCTAACTGTATTAGTACGCAAATGCAACTCTATTAGTACGCAGATACAAATATTTTAGTACGCAGACGCAAACTCTATTAGTACGCAGATGTAACTCTATTAGTACGCACATGCAACTCTATTAGTACGCACATGCAACTCTATGCAGACGCAAACTCTATTAGTACGCAGATTTAACTCTATTAGTACGCAGATGTAACTCTACACAGATGCAACTATTAGTACGCAGATGCAACCTCTATTAGTACGCACATGCAACTCTATGCAGATGCAACTGTATTAGTACGCAGATGCAACTCTACACAGATGCAACTCTATTAGTACGCAGATTCAACTCTATTAGTACGCCCATGCAACTCTATGCAGATACAACTCTATTAGCACGCACATGCAACTGTATTAGCATGCAGATTCGACTGTATTAGTGCGCACATGTAACTCTACGCAGATGCAACTGTATTAGCACGCATATGCAACTCTATGCAGATTCAACTGTATTAGTACGCACATGCAACTGTATTAGCACGCAGATGCAACTCTATGCAGATTCAACTGTATTAGTACGCACATGCAACTCTATGCAGATTCAACTGTATTAGCACGCAGATGCAACTCTATGCAGATTCAACTGTATTAGTACGCACATGCAACTCTATGCAGATTCAACTGTATTAGCACGCACATGCAACTCTATGCAGATTCAACTGTATTAGTACGCACATGCAACTCTATGCAGATTCAACTGTATTAGCACGCAGATGCAACTCTATGCAGATTCAACTGTATTAGCACGCACATGCAACTCTACGCACATGCAACTGTATTAGTACACATGCAGCTGTCCTGGCGAGCAGATAATGCGATATGTTGGTGGCAACCCAGCCTTCCAAGGCCACTCTTATCTTTAATTTTGAACAAAGTTTTTTTATCTGGCCAATCTGGCACCCAGCATCTCACGCTCCGTGGCATCTGACTCTGATAGAAAATAATTTAGTTTGGTTTTAAGGAAGTTCGGGGATAAGGAATTTATTTTTGGCTTAAAATATGGAATTTTTGTTTTGGTTTTTTTTTCTTCGCTAGAAATATTATTTCATTAAATGATATCAGATGAGCAGTTATGGAGATCATTATATGGAAAGTGTATTGCATTAGTTGGAGGTGGGGAGGGAAAATGAGGGAGAAAATTGCTTATTATGGGGGAAAATAAAAACAGTTCCTGTTTTTATTTACTGCAGACCAGTCATGCGTAATGATGAGTTTGTCTATTTGCATGGTCATAGTTTATGCCGGCATTGTGTGTTCCGCACAAGAGCTTTACGTGATCAGTTAGAATCTAAGACCACCAACTGAGGTTCGCTCGCTTTACAACGTAACCCATCATAAATCAGCTGTTGATGAAACTTTTTGATTTATTATGGTTTTGTTTTTGTTTGTTTGTTTGGTATTTTCAAAGAGTGGGTATAGTTGAAGATACGCTTTGAGAAGGTGACCCCAAGGTGACGTCTAGTGTAATAGGGTGTAGGTTGGGTGTTGGATGAGAATACTGGTTTAAGGGAAGTAGTAATACATAAATTGTGAACATTTTTAAACTATTCTTTTTCTTGAACTTGGTTCATTTTTAACACTTTTTTTTAAATAATTATTTTTTGCAACAAAACTCAGATTTAAACCCTCGATTGACATTTAGTGTCTGTTGACTATGTTATACCTGTGTTTACAATTAAGCAGGGAGGTAATCAGATAAGTGTTTGAGCATTACGCTCAGATAATGAGATACATCACTGATGCCTCAAGATGTTTTTTCCGGTTCCCGGACAAAACTATTTCAGGAAAGATTACTCTTGACAAAATATATCAGGATATTTTAGCCCGGGATGTTTTGCATGGACATTTTTTTTCTAGTCTATTTAGTTTTATCCTACCGGACTAAATAGTTGAAGTTAAATATTTTAAAATTCAATTACTTTTTTTATTCAATATTATGCATCCTTTGTCAATTTCCAAACTTTATTTGTTCTAAATGCGGGATTAACAACACTAACAATACTTTAAGTTTGACCCTATGGGTTTAGAAATAAGTTTAGGGTTTGGAACGCAGGATTTTTTCCGATAAAACTTCCTTTCGCATTATTAATGGACGAGAGAGAGCGCGCGTGGTCGGATTGTAGAGAACACAAGGGGTAATCCATAAATGACATCACGCTTTTTTTTGACGATTTTTACCTCCCACCTCCCCTCCGTCACACATCGTCACAAAAAGCCAGACCCCCCCCCCTAAAATGACGTCAAATGACGTCACACCTCAGTCTACAACCCCCCTCAAAATTGCAGTTGAATTTTTTTATAATGCAAAAATGTGACGTCGCAACATCTGAACCCCTCCCCCTCATCACACACCGTCACAAAATTACGGACCCCCCCTCCCCCCTACGAGTGTGACGTCATTTATGGACGACCCCCAACTTCTAACCCGTAAGTCTTAAGTTCAGATCCCGGGCTCTAGTTCGTCGGACCTCTAAGAGTCTATCCACCTCCGATGGGTACCTGACTCACGGAAAACAAAGACGTCAGGGCACAGTCCTGGCCACACTATCCCTTCACATGCCGAGGTCACAGAAACATGAACAGTGTTTATTTCAGACTTTTTTTCTCCGGGGGGGGGAGCATTTGAAATTTTCGGGGGGCGGTAGACTATCTTCGGGTGGTGGGCGGACACTGTTAAATGTATATATTTTCTATATAAATTCCATTTCGTTCGGGGGGCGGTAGACTTTTTTCGAAGAGATGCCTGGAAGAAACTCTGAACATGAATTCTACTTCATGGAATCACCAGATCCGAAACGGTAACTCTACTTTTTTTTTTAAATTATTGGCGAGTTCTCGTTCCTGTTCTTACAGTTCTGGAACGTGAGCCTGCAGCAGAGGGCCGACAACTGGGCGAGGCGCTGCCTCTTCAAGCACGAGCGTAGCCCGGATGTGGGGGAGAACCTATTCTTCGACACGGACCACCAGAACGGCGTCTACAGCCGGGGCTTGAAGGCGTGGTACGACGAGAAGACCAACTGGGGGTACACGGACCAGGGGTGTCGTGGGACCTGTCACTACACTCAGGTCAGTGGGGGTACACGGACCAGGGGTGTCGTGGGACCTGTCACTACACTCAGGTCAGTGGGGGGGTACACGGACCAGGGGTGTCGTGGGACCTGTCACTACACTCAGGTCAGTGGGGGTACACGGACCAGGGGTGTCGTGGGACCTGTCACTACACTCAGGTCAGTGGGGGGGGGGGGTACACGGACCAGGGGTGTCGTGGGACCTGTCACTACACTCAGGTTAGTGGGGGTACACGGACCAGGGGTGTCGCGGGACCTGTCACTACACTCAGGTCAGTGGGGGGGGGGGGTACACGGACCAGGGGTGTCGTGGGACTTGTCACTACACTCAGGTTAGTGGGGGGTACACGGACCAGGGGTGTCGTGGGACCTGTCACTACACTCAGGTCAGTGGGGGGGGGTACACGGACCAGGGGTGTCGCGGGACCTGTCACTACACTCAGGTCAGTGCAGGGTGGGGGCTGGGCTGCGGGTTTAGGGCTACGTTTTTCTTTTACTAAAGGCAGGGTTGAGGGTGGATAGGTGGGGTTTAGTTTGAAGGCGGCGGGTCATTAGACATATAATTGTAGTACTGAGGGTAGTTAAATGAGGATGTAGTTTAAGGGCGCCGGGTTATTAGATATTGTATTGCACTGAGGGTGGCTAGGTGGGCTGTGGTTTAAGGGCTCGGACTTAGTTCTGATTGTGACATAGTGGGGTGTAATTTAAGGGCGCCGAGTTAATAAACATAACTTAGTACTGAGTGTGAGTAAGTAGGGTGTACTTTAAGGGCGTCTATTTATTAGACAGTTAATACTGAGGGTGGCTAGGTGGGGTGTAGTTTAAGGGCTTCGAGTTATGACGTCGAGACTGAGGATGGTTTCGTGGAGTGTAGTTTAAGGTGCCAAATAATTAAACATGACTACTGTATGTGGCTATGTAGGGTGTAGTTTAAGGGCGCCGAGTTATTTAACATGACTTAGGACTGACGGTGTTTAGCTGGGGTGTATTTTTAAGGGCGCCGAGTTATTAGACATAACTGAGGGCAGTTAAGTCGAGTGTAGTTTAAGGGCGCCGAGTAATTAGATATAACAAAGTGGTAGTACTGATGTTGGCTAGGTGGGGTGTAGTTTAAGGACGCCAAGTTCATCATCATCATCATTCCTTTGTGGCCCCCTGGGGAGCAAAGGGCTGCAACTACACATTTCCAGCGGACTCGGTTTTGGGCTGCTCCCTTAATCTGTGCCCATGTGAGCCCAGCTGTTTTTGCCTCTTACAAGTTATTAGACATAAATTGGTACGGAGAATGACTAGGTGGGGTGATAATTTAGGGTGGAAATTTAGGCTTATCTTTTTCTGGTGCTCAAATAAATAGTGTAATATTTTACAGCTATGTTTCTATTACCATCCATTGTTTTAAAAATCACCATATATCCCCATATAAACAAACCTATCACCAGTCCTGCTCACGTCTCCTGTCGCCACTGTAGTGCCAGCACATTCTCCTTTTGATATTCCAGGTCGTCTGGTCGTACACAACCAACGTAGGATGCTCGGCCCACGTGTGCCCGAACCTGAACGTCGGAGGCCGGATGATCAAGAACGCCATGTACCTGGTCTGCTTCTACTATCCAAGGTGCGATTCTGTACGATCCGTTTTATAAAGAGTAGATTGTGTGCTCTGGCAGATGAGGCTCGTTAGTTAGGGACAGCCACTCTTCTAGGAGAGACAACTCCAAAATCAAACAACTGCTGCCTTGTAGTTTGTTCTTGGTTGGACAAAGGCTATGAAAGCAAATTCAAGAAAAGCAGGCTGAAATTGGAGTCATTGGCCTCAATGGCGCATAACCAGTTGACACGTATATTTAATTGTGTTGGAGGGGATCCCTTCTAAAACTAAAATTAAGAACGAAAAAGAAGAAGATTGTGTAGATGCACTACGTAATAATCTGTAAAGGCGAATGGGTATAGAACTGACCACAATTACCCTTTTTAAAAAGATGGAGAACAACGAAACAGGTGAACTCTACTTCCTCTGCCCTATTGACCGTCAGGTCCGAAATGAATATGTATTTGTCTGTAACAGATTAGTTTAAATTTCCATTTTTTTAAAAGGTTTAAGCTCCGAAAGTTAAAAACTATTACCAAAAAAAAAGAGGAGTAATAAAACAGTTTTCACCCCCAAATTGTAGTTAAATAATATGTTGTTTGTTTCAAAAGTTGAACAGAGTAACATTTTTTTTTAAACGAGACTTTTGGTTTTGAAGATTGTGCATGTATAAACTTACCGCTTTGGTTATTGTGAAAACTAGATGATATTAGTTTTACGGTATCTCTATGGGACGGCGTAGTCGATTGGCCTTATTTCTGTTGGACCAATCAAGTCAGCAGCTGTAATGAGTACCTGAACCGTCAGAGTAAAGTTAAGGTGGATAGGTATTAAGCCGATGTCAAAGATCTAAACGAACTCCACTTCTCCATTGGCAAACCACCAAACTGAAACGGAACTTTACTGACAATAGTACCCGGTCTGAGACCTGAGAACAGAAAAATGTTCTGAGCTTCTTACTTGACTCTTCCGTCTCCACAGAGGAAATTTTGTTGGCCACTTCCCGTACGCCAAAGGTCAAGCGTGTTCTGATTGTGCTGAGGGGGACACGTGTTTAGATGGGCTGTGTGTGTCGTCTGGTCCTGAATCCAAACTGGCGCCAGGTAACATGGGTCATTTAAGTCGTTAGACAGGTAACATGGGTCATTTTAATCGTTGGCTAGGTTGCAGGGGTCAATTTAATCATTGGCTAGGTACCCTAGTTAACTTAATCATTGCTCATATACACTGGTTAATTTAACCATTGACACGATACACTGGTCAGTTTAATAATTAGCCACTTAACACGAGTAATTTTAATCATTAGCCAGGTGCACTGGTTAACTTAATCATTGGTCAGATACCCTGGTACGTTTAATAACCACGTTGAATTTCATATTTTTCTCACTCATCATTTTATAAAGGTAAATTTATAAGCTAATCACTAAGTCAATCACCAGTTAGTTTATAAAGTGCCGACTGACAGTTTAATTACTGTATCATTTTAACCGTTAACCTATATCACACTTCATTTAATCATTGAATAGTTAACACTGATCTAGTTAATGAGCGCACTAATTAACAATAGCCTAATTATGTATTGCCATTTACTTTTAACCCGTCTCTGTTGATAAATTATTATTTTTAATTTTATGAACTGGATATGTTATTTTCTTTTTTAAGCTAATGAACTGGATAATTAGCTTCTTTTTAGTCTAATGAACATCATATGCTAGTTAATTATTTTTTTAATCTAATGAACTGGATATGCTAATTAATTTCTTTTTAATCTAATGAACGTGTTAGGCTAGTTAATTTCCTTTTTTAATCAAATAAACAAGATATGTTAATGAATTTCCCTTTTTTATCTAATAAACGGGATATCACACAACCCCGTCCTTAAGATTATCCCATCTTTCAAGCTCCAATAACTTGTAATTCCTATAATCCGATTTATGATGCGGTGCCTAATTCCAAACCCTTTCATCATAATAAGATACCACCATCTTCTGAAGAAAATTATGTTTATTAGTTTCATAAATCGCCATCAAGTATTATGAATACTCCTTTTTCGTTTTCCTATTATCTTCCGATAAGATACCTTCATCTTCTAAAGAAAAATTAAGTTTATTAATTTCCTAAAACGTCTTCACGCATTCATGAATACTCCTTTCGTTTCCCCATTATCTCACGATCCAACTTTTATAATAGCCGTATCTAAAAATAGCTCACCTACATTGATTTCTTATCAGTCGGTGCGTCTTTTATTCGGGTTCTTATAAAAGAAAAAACCAGCCTCCAAACGAGAAAGGAGAGTTATTTTTATTAATGTCGATTGTATAATTTTTTTAAAACGATGGCATCACAAAGAGGTTCGGGGGGGGGGGGGGGGAAGGAATGCATGCAGAATGCACCGGATGACACTAAGCGAGGTTGTGACACCTAATTAATCAACTTTAACGCTGCTTGCTTTATGTATAGGGGGGGGGGGGGTCGTCCATAAATGCAGTCACCTTTTTTAGACTATTTTTTACCTCATCTTCACAGAAACACATGGACCCCCCCCTCCCTCATGTTTAAAATGAAGTGAAATTCCTTTTCCTGAACCCACCCACCCTCCCTCACCCTCCTCCCTCCCTTTTTAACACGTTTTTAACACGTTTTTCTTAACTCAGCTTCGCGTTTGTTTGTTTGGTTGTTTGGATGTTTGTTGTTAAAATTGACATCGAAAATTAGCCCACTTCTGATTGCTCTAGAGACCTGAAATTTGGCATGCATGCTACTTTCGCCTAACAATTTCAGATGCAATCATAAAAACTAGCAATTAGTGACCGTAATTAGCTTAATTTAATTACGCCCCAAGGACCATAAAATTGAGGACATGATTTCTAAAGATACCGACAAGACTGGAGGCCTATTGACACAGTTACTTCGGCCCCAATCGATGTGAGCGCGCTGGCCGTGATCGTATAGTGGTTAGTACTTCGCGTTGTGGCCGCGACAACCCAGGTTCGAATCCTGGTCGCTCAAGATTTTTAGTCCGTGTATTTATAAACACTTTTTTAAAAACCACGTTTTTCATGTGTAGCAACGGACTAAAAAGGAGAAAATAAAATACTTTAAAAAAACTTTTTAAAAAACCACGTTTTTTATGTGTAGCAACGGACTAAAAAGGAGAACGGACACGGTAACACATTGTTAACGGTGACACGGTTGGTACGCTGGGCATGCTAAAATACACATAAACACGTTTTTCCTTAACTCAGCTTCGCGTTTATTTGTTTGTTTATGGGAGATTTGATCACGTGATTCGTGAGTAGATCTCCACGCCAGCAACGTAAATTACACCCTTTCTCTGTTTAAAGCGTATCGGTCGCTCAAGATTTTTTTAGTCCGTGTATTTAAAAACACTTAGTCAAGTCATACTTAATCAAGTGATTAGATAAAGTAGAAAATAAACTATATAAAAAACTTTTTAAAAACCACGTTTTTCATGTGTAGCAACGGACTAAAAAGGAGAAAATAAAATAGTTAAAAAAAACGTTTTAAAAAAAACACGTTTTTCTTGTGGACTAAAAAGTAAAAAATAAATTTTTCTTGTGTGCTTCCTCGAGCTGTGCGGGTTCTTGTGATGACTGACAAAAAACGTGGGTCGGGCAGATGGGTCGGGAAATTTGATGGTGAACGTACCCACGTTTTTTGTCAGTCATCACAAGAACCTGCACAGCTCGAGGAAGCACACAAGAAAAATTTATTTTTTACTTTTTAGTCCACAAGAAAAACGTGTTTTTTTTTAAAACGTTTTTTTTAACTATTTTATTCTTAACTCAGCTTCGCGTTTGTTTGTTTGGTTGTTTGGATGTTTGTTGTTAAAATTGACATCGAAAATTAGCCCACTTCTGATTGCTCTAGAGACCTGAAATTTGGCATGCATGCTACTTTCGCCTAACAATTTCAGATGCAATCATAAAAACTAGCAATTAGTGACCGTAATTAGCTTAATTTAATTACGCCCCAAGGACCATAAAATTGAGGACATGATTTCTAAAGATACCGACAAGACTGGAGGCCTATTGACACAGTTACTTCGGCCCCAATCGATGTGAGCGCGCTGGCCGTGATCGTATAGTGGTTAGTACTTCGCGTTGTGGCCGCGACAACCCAGGTTCGAATCCTGGTCGCTCAAGATTTTTAGTCCGTGTATTTATAAACACTTTTTTAAAAACCACGTTTTTCATGTGTAGCAACGGACTAAAAAGGAGAAAATAAAATACTTTAAAAAAACTTTTTAAAAAACCACGTTTTTTATGTGTAGCAACGGACTAAAAAGGAGAACGGACACGGTAACACATTGTTAACGGTGACACGGTTGGTACGCTGGGCATGCTAAAATACACATAAACACGTTTTTCCTTAACTCAGCTTCGCGTTTATTTGTTTGTTTATGGGAGATTTGATCACGTGATTCGTGAGTAGATCTCCACGCCAGCAACGTAAATTACACCCTTTCTCTGTTTAAAGCGTGTCGGTCGCTCAAGATTTTTTTAGTCCGTGTATTTAAAAACACTTAGTCAAGTCATACTTAATCAAGTGATTAGATAAAGTAGAAAATAAACTATATAAAAAACTTTTTAAAAACCACGTTTTTCATGTGTAGCAACGGACTAAAAAGGAGAAAATAAAATACTTTAAAAAAACTTTTTAAAAAAACACGTTTTTCTTGTGGACTAAAAAGTAAAAAATAAATTTTTCTTGTGTGCTTCCTCGAGCTGTGCAGGTTCTTGTGATGACTGACAAAAAACGTGGGTCGGGCAGATGGGTCGGGAAATTTGATGGTGAACGTACCCACGTTTTTTGTCAGTCATCACAAGAACCTGCACAGCTCGAGGAAGCACACAAGAAAAATTTATTTTTTACTTTTTAGTCCACAAGAAAAACGTGTTTTTTTAAAAAGTTTTTTTTAAGTATTTTATTTTATATTTTAGCATCGTAACTAATTCTTATAAAATTCGAGAGTTCTAAGTTTATTTAAGGATTTTATATGTATATAAATATATAAATCTATGTATATATATATGTGTGTGTATGTATATATATATATATATATATATATATATATATATATATATATATATATACTCCAATTACATACATATAAAATATAGATGTATATGGAATACACAATACATAATACACCTGTATATTGAATCCTCCTCTCAGATTTCGTCAAGGCCATGCCATCACAGAGTCTAACCATGTCCTCCAGCCACATCAGCACGCTCGACGCCTTCAAGTCGCTGAGTCAGCAGTTCCCCACCCACACCGTCCACCACAGCTCGCGGCACCAGCGTCACGAGCAGCAGCACCACCAGAGCGAGACGGTGGTCTCGCCCTCGGGCTACACCCACCAGTCCCACTCCCGGTACCACCATCAGGAGGTTCGCCATTCCCAGACGCACTACCAGTCTAGAAACGACATGGAGCGGAAGTGGCTGGAGAAGATGAAACAGGAGGAGCAAGGTGAGACCAGAGTTCCGGTGCAAGAGGTGGACGATGAGGGAGAGGAGAGGAGGCGTCAGGAGGAGAGGAGGCGTCACAACGAGATGCTCAAGAAGAGGGAGAACGACGCTAGACAGATCAAGCTGCTGCTGAGGGAGAAGCTGAGGCTGGAGGAGGAGAAAAGACGTCAAGAGATGGCGAGGGTGGAGGAGGAGAAGCGGGAGGAGATGCTGAGGGTGAGAGAACAGAGACGGGAGGAGATGAAGAGGAGGGAGGAGAGGAAACGAGAGGAGACGCAGAGGTTAGAGAAATATAAAAGAGATTTATGTTTTTGTTTGTAAATAGTGTATACTTTACTTGTGCATTGCAATCTAACACATTGTTCATGATGTTTCCGTTATATTGTTAGACTCAAATGAAAGTTAGGGATCATATATATATATATACACACACACACATTATGATATATATATATATATATATATATATATATATATATATATATATATATATATATATATATATATATATATATATATATATATATATATATATATTATTATGTGTGTGTGTGCGTGTGTGTGTGATTGCGTGTATGTGTGTAAATGCGTTTGTATGTATGTTTGTGCGTGTATGTATGTGTGGTTTGTCAGTCTGTGTGTGTGTCTGTGTGAATTAATAAGAGTGAGTGTTCATACTAAGTCAGTTTCGATCCTTCCCCCCCCCTTCTTTTTATCTTTATGAGTTTTGCAATACATGTTTGGTCCCTAATGAGGCAAGATACATTATTTCCGGAGTTTAGCTCTAATGTATATGTTGCAACTAAAAATTGTTCATAAACAATTCTATAGCTCATCCGTTATTCAATGAACTACATGTTTTAATCTCTATCAAATCTGAAAAATCTAACACTGATGAGAAACACATTACCGCAGTGAATGTTAGTCCTATATAGTGCTTGTATCAATACATTTAAAGCAAATGACTTAGAGGCGTAGCGTTGGGGTACATATATCCCCGGGCGCCGACCTTAGGGGACGCCAAAATGGGTTCTAAAAACAAATTAAAATGTCATTTAGCTGCAGTTTTGCATTATAAATATAAAAAATATGGGGGATGGGTGCAAATTGAAAGTTTTAGGGGGGTGTGCAAATTGAAAGTTTTAGGGGGGGGGGTGTGCAAATTGAAAGTTTGAGGGGGGTGCAAATTGAAAATTGAAGGGTTGTTCAAAAGGAGGGCGCCAAATAGAAAGTTTGTTCCTGGGCGCCGGGAAGGGTCGCTACGCCTCTGAAATGACTTCATGTTTTTAATGTCCAGGCTGGAGGACCAAAAACGTGAAGAGATGTTGAAGATGGAGGAAGAAAAACGCCGGCTCTCCGAACAGACGACGCCCCTGCAAGTGGACACCCTCCGCCTAGAAAACAAAGACACCTCTGGCAGACAACCGAAGATCGTCTACCCTGAACAAGAAACGCCCCTGTCTGAAAAGTCGGTCAGCGTCGTCACACGGACCGAGTCGAACAGTTCCAGTTGGAACCACACCCTGCTGACGCCGGATGGGCCCAGGTCTCGGCATTATTCAGATCACGTGCACCGCAGTGGGGTGAGTGCCCAGGAGATGGTCAAGTCCTACAGGCCACCCACTGACCAGAGGGGCGGCTCGCAACAAGAGGAGGAGAAGCAAGTTCTTGATGCAGACGGTAGACCGTGTACAGACAGACGGAAGGAGTAGGTTTTACACTTTATTTATTCTTTATTAATTTTATTTTACTACGGTGTGTCCGGCCGGTAGCGCCTATGATTGCTAACTTCATAAATCCCGAATTCAGACCCACAGATGAGGCTCACTAGCTGGGGATAGTAACACATCTAGGAGAGACAACTCCAAAATCAAACAACTGCTGACTGTGCAGATTGTTCTTGGGTGGGCAACGGCAATGGAATTAAATCCAGAAAAAAAGCAGGCTGAAATCGAAGTCTACGGGCCGTGTGAAGCATGACATTTAGACACGTAGTAGGCCTACTTAACTGAAATCCCCTTCATTATAGCAATTTAAGAAACGAAAAATATGTTGTTTGATAAATATCTTGCGTTAGCGAAAGCAACAAATAGATGGTAGATATAAAACATAAACTAGCGTTAAGCTCTTTAGTTCCGTTATATTTACTACCCATAAACACTCCCTGTTGGTTTTATTAAAAGTATAGATTTCTGTATGAAACATCTGTTACCGTTCACAAAAAAAAAAACGTTTTAAATTATGAGGTATCTGTTTCTATACTTCAAAAAAAAAGTTTTAAAAAAGTATAAAGTATACGTTTCCACTCCTTTAAACGAAATTTTAACAAACGACTGCGATTTTCTGAGGTGAATCTCTGTGTTGAGACAATCCTCACTTTCACGAAATTAACACCGAACATAAACTATTTAGATTTAACCCAGGATATGACAAGTCACCCCCGGGCACATGACCCATATTTTAGCTCTTATATGTTTGTTTGTTTTTTTAATTTTAACACAGCGGTGTCGATTCATCTGCTTCGCTAAACCACCAGTGCCCCAAAAACCTCACTTGCAGTCTCCATAGCAGAATCACACGCTTAATTTAAAAACTACCCCCATCTTCCTACCCGCCTCACACACACAATCTCAAATAAAAAATATACCCCACAGCCTGTCCTTCATACTCCACCCCCCTCCCACCCTGCGTCTTTGTTTCATACTCTATTTGATCAAAACAGATTCCCGGTGTACATTTTTAACTTCATCTTCATGCTATAACGCGTGAGAAAAGAATGCAATATCTGTTATGGTTGTCCCCCTTTCCTTGGTTACCCCCCTTTTCCCTTGCTTATCTCTCGTCGTTTCAAAACACAAGTGCTTTCTCCTGTGCAGATTTATTTTAAAAACCTAGATGGGCGTCTAAGTGTTGCGTTTCGTGCACCATAAAGGATTTAATACAAGTAATTTGTAAACAAACAGCCGCCTACAATTACTACAAAAATGCTTTTGTTTACACATATCTCTACAATGTGATTCACCTTAGCAAAAATGTACAAAAGAAATTTCTTTAACAAAAATATTTTAAAACATAAAAATGTGTATTCTAAACACATAAAGTGCAATCCTATAAACATGAATTATATAATTAGATCTGATTATATCTATACAAACAGAATACAAACTGAAAAATAAATACTTTCAATTTTTAATGTTTTGTTTCTCTGGATTCTGCTGCATTTATACTTTCTACCTAAAAATGTCCAATTAAGATGTCCATTCTCTCTCTCCTACAAATATCCATGTCGGATCTCTCTCCAAAAAATGTTCATGTCGTATTTCTCCCTCCTAAAATGTCCATGTCGTATTTCTCCCTCCTAAAATGTTCACGTCCTATTTCTTCCTCCTAAAAATGTCCATGTCGTATTTTCCCTCCTAAAAATGTCCATGTCGTATCCCCCTCCTAAAAATGTCCGTGTCGTATCTCCCTTCCCCTCCCCTCCTAAAAATGTCCATGTCGTATCTCCCTCCCCCCCCCCTAAAAATGTCCATGTCGTATCTCCCTCCCCCTCCCCTCCTAAAAGTGTCCATGTCGTATCTCCCTCCTTAAAATGCCCATGTCGTATCTCCCTCCCCCCTCCTAAAAATGCCCATGTCGTATCTCCCTACTACAGATGCCCATGTCGTATTCTCCCCCTAAAAATGTCCTTTTCGTATCCCCCTAAAAATATCCATGTTGTATCTCCCCCTAAAAATGTCCATGTCGTATCACCCCCCCCCCCATAAAAATGTCAATGTCGTATCTCCCTCCTAAAAATGTCCATGTCGTATCTCCCCCCTACAGATGTCCCACTTGGGCGACTAAATGTCAGCGAAGTGCGGTCGTGACCCTCGCCTGCCCTTTGACCTGCGGCAAGTGTGGCCTTCACCTAACCAACCGGAAGAGAAACAGCTACTCACGAGCCCAAGGAAACGTGGACGCCAAGGCCTACCACAGGACCCACACGCGCGCACGGCGGCCCAAGAAGACCCGCCAAAACCAGAAAAAGAAGTAAGTTGTTAGGGTTAGGGTTAGGGTTAGGGTTAGTGTTAGGGTTAGGGTTAGGGTTAGGGTTAGGGCTAGGGTTAGGGTTAGGGTTAGGGTTAGGGTTAGGGTTAGGGTTAGGGTTAGGGTTAGGGTTAGGGTTAGGGTTAGGGTTAGGGTTAGGGTTAGGGTTAGGGTTAGGGTTAGGGTTAGGGTTAGGGTTAGGGTTAGGGTTAGGGTCAGGGTTAGGCTTTAGGATTAGTGGTAGTGTTAGGGTTAGGTTTAAACCATGTCCAGTGTTGGGTTTGGTTTTGGGTTAAGTTTTAGGTTAATGCGAATGCTTGGGTTTAGTTTTTTTTCCTAAGATTAGGATTAAGGTAATATATAGGTACAGAGTACGAGTTAGAGTCAGGATTCTTGAACTTGGGGGAGGGTAATTGACAGGGGGCAATTGTTTGTCAGGGGGGTGGGGGTAATTGACGGGGGGTGGGGTAATGCAGGCAACAAATATCTTAATAACAATAGGCTAACACTAACCAACAAATAAAGAATAAATTGTTCTGAATGTTACATTTAAAAGAAAATGCTCAATCTATGTCTACTTTTAATTAGGTGGTAAAGAACAAATTATTCCCTCTGATAGTGAATTGAATTTCATTCAGAAAACCCAAAGGGAATGTATTAACTTCAAGGTTACTCTTCACAGAAATAAAGCATTGAAGTTTCAACTAACTTTTTAGCGCAATTTCCATTCTGGAGAATTGCGTTTATTAACTCGTCATTTCTGGGAATGGATGGATGAATGAATGAATGTATGGATGTATGAATGTGTGTCCGGGCTTTAAGTCGTATCTCCTCCTCAACGAAGCAATATCGATGACTAGTTCCAAAAGCAATTATGTTAAGCAAGTTACGAGAATGAACATAGGCTATAAAAATTCCGGGTTTCTTTCATGGATTCCCAGGAAAAGCCAAAAAAACTCGAGAAAATGCAGTTTTTGGCCCATATCTCGGCAACCAGACCACTTAGCGACTTGAAACATGTACCAATCGATTCCTGCCATAATTTAGAACAATATTGCCGAAGAAAGTTTTCAAAAATATCCTCTCGTTCGGTCACAAATTTTAAAATTACATAAACACCTACAAACCGATCGTTCTTCTAGCTTGAACGCACCCTAGCAGTATACGTCAGAGCTATTTTTAGATAACATAAGGAAATTGCGCATAAATGTCACTAGACTTTTTTAATTAACTTGTTTGTATAGGACCTGCTTTTTCTCAACTAAATTGGTTACATTGCCGTGTTTTTACTAGAAACAACACAACAGCTGAGTAGATCTTCTACGACAGTGGTTCCTACTTTTTTTGGAGGTACCGAACCCCCACTGTCCCCACAAGTTTCATATGCGCATTCACTGTATCATTTTTAATATTTCTATCATCCGCACAGACAAGATTAGTGTTTCTTCCAGGCATCTTTTCGGGGGGGGGGGGTGGCTTTGTCGTCGTCGTTGTCGTCCCCCCCCCCCCCCCCCCCCACACACACACACCAAGAACGATATGGAATTCAAATAGAAAATATATACTTTTCACAACGTCCGCCCTGCGGAAATTTTAGTCCGCCCTAAATCAAAACTTAAAACAAAATGCGCATGCGCAAACATAAATAAGTCTTCATCTCCTGCAGAATAGGCATGTGGTAAACAAAATTAAAAATGTATTATGTCTAATACTGCTGTTACATCCAAGCGGAATGGGTTTTGTATTGTAAATGATCTGAATTACTTGAGTTGTTTTCTTTCTACTTCTTTGTTGTCAGGATTGAAAAACAGCGGGAAAGAGAGGCCTTGGTGAGGGAAAAAGATCAATCTTTGAGGGGCAGTGACGCCCCAGTGAGAGAAAGAGATCAGTCTTTGAGGGGCAGTGACGCCCCAGTGAGGGGAAAAGAGCAGTCTTTAAGGGGCAGTGACGCCCCAGTGAGGGGAAAAGAGCAGTCTTTGAGGGGCAGTGACGCCCCAGTGAGAGAAAGAGACCAGTCTTTGGGGGGCAGTGACGCCCCAGTGAGGGGCAGTGACGCCCCACAGGAAATGAGAGAGCTGCGCATGCGTCAGGTGACCAATGGGGTACAAAGGGACCAGGAAACGAAACCGGATGAGGCTCCTGTTATAGTCGAGCCTCTCAGGCCAAGACGAATCAACCCCCACACTCAAGGTTGGTGGTCATTGTTGTCATTAGTCAGTGTCATAAGTTAATGACACTGGTCAGCTTTTTAGATCAGTGTCATTAGGCATGGCCTAGTAGTAGAGCGCAAGACTGCTAACCTGAAAATCTCGAGATCGAATCCAGTTTCAAGAACACCCAGCTCTATTTGGGTACCTAAGTAAAGTAAAGGCGGTTAAGCATAGTGCTGACCACACTATTCCTTCATATGTCGAGGTCACAGAAACAGGTGAACTCTACTATTTGCCCCCTGGACCATCAGGTTCGAAAAGGGGGGTTTACTGACATTGTCCATTGTGGGTGTAATAAATCACTGTTATTAATGTTATAAATCATTGTCATTACTTTGTGTCAGTATCTGTAGTTGGAGACACTATGGATTGTCATTAGCCAATGTAAACATTTAGTTATCAGTTTACCAAAAAACACTGTTACTAATTGGACTACTTGCCATGGGTATATTCAGTATATTGTGTTTGGACGTGGAAGACGGTACCAGTTTGTCAAAATCTTAGTTAACATTTACGTTGTTGCGGCTGCGTTAAGTATTTCAACTAAATCTCATGATTTACATCAAATACTGTAGGTGCTATAGGCTTGTAGTCTTTGTAGAACAGCTTGTAACTTGTGCAACCTCGTCAAGGTTTCAACTCGCTTGTCTTTCTCACGTTGCTATGGCTACAGCATTGATAACTTCCGGTCTTCTTCTCCTCCCTAGCACGCGCCAGCATGTGCCGGGACTACCCGACCCACGTGACGAGCTGCAAATTCTGGTCAAAACGAGGCTACTGTCTACACAACCAGATCGTCCGTGAGGTTTACTGCAGGCATTCCTGCGCGTCCTGTGGTTAAGTGGGTTCGAATCCCACTCAGCCTGACGTTAATTCTGGTATTTAATTAACACTGAGGTATATAATGACGCAATGCTGTGGTAAACAGCTAACCCTGTTGTCGCCTAGAAAGTATGAATATTTATAAACAAAATGTTATTGAATTGCTTGTTGGTATGGGATGTTTAGGATTTATTTTCGGTTGGTTTATTTTTATAGTAGGTAATACTCATTCAAAGTATTTCAAGAGACTTCAGTATAAGTAATGCCTAGCATTCTTTCCTCGTATTATGTAAGGTTATTTGGATATGCTATCTGTATAGGTCATATAAAATATGAGGTTTTTATATAGGCCATTTAGAAACGTTGTTTGTATAGACAATAATATATAAACAGAATGTTTATGTGTTAGTCATAAAAAATCAACGTTTATGGAATACAGTATAAAAAAATAGGTTATAAAGAAAAAGTAAGATTGGACATGAGCAATATTCAAACAGTTATGTGGTGTTGTAAACAAACTATAAAACAAGACATTCATTAGAAAAGTGTATTATATTTTTGTTAATTGTTTCTATAAGAAAAACATTTAACAAGTGGTGTTTTGACCACGTGATGTGATTAAACAAGATTGCCTTGACGTATTTAACATATTACATTTTATTTTTTCTGACATTGTCGGTTTTTTAAAAGAATTCATAGTCATAGTGTCTTGGCATCACAGGATGGACAAAGGTGGACAGCACATATTAAAAGCCAATAAATGCTGGGCCTTAGATATATATATATATATATATATATATATATATATATATATATATATATATATATATATATATATATATATATATATATATATATATATATATATATATATATACTCGTTGTCTAAAGTTTATTTCTAACCAGCAATGGCGATGTTTAGAAATGATCATCTTCTCTGGAGTCCAGATCCCCAGTTTATTGTGTTCTGCATAAATACACCTCTATCTGTTACCCTTTCTGGTGTTTTATTTGTTGATAAACCATTGTTTTGTATATTTTAATGCTGTATATTTAGCTTCAACTATCTTCCTCTTTAATTTAAGTACTTAGATTTAGCTTTAAATCTTTAGAGCTGTTATATTAAAATTTTCATTTTGTACATTATTTTGTATTTATGTGAATATGTATAGTAACCTTTAAACAACGTTGTTCATTCAAAAAGTTTAGCAAATAAATATGTGTGGTCCAAGGTAGGGGAGATAATGAATCTATTGTTTCCCCTTTTTGTGTATTTGTAAGGTTGTCGTTTTTTTTTAACATTGTTGGAATATTGTTGTGCACAACCAGGTTTAGCAAGTTTGATAAGCGTGTGGAGGGGGGGGGGCTAGCATCTAAAAGTGGTTTATCTACCTGTAGCGCCTGTTCTGAATTATTTTTTTATCAGGTGCTGTACGTGTAGCCTACGTGATAGACTCAAGAGTGTTCTCTCTGCTCCCTGCTCTCCCTATCTTTCTCACGCTCTCTTTCTAGCTCTCTCACCCAGTGTGAAAAGGTAAGGGGGCAAGGTTTTAATGTTACCCGACTTAGAATATATATATATATACATATATATATATATATATATAATCATATTTATACATGTTACAAATATATTTACATATACATACATATATGTGTATATATATATATATATATATATATATATATATATATATATATATATATATATATATATATATATATATATATATATATATATATATATATATATATACTATATAGAGTGACATTACACCATTTCCCCTTCACCATATCACACCGACTTAAGTAAAAGTGGAGGATAAAAGCTAAAAATATTGATCCAAATGTGGCTTCTCCATTATAATTTATTCTCATTATTTCGGTAACGCGGGGTCATTCAGTACACTGATGAACTCATCACAGTATTTTTTTACTATGGAAATGCGCCAGGGAACTGTCGCTGTCAGTTTGACAATTGAAGCCTTTGGGTGTTAAGTAGTTCTATTGCAATCAATTCCCCTAAACAATCTACGATAGAATGAAACTTTACTCCTGCTCAGCCGTATTATTAATTAGGTTTAGACTACTTTTAGAATCTTTTTTAATCACAATCCTAAATAACAAATACACAATTTAGCAGTTATTGAAAACGTCAACTTTTCCTGGATTTAAAAAAAAAAAATGATTTTAATGGGAGATAATCTTAGTTGTATTTTTAAAGGATAGATAACCCACGTTGTTTATAAACAATACTGATTACCTTTCTCTCACCAGAAGAATTTTTTTTTAATTAGACACATAACTTTTTAAAAGTTTTGCCGACTATACTTTTTAAATGTATGTACGTAAATTTATCAACATCTATTTCCGCCTTTGTGAAATGTGGTTCAATCATCGTTAAGGGCACCTGTCGTGTGAAAACTATTTCTATTGTTAGCAGTTTAAAATTCCTGAACTCATTCACCGGTGACTGTTTTTTTTTAAGATTTCGGGTTTAAGGCTATCTACAAGAGTTACGTAGTTTCAGTGGCGTCGCTATGTCGGGTGTCACGTGGTGCAGCACCCCCCTGGTGTCACACACACCATTTTTATCTGTAGATTTTGCATACGGTGCCCCCCCCCCCCTCCCCGATAAAATATTTAAAGTGTTCACGTTTAATACTAATGATGATTATCTATGGTCGGTTGTTAATACAGCTGGGTGTAGCATTGTTTTCTCTATAGTTTGCATGTTTACGTCGTGGTGTCACCCCTCGTCGTCCCCCGTCTCCCCCGTCTTCCCCCCCCCCCCCCCCACCCCCCATGTCGCGATGGTCATTATGCACTTAAAATAATTTTTATCTCTAATTAAGCATTCATTAAACTGGCAAAAAAAGACATATTTATTTTATTTTTCTTGCAATTTTTTGTCTTGGTGTCACCCCCCCCCCCTAAATGGTGTCACCCGGTACGTTCCGTACCCCTTGCGCTCGCATCGCGACGCCTCTGCTACCGTAGTTCTAAAAGTTGTTTTCTAATTGATCAGATAAAACGTGATTGCTAACATTTCTGATTTCTTTAAAACATGTATTCACAATTGTAGCCTACGCAATAAAACTAATTGGAATAAATAAAAATTATTTTTATGATTTTAAATATTATTTTATAAACAAGAACGGTAATTATGATTTTATTATTATTGTTATTTTTATTATTATTATTATTATTATTATTATTATTATTATTATTATTATTATTATTTGTTGAACATGGTTTGTTTTTAAACTTTTTTTCTTGTTAAACATGTGTATAAACAACTGCTACATTAGGGAATTTAAAAAAAGCCTCCCAAAACACATGTTCGTTGCTTTGGTTTAGTGAAGATGTTATAATATAAGGGGAAGCGATTATTTAAAATACCCCCTAGGGAATTTTTCATCCTTTACTGATATGATGATATCTTGCCAAGGTCACGCCATATAACTTTTTTTTAAAAAAAAAAAACGAATGCAATGAACTATATATGAACTATAATTTTTTTTTAAATTAAGAGGAATATTTTCTACCCATGCTTTATTAAATTCGATAACAAACGTAAAGTCTTTTTTCGTGTATAAATATAGTTACGGAGCTCTTGACGATTTAATGAAAATAGATGTTTTAGTTTTATGTTTTGATTACGTTTATAACTCATGTGAGGGGTGTGTCGATAAAATATTACCTGTTAACTAAAGAACGAGAGAATGGAAAAAAAAAACAGAAGCGCGTTCTATTCATTTCTGCTTTTTTTTTTACGCTAAGACTTTTTAAAACAGTGTGCGTTTCTTTTAAAACATGTTGTTTTTTTTTTTTTTTGCTTTTTTTTTATAAAAGGTTTGTTTAGGTTTCTTTTAATTATTATTAGCATAAGAGATCGCCTTTTTTTTTAAACTAGATATTTTTTGTGTCCTCTGAAAATAAAGAAAATGCAAACGTTAGTGCTTCTTGACAAGAAAAAAAAAACCACTCCATTATTTCCACGTTGTACTTGTCCTTGAAAGAGCTCTTATGGTTGGAGAGATTGCAAAATTCAATTCCCCCTAAAAGAAGTTTATAAGTAAGACACAAAAGATTTCTACAAGCATCTCTTATCTCCCTTCTCATATCAAACTATTGTTTACTTCTCTCATCTCTAAACACATATGAAATTATTCAAATCCCTCTAGTTTTAAAAACTGTCTAGGAATTTTAAAAAAGATCTTAATGTTCGCTCTAATAGCATAAATAAATAACATAAATGTTATATAAACATTTCAAGGAATATTTATAAATGCATTTAAAGATGCCAAGAAATGTGACATGCAGATTTTCATTAACTAAAAGCTATAATTAAATAAAGAAAACTTGCCTCAAACTTTATATTACATTAACGTGTATATTTGTTTATTATAACAGTAGTATGGATTCTGGGTAGCTATCAATGTTATCCAGTAACCCTGAGTATTACATATATATATATATATATATATATATCTGTAGACATAATCAGTGTATAGAATGTTTATTCTGATTATTGTACTGGTAGTTAATTCACAAGGTACATTTACAATGTGTATGCTTTGAACTATATAATACTAATTTTATGTTTAACTTTTATTTGCACATTGTAATTTGGAAATAAAAATGTCTGCACTTTGTCTGATCGCATTTTTCCTTATTTGGCCGGGTATAGTTGTATATGTGGCAACCAGCTGATAGATTGTTGGTTGTATGTGCTAATTAACAAGTTAAAATACAGTACACTTGTGAGTGAGTTAAGCATGAAAAGTGCCAGTTGTGTGGTACACATATACAAAAAACTAGATAGGTAGATGGGGTTTGGTGATAAATATTAATATTTGGGTAATGAAAGCCAGCTGAAATGATGTGTGAATGTTAAAAAAAAAAAAACAATGTAAGGGTCACAATAAACCCTGGACAAGATTAAAAAATTGACAAATCAACTTTGTAAAGTCATATTTAATAAGTCAAACAACAATATAAGGAATGACAATCAAACAAAATGTATGTATTATATATATATGCCTTGTTGAAGTTTAGCCTCTATTTTATAATAAAATGAAAATATTTTAAAATAATAATTCACAGTCTTATCACAATGTGAAAAACAACGTTTTGTATATCATATGGAAAATGAAACAAATGGTAAATTTTCCCTAATTTATACACTAAAATTTATATTATAGAACAAATGCAGAGGTAAAAAAAAAATATTATGCATTAACACTTTAAAATTAACACCTGAAAATCTAAACATTCATGGCATTAACATGTTGCATTTGAAAAGTTGGGATAAAATTCATAGCTTGAAATACATATGTTCTTCTAAGCTGTTCATAATACAGATGAAAATGGGGGAAAAAAGAATTTTTAATTAATCTCAAAACACTTCCTTATTTACTTTATAAGTTGAAATATCTGTTTAAATTCTCTAGGTCAGCAAAAACAATTCATTATCATTAGATCTAATCATTAGATCTGTTAAGGAAACTTAACAACTGTACATGGGAAGATAATTTTATATTTATATGTTCACAATATGTTCAAGTCTGCTTACAATAAAGAACAGCTACTCTCTCCAATCAGGACAAGCGGGAATTACTGCCCTTGAACAAACTGACCTCTAAATTCATCAAAAATGTAGCTGGGTACAAACGATTCTACAAGCTGTAACAAAGGGGAAAAAATTAAATGTTAACATTGGAAATTTATTTTTATCTCCCTTGAATTAATTACTTTTCAATATAATTACCACTATTTACATAACAAAGTAACCTTTTAAAACAACTCTTTATTTCAAATTTTAAAAAGGAAATGTCTATACAACTTAGATTCTAGTAAAGCACCAACCTGATGATCTGATAATCATTAGAGAAGCAATAATATTTTTCTTCTATCTTTAAAGATAAAATATTCTTAAGAATTCATTTAAAGAATAGGTGACAGATATTTTATTTTCCTTAAATTGTGCCAGATAAATTTTAGATATGGTTTGTTGCAGGAACATGCCAAATTTGCAATAGGAGACCAAACTGAGAATCACTTTGTGCCACTCAGCATTGGTTATGTGACAACATGAGGGAATTGATGGGCAGTTGTAAAAGAGAAATTTTCAAATATTTAGCAAAGAGCTCAATAAGCAGGAAATGAATTCAGCTGATGAATCCTCACCTTCCTAGACAGACCACTGTAGAAAATAAAATCCTCCAGAAACACAAGAGCGTTGAGCACATCTGGTGACATTGTTGGATCTTTTACACTAGGAGTATACAAAAATCAAATCAACTAGGCTTTGAATAAAATAAGAAAAAAGGATAAAACAAGTAACATCCTTAAAAAAAACAATTTTTAAGTACACTCAATATTTTAAAAAAATCTAATGTAAAACGTAACACAGTTTTATATCAATTGATTAATTGAACTTAAAATAAAATGTGATAAAAGTATTTACTTAGGAACAGAGTTTCTTCCAGGCATCTCTTCGGGGGGGCAAAGCCCCCCCGAAAAAAAATTTACCGCCCCCCGAACGAAATTAAATTTATATAATTTATATAGAAAATATATACTTTTAACAGTGTCCGCCCCCCCGAAGAAAGTCTACCGCCCCCCCCCCCCCCCCCCGAAAATTTCAAATGCCCCCCCGGAGAAAAAAGTCTGGAAGAAACACTGCTTAGGAATACAATCAGAAACCACAATTTAAGTACACTAAATGGGTTTTTAAATCTAACTTAAAATTTAAGATTCAAATTAATTAATCGAAATTAAAATAAGATGGGATGACATGATAAGTCAAGCAATACTATCAAAAACCACTTTGTAAATACACTCAAGTTTTTTTTTCAAAGTTCTTTTTAAATGATTTATCACAGTTTCAAATTAATTAATTAACATTAAAATTAAAATGTCCTCAAAGGATAAAACTGGTAATACTATCAGAAACCACTTTTGAAGTGCACTAAAAAAAAATCGAATCTATTGTCAATTTTTAATTTTAAATTAATTAACATTCTAATCTAAACTACCTGTTAATGGCGTCCACCACGGAGCGCACATATTGACCCAGAAAGCCAAGGAATATGTTGATGATGTCACTGTGTGACTGCTTGAGCAAGGTGTACAACCCAACAACAAAAGGGGGAGCATCCAGTGGGTCAGTTGGTTTCTTACATGTCAGGGAATCTGGATTAACAATACATTTACTCGTATACAAAAACAGGCTGGTAAGCTTTTAAGCCTTAAGATAAATTATTTGAATATGACAATGGTTTGATTAAATAAAATATACTCAAAAAAGAGTATGAATAAATTTTTGTCGATTTTTAAATATGATTTTAGCACTATCTTTATTCACTCACCAATATTTTTGGCATAAGTGAGTTTGCCCAGATGGGCTATAGCCATCAGAAATGTAAACAAAGGGAAGTAAGGCAATCTCGGAGGAGTAATGTAAATCTGGAGTGGTAAACATACATAAATGCATCAGGCAAAATCTTTAGATCTTAATGCCAATGGTTAACAAAAAAAATCCTGAGCAAATTTAAAACAAAAATAATAAGCTATTTTTGGAAATAGATTATTAAAATTTCGAAGTAGAAATTTTTGCTGATTTGTTATATTCTTTTAAATTCTTTTTCTTTCCAAATCTGCATAAAAATGCAATTGATTATAAAATGAACATTTTCAATTCCTCTACAGGCTGATAAATTCCTTGTATCCAACTTTATCAGACCTACTTGTTTTACTTAACTTTATTTATACAAAAAGGCAGGTTTAGTTTTAACCAGAGCATATCCATTGCCAGAGCATATTATAAGGAATTAAGGAAACAAAAAATAAGTTTGTTCTTGGTGGAGAAATGCCAGTGAACAACTCATTGTTTATGCTCGACTATACATTTTTTTAATTTAAAATAAGAGAAGTTTAAAATCAACTTTGCAAGTCAGTCATTTACCTACAAGCAAATTTTATGTTTCTCAATATTTAAATACAACCATAGATAATTAATTTGCTCAGAATAATTTAAGTTCAACTGTGATACCTAGTTCATAACTGTAAAAAAAAAATTTAAAGTAACCAAAATTTAGAAAAAAAAATTAATTTGACCTTTCTCAGGGGGTTATGAAAACCTGAGGCCTCCAGGTAACTAGAGAGCTCATACAACAGTGGGTTCTCTTCCTTAGGGTAGGGCTTGCTAGGGTCCTGGTAGTGCTCTTCTATGTTGGCCATCAAAGCACTGAAAAGTAAATTCTCAAGTACATTCTTTTCTCCACAAATGGGAGAGCACTGTGTTTTTTGTCACAAGATAATAAATATGAAAAGAAAGGGCAGAAAGTTATTTTTAGTGTTGGAAAACATAAAGTATCTTATAAATATACAAAGTGATAAATATAATTGATTACTATTTAGAATTTAACCCAATGCCACCAAATTTATTTAAAAAGACTTACTTGTTCAATGTCTGCAAGGAACTTGCCAGGAATTTTGAGTCAAATTTACAAGATGTATTTAGCTCATAGGCAATCTGGCGCCTGAGGAGCTGCATTTGTCCAACCTGGCAGGCGCAAATATTTTTTGTTAATTTACAAAAAACTGCTCAAAATATTATTTTGTACATGAACTTGATGCATTTTTTATGTATGTTATTGATTTAAAAAATAACTAAATAAACAATTTTTGTGGAATTGTGAGCCCAGACAAATGAGTTGTCTTACCCTGAGTATAATGTCCATGAAGGGAGCCAAAAGCTTGCTGGTCTTAGAGATGGCTGCTGGATAAAACTTTTGGGGTTGGCCTATAAGAAAAGTGTTATAAATTAGTCCAAGTTACTGTGGCTGGCCTATAAGAAACAATTTTAAAAAGTTAAATTAGTCCATGTTACTGTCCTTGCCCAGGGAATAAGACATTGCATATTGCTTAGACAACAGGTAATTAATAATAATTCCATAAAAGTAAAGAATTATATTCCAGCCTACAAACATAAAATATAAATATACCTATATAGGCTAATGTATGTAACTTATAAGGCTTTATATATGGATGTAAAAACTGTTAAGCACCAATGCACATACCTATGATTATTTCCATACTAATCCATACACCTATAATTATATACACTAATCCATATACCTATAATTGTTAACCCACTAATCCACATACTCATAGACGCACTAAACTAAATACTTATGACTACTGACACACACCTGTAATTATATACAAACTAATCAAAATACGTGTAATTATTAATACACTAATCCACTTAAGTATAATAATACACACACTATTCCACATACCTATAATCCCCTGCAGTGGGTTAAGCGCCCGTGTAGTCTGGTTGAAATAATCTGTCCAGTTTTTATCCTTCAGCACTGAACGTTGTAGAGAGAGCTGGAAGGTCTGGAGCTCCTTGACTATCATAAAACAAAACAGCCTGTCTAGCCCGGACAGTCCAAAACTTCCAACTGCCCTCTGGGAATGATCACAAGGGGTGTGTCATTACACAATACTTGTGTAGGAATTAGAAACATAATTTACAACAAAGTAAAAAATATAAATTAAAATTGTTCTTTTGCTCATAATAACAGAAACTGATCTGGCAAACAAAGACTATTGAACATGAGGGTATAAATGAAAACAGAAATCTTACATGAATCTTTTCAAATAGAGTCTTGTTTGTTATTTCCTGTTTAGTCTTCATGTCGTACCAGGCCTTCATCTGGTCCATATACAATGTGGTTCTGTTAATAAAAACACAACATGATATTCAAATTACATTGTTATGATTTATCAAACACCTCCTATTCTAGATAAATATTTATTTGGTTCATTATAAGGGAAACTAATACTTTGGATCAGTGATGCGTAAAATTTCCCTGGCCAGTCTACCAATGAAGTTGACACTTTCGTCTACTTGAGGGAATCGTGGGATTGGAATGGCTGTTGACTGATACACACTTTCCCAATCTTGCACCTTCAAAGAATTATTTCATTAAAGAACCTCTGTTGATTCACTTAACAATCAAGCCTCAAATATTGTAATGAGCCTAAGATCTTTTTGAAACATATTTTAAAGTTACGTTATGAAACATTTAACACTGGTAAACAAATAAATACATAAAATAAAATGTTCAATTTACAAGTATAAAACATATGCAAGCAGAAGACAATGGTACAAAACAGAATTAAGCACCTTTATTCTGAAAACATACAAGGGGAGGAAAAGACAACTCTACACAGAGTTAAGCACCTTTGTTCTGCAAAAAGGGGAGATAATGACAAGTCTACAAACACAGAGAGTTAAGCACCTTAGTCCTGAGAAAGCTGTTGCACTCTTGCTCCACATTGTAGTTGATTATTCTGGAAACTTCCTCTTGCCAAATTTTCAGGCCGTAGATGTTGACATAATCTTGAATGTACTCAAACGACCTCCTAAAGCCATCCATCTGGTCCCCAAGTGTGTGAAGCTTGGGTAGCAGTTCACTGACCTGAAATAGACCCCCATCTCATTAAGCTAATCCTTCAACAACAACTGCCCTCTACCTTAATTAGTAGAGTGCCTGACATAATCAGGAAATGCTAAGATGGCTGGGTATCCCTTTATATAAAAATGTCAGAGAAACAGATGAACCCTACTTCATCTGCTCTATGGGAAAATCATGTCTGGAAGATAATTTTACTGTTACAATATCCAGCTCCAATGTCTGGCATAGTTAAGAGCATCTGGTCATCAGCAGGAAATTTAACATCTTTCAATATAGAAGAGGTAAGTTTTACTTCATTGATGTCAATAATTTTTTTTTAAACTTTGTAGGTCAGTACTCTGAGAACAGTAATTCTTGGCTGCTTGTTGAGAGTAGTCTTATAAAAATAGAAATTTAATCCTAAAATTGCAAGGCACTTTAATATTTAAGCAATAGACTACATATAGTTTTTAACTTTTTTTTATCTACTTTTCAACACGCTTTTTAAAAAAATAATGATTTCATTAATGGTTCACACAATCATTAGCCTACCTTAATTAATACCCCACACAATTTTTAGCTTACCTTTGCCCTAGTGTTGAACATGATCCCAGTGTGGAGAGCTTGTGACACCTGTTGTACTAATTCCTTCCTGATGCCATCCTCTAGCAGTTGTTTAGGGTCAATCTAAAGACATGTTTAGGGTCAATCTAAATGTTTAGTGTCAATCTAAAGAAATTTTAGGGTCAATCTAAAAAAATTTTAGGGTCAATCTAAATGTTTAGGGTCAATCTAAAGAAATGTTTAGGGTCAATCTAAATGTTTAGTGTCAATCTAAAGAAATGTTTAGGGTCAATCTAAAGAAATTTTTAGGGTCAATCTAAATGTTTAGGGTCAATCTAAAGAAATGTTTAGGGTCAATCTAAATGTTTAGGGTCAATCTAAAGAAATGTTTAGGGTCAATCTACTAAAGAAATGTTTAGGTCAATCTAAATGTTTAGGGTCAATCTAAAGAAATGTTTAGGGTCAATCTAAATGTTTAGGGTCAATCTAAAGAAATGTTTAGGGTCAATCTACTAAAGAAATGTTTAGGTCAATCTAAATGTTTAGGGTCAATCTAAAGAAATGTTTAGGGTCAATCTAAATGTTTAGGGTCAATCTAAAGAAATGTTTAGGGTCAATCTACTAAAGAAATGTTTAGGTCAATCTAAATGTTTAGGGTCAATATAAAGAAACATTTAGGGTCAATCTAAATGTTCAGGGTCAATCTAAAGAAATTTTTGGGTATAATTTTGGTTGGAATAAGACAATGCCCTGTGACAAAAATATCTAAAAGATGGAAAAATCAAACACTCCTGTAAGGGACACTACGATCAATTGAGAACACAACAAACAACCCCAGGCTAGAGTTCCCTGGGTTCACTGATGGGTACAGAGGAAGTAAAGGTAGATGCTAATTACGCAACCTCTATGATCCACAGTGCACAGAAATATGGTTAACTCTAATTGATCTGGCATACTGAAGGTCAGGAACAAAAGGTCATTTTTCAGCTAAAAATATCTGGCTTGCAAAGCATTAAAAAATTAATCTTCAAAAGATGTATTCACATATTTTCGGAAATGTAACATTGGACATACTTTTATTATACCAACAAGTGTTGTTTTCATCATCAAGATTCCCTCAGTAAACACAGATATAGCATGAGTCAGCTTGGCCACCTGAGAAAAACAGAAGTAATCAATTTAATAATTATATTTTAAAATCAGTTTTTTGTAAAATCTTCTGGCACTTTTTTTTTTAATTTAAATAGTTTCTAGTTAAATTGATTAAAGCTTTTAAAATAATGTTGGATAAATATTTTAATACAAAAAGTTTTTTTTAATTTAAATTTCGATATTTATAAAAGTGTAAAATAGTGATTGGAGAATATGATGAAACAATATAATTCACCTCATATCTTTCATCTAACTGAGCATATTCCTTCATTTTGTCTTTCTCAAGCCTGGTTGGGACTTCTTTGATGGATGTGGTCAGTAGCTGAATGATTTTTGCCAGTAGACTAAACATGGTTTGGGGTATGATCTAGAGAAAAAGTTGCCAATGTGTTGAGCTTTACAATAGCAATGCGAGGCTTTAAACAAATACAGGAGACAACAAAAAAATAAATAAATTATTTTACTGACAAAAGTATTTTTAAATAATGGCATTCTGGAAACTAAATTCGGTGACTTCAAAACAAGTTTAATTGAAGAAAAAAATTAAAGGGAAATAAAGTAAGTTTTTAAGCAGTAAAAATAGGTTCACCGGAAAAATTCGCAATGGAAAACTGAACAAACAGAATTATGCACAATTACAAACTAATTATACTAATACACTTTTCGTGAAAAAGTGTTTTATATGCTACAATGTACATGTGGTCATTATTTGCTAGTATCTTTAAATGTTCGATTGAAGAAAACTAAAATGCCCCAGTGCACTTTCCTGTGTGTATTTTTTCTTTGCGAAGTTGATATATTAACTGTAAAAACTATATGTTAACAACAAACGAAATTTTAAAAAGAATTAATTTTAGAGTACTATATAGACAGTATTTCTAGACATGTAAATACCTGAAGAACTTTCCGAACATAGGCAACCAGCTCCCCCGAGTAATATTGCGACACGCTCATGAGATCTTGGCTGTTGGCTTGATTGATTCTCAACAGAGGAAGGTCAAGGGCAGATGCCATCTAAATTATTATTAATTAAACATGGAGACATTATAATTGTATTCAGCTATTTCAGCAATGTTTCTGATGCTATTTTTTTACCTCCATGTTTTTTTTAAAACATGGATCAACTAAAATTGTTCACTTATCTAATACAGTTGGATAAATCAAAAACTATATATTTTTTATCAGTTTTAAATTAAAACGTTACATAGTTTCAGATTATTTGAAACGGTAATTTAAAAACACACACTGCAACTTTTTAGAGGAATAAAATATTGTTGAAACTCACTTTAAGAAATGTTGCTCTCAGCTTGATTACAAGAGTTGGGTCTTTTTTAATACCTTGCTGCATGTAAATTGTGTAGCTGCCAATTGTACATCAAGTAAAAGAATTAATATATGCACTTGACAAACTTGTCTACAATCTATAGAATTCAAGGTTACTACTTAGGAGTAGGCCTATAAATAATTGTCAGGAAAAAAATATGATAGTGAACCATATCAGATATTTAAAAAACCCAAAGAAGCAAATAAGTGCATGAATACAAACCTATCCATGATATTCCAAGCATATGAAAGGTCTGCAACAATATGAATTGTTATCAAAACTTCCTCCTTTATATTAATTGTACGTATCATTTGATGGAGGTACTTCCTAGTGTCTGCTAAAAACTGTCGGACTTGAAGATTACTTTCTAACTGGTGGAACTCTTGCACCTGAAAAGTTCAAAAGAATGAAATTTTCTTTTTTTTAAAAATCATTATACAAAACAAAAAATTTTCTGTCCCGATTCGTTTCTTATAATTTAAATAATATTATATATATATAGATTATATATCCCACCTCCTCTAAGGCTTGAATAAGTTGAACTATTTTACGTCCTGCAGATGTAGAATCATCATAGCCTAAAGAATTTATTTGTTTGCTCATCTCAGCAAACCACGCTTGTAGATTATCTGAAAATAAATAAATTTACCAAGAAGCCAGTTAGGTTATTTAAAGTTAATCACACTTGAAAATTATCTGGAAATAATGATTTAAAAGAAGGTTATTTAAAGTTTATCCCACTTGAAGATTATCTGGAAATTATTTAACAGAAATGCCATTAAGGCAACTTAAAGTTAACCATGATTGAAGATTTTTTTTTTCTGGATGTAATTATTTAATAGATATGCCTATTAGGTTATTTAAAATTAATGTGTAAGGAAAACCTTTAAAAAGTTTGCCAGTTGTTTTTTTAAAAGCAACTCAAACAATGGTTGAAGGTTACATTTTTCTATAATGCTCTGAAAGACTCACCATTTTTCTCTACTCTGGTGAGTGGTTTTGTCCCAGAATACACCTCACTCAACTCCTGCATCCTCTCTGCCCCCTCCTTCTTGTACTGTTCCCACTTGACTTCCTTTTCAGCCAACATTTGTTTAAACAGCTGTGTGGGAAATATGAATAGTTAGACTATCAAACACTTCACTCAATTAATGATAAATTTTATTGCTAGTATATAAAACAATAAATAACTCACTCAATAGATAATAAACTGTATTGCTAGTATTTGGAACATTGAATAGCTCAATCAATAAATAATAAATGTTATTGCTAGTATATAGAACACTGAATAGCTCACTTAATAAACATAAGAATGTATTGCTAGTATAAGAAACATTGCCTTTTAGAAAACTACAAGGCAGGATTTGTTTGATTTTGGAGTTTTCCCTCCTTAATGGGTTGCTCTCCCACCTATTTAGCCAACTCTGCCCAGGAGTACAGGAGTGATCTTTGAGAAGTTATTTTTGGAGTTTGGGATTTTTTTTAAATAATATTCTACTAAGGATGACATTGATAAAAAAAGGTCCTACCCCAATTTTAAACTGAATTTTAGTAATTAATAAATATTTTTATAATATGATTTTTTTTAAAACTTGTTATGAAAATTGATCAATGATTCTAATATTGGCCACCTGGATTTGCTAAAATTCATCATTTATGGACAACCGATCGGACACTAATAGTAAATCACATAGTTTAATGGTGCATTGTGGTACTTCGCAGTTTGGCAGGTTGTTGTGATACTTACTTCCTTTAGTCTGAACTCAAACTGTGCTATATTTAGAAGAAGTTCAAAAACTGTGAGGGCGTTGAATTTACAATCTGATAAAACTTGGTCCCTGATTTGTTTGATTCTTTTGTTCAGTTCAGCACCTAGTAAAATATAAGGCAGACAACTGCTATCATCACCAAACATAAGGCAGACAACCTCTATCATCACCAAATATAAAGCAGACAACTGCCATCATCTCACACTAAATATAAGGCAGACAACTGCCATCATCTCACACTAAATATAAGGCAGACAACTGCCATCATCTCACACTAAATATAAGGCAGACAACTGCTATCATCACCAAATATAAGGCAGACAACTGCTATCATCACCAAATATAAGGCAGACAACTGCTATCATCACCAAATATAAGGCAGACAACTGCTATCATCACCAAATATAAGGCAGACAACTGCCATCATCTCACACTAAATATAAGGCAGACAACTGCCATCATCTCACACTAAATATAAGGCAGACAACTGCTATTTCACACTAAATATAAGGCAGACAACTGCCATCATCTCACACTAAATATAAGGCAAACAACTGCCATCATCTCACACTAAATATAAGGCAAACAACTGCCATCATCTCACACTAAATATAAGGCAAACAACTGCCATCATCTCACACCAAATATAAGGCAGACAACTGCTATCATCACCAAATATAAGGCAGACAACTGCCATCATCTCACACTAAATATAAGGCAGACAACTGCCATCATCTCACACTAAATATAAGGCAGACAACTGCCATCATCTCACACTAAATATAAGGCAGACAACTGCCATCATCTCACACTAAATATAAGGCAGACAACTGCTATCATCACCAAATATAAGGCAGACAACTGCTATCATCACCAAATATAAGGCAGATAACTGCCATCATCTCACAGGGCTGATTTACCATAACAAACTTTTCATTGCAAAACATAGCATTAAACAGAAGCAGATGTCATTATCAGACAATTATGCAGTTTACTTAATAATGCAAATAAAATACGGGAGTTAATCAAGTATGACAGATTTCTTCCTTTCTTACTGTTGATAAAAGTTTCACCAAATAATGCTTGAGTTTGAATTACCTAGCTGTAGCCAAACAGGGCTGCAGAGTTATCAGTTGAGTGGTAAAAAGCATTCAAGTGCTGATTCATAAATGGGATTTTATTTTAACTTTAGAAATAACCATTTTTGCTAACATAATACATTTTCAGCAATCCATTAAAATCTATGCAAGACGTTAACAAACTTATTCAACAAAATTAAGTCCGCCTAATGTGTTTATTAACTTTCTTATTATCTTGGGAGCAGAGACTACACTTCATCGACAAACTTGATTAGCATTTTCTTAATCTTACAAAAACAACGATGAAGTCTAAAGAATTAATTAACTTCCTGAGTCTAACAACATTTTTTTTAAAGTATCATTCTGTGTTTTTTACATTTTGCAAATATTCATTGTTTTTTAATAGTTATTTTTTAAATTGTTCATTGTGTATAGTGAGCAAAAGCTTAGCTTACACAACTAATATAAAGATATAGTTCAGCTGTAATAGGTAGGTTTGTAGGTAAAATCAAATTTGCAGGTTGATAATGCAGGTGAAAATAATGATCTAATTTGGTATACATAATTGGAAAAAAATGTAATTGTTTTTCTGAAATTCTAAAAAAATTAATAAAAACTGTGGCAGGCTATAAGAAATCTCATGTGGGTCAAACTAAGTGTATTGGCATCTTGCAGATATTACACACATTCTAAGGGTGAATGGTAAGAAAACAGGGATTAGAGGAATTAGCATATGTTACCTGGTTGGTTAAAACCTAGAAATGAAAAACATGGCAAGCAACGGGTTACTAAATTGTTTTGGTCAGCCATAAGTTAAAAACCTGGCAATAGTGTGCTCAAAACTGTCAGTATATTTCTGAAGTATCAAAAGCTACAATTTATACAGTTCTATTGATACAAGTTTATCTCAAAACATTAAAGATGAACAATTTATGGTAAACAAAAGTTAATTAAAACTTTTTCCAAAGCTCTATTTTTATTCATATGCACCTTATTTTCAGCAAATACTAACATGCCTTAACATCCTTCTTCCACAAATAAAAAAAAAATTAGAAATATTAACATGAAAAAAACTTGTTAAGTGGACATTTTCAAAATGGAATATGTAGTGTGTAGTGATTAATAAATGTGAAAAAAAAATTATGAAACAATTTTGGTATGTAAATTTGTAACTAGCAAATAAAAAATTGTTAACTAAAGAATTTAAATTGAACAACACATATTAATCAATTCAGCCAAATCAGACAACTATTAAATAACATGTTAACTACAATGTTTTCTATACTACCCAGCAAATTGTAATGTTAATTGTTATGTTAATTTCCTTACTTGGAGAAAGAGCAGCAGAATGGAGCATGAGCCAGCGCAGAGTAACATTTCCCTCCCTCAACACATTCATGAGCTTCTGGATAGAATCCAACACAAACTCTTCTTTCAGAACACCTTCCTTCAGGTACTTGGACAGCACAGGCTGTAGGCGCTCCACCTTCTGGGCATACTTAACTGACTGTAAGAAATTTTAATATTTCAAGTACATTAGGGAGAGATGGTTGTGAAAACAGACATTTTATAAGTCTACAAATTAATGAAATAACAACAGTAACTGAATTTATAACAGGGCAGACTGAAGGCATACTACCTTCTGAGCTAAGTTAACTGACTGCAAAAAAATGTATATCTTTTATGTACATTAGGAAGGGAGTTTTATGAACATTTTATTGGTCTACCAATAAATAATTAATAATTAATAAAAAAAAATGGCAACAGTAACTTAGAATTCATAACACTAATGCTTGTTTTATTTCTTAAAATATTTAACTGTAGGTATTCAACATAAACTTAACTCTGACCTACTACAAATAAAATTTACAATGATGTATATTTTAGAGTAAAAACTGTACCTGTTCTCTGATGTTGGTCACTGATAAAGTATTGTTAAGTGCAGTCATGGCAGCTTTGTAGGGGTACCAGGCATCAAGTAAGTTCACGGTCATCCCCATGTACACACTGACAACCTACAAGCAGATTTGCCCATTAAAACTAGTAAATAAACTTACTACATAGTAAAATTGCATATTAATTACTGATATTTTGGTATAAACATCTGTTATAAATATAACATATATTTTATCGAAAATTTTATTTAAACTACTTATAATTTTTAAAATGTAAATTTAAGAAAACAGGAAAATCAGAAAAATATTTATAAAGAAATGTTTATATTACATAAGATAGTATTATATATATATATTAATAAATATATTATAAATACAAAATGACACAATATTTATTAACCTTCAAGTTCTTTTAATCAGTGGAAGGTAGCTACTAAAAAAATTCTCAACTAATTACATTCTGACCTACCCAGTTGTCAGGGAAATGTTTGTCGACAATTTCTCTCATCTTGGCCTGCTGGGTGTGGAGAATGTCCGGCTGGAAGTACAGGATGACATACAGCATGCTGGCCTGGGTGGCCAGGGCCGTGCTGCGGTGCTCTGGCTGGGGATAGGCTGCAATCTGGTTGTAGATGTCATCTGACCTCAGCCGGCCAATCACCATGTCTATGTACTCCTTGTTGATAGGGACCCGGCTGTGATTGAGAAATAGGTGAAAGATGGTATATTAAAACTTCAGATCACAGAATAACTTCTAGTCCCTTTTAACAAAACAAAATATAATTTAAAAAATAACATAAAAATAAAAATAAAAGGTTATGACTTTTAATGCTAAGTTACTGCAGGCATGATTTCTTTTACTTCATCTGTAATTAATTCCAAATCTTTGTTTTCTAAATAACTTTCTGTCTACAAGTAGTCTACAATGCTTTGAAAAACCAGCAAGCTTAAAGACAGACATAATGGATGATTCAAATGAGTTTTTCTTTTTATTTCTTAAAAAAAACTTACTTAAAACAGGATTATGGGTAGCTTTTTGGTCATGTTTACATTAAAACTTACTTAAAAAAGGACTCTGGGTAGTTTTGTGGCCTTTTGGCTCCAGGTGTGTTTGAGAAACCTGAGCTCCTGAGCAGTTTACAAACGTCATCAATGTTGGAGTCTCCAGCTGCAGCTTTCTGGGCACTTAGGACAATTATTGTTCAAATTATTTTTTAAAATGTATAATTAAAATTGCAACAAGCCATATTTTTACAACTTAATTCATCATTTTAATGTTCTAAAAAAAAAATTACCAAATATAGGCTATTAAATTGAAATAAGTTAAAAATAATATTAGCTTTGTTGCTATTTAATAGCTGAATCCTTTTGTAACTGCAAAAGCAGACAAATCTGTATTCCATAAAAAAATATAGAGGTCATCTATATAATAACTATAACAACTGTAATCTAAAAACTGCAGTAAAAATTAAATCTTTAACACCTTACCTATATCTGTAATAAGAAACTAGAATTCTCTCTCGAATCACACCATCAATTCTGGTGTCTATAACAAGCAACATAACTCCGTAGAGAAACAAGGCTTCACACTAGTCAAGATAAAAGTAACTTGTTAAATGGAAATCATGCAGAACAACCATTAAAACTAAGAAGTAAATATTATATTAATATTTAAATGTATATATCAAAATATATTAATAAATCTGTATCTAAAAAAAAGTAAAGATTCCTCTTCAGACCTAGCGCTCCATTAGGCAAAAGAAGAAGAGTTCTTGGATGTGGTCAGCACTATGCTCAGCTGCCTTTACTTTTACTAACATGAGTTAGATACCCATCAGAGCTAGGTGGACTTAGGGATGCTCTGCTGACTTGAGACACTCGGTTAGCGTTCTAGTGCTCTACCGTCCCACACATCTGTATCTAAATTAACTTAAACCATTACCATTAGCTGTTTTCCATCCTCATTTAAAAGAACAGATTCCATTGTCTGCTGTATGTAGACTCCTTCTTCCAAGTCCTCTAAAAATCTTAAAAGAAAACAAAAATCAAAAAAAGGTTGAAGGGTGAATATTCGCAATACAAAAGTTACTTCTGGAGGTGCAAGTGTAAAAGATTATAACTGCCTGGGAAAAAAATTAGGTGCTACAATGACATGGCCTTTAATCAATAAGTTATCAGTGGAGAATTGTGGCCCAAGCTTCATAAAAGTGAAAAGAAGAAAAACAACTTAACAAAAATTTTGTTGTATTTGATATAGAAGTTTTTTTATTAAGAGGTTTACCTGTTGAGATCTGTTACATATTTATGGACACTAGAAAATGCCTGGTAGAAACGTGTAAGAATTTCTATATTATTCTCTCTAAACTCTTCATCTAAATCTTGAAGCTCCTAAAAATAACCAAAAGAGTTAAAAAATTAAACATTGCAAAAAAAGAATTACTTTTAAAATATATCATATAATAATGTGAAAAAAAAATCAAAATGTATACTTTCAAATTACTTTAAAAACTGCTTTTTTTTTAAAAAAAAAAGTAAAGTTCCCTTTTCAAACCTGACGGTCTATAGGGAAAATGAAGTAGAGTTCACTTGTTTCTGTGACCTCGGCATATGAAGACATAGTGTGGTCAGCACTATGCCCAGCCACCTTAACTTTCCCTGACGTATTGGGTGGACTCAGGGACGGTCTATGATTTGAACTTACGGGTTAGCAGTCCAGCTCTCTACCGCTAGACCACTCCGTCCCACGCTTTTTTTAAGCTGATGCTTATTGCTGTTTTAAATTTTGTTTTTAAAATTTATTAACATTTATGATCTAACTACACTCACAACTTTTGATTCAATTCTACTGTCAAATAGCTCAGTACTGTTGAAATAGCTGAAGTCTGCTATAATTTCCCCATATCGGAATTTGTCTGCCTGATTTTCTAAACGGAAAACAGGAGGAACAAAATCTGCAAGCCTCAACAGTTCTGCGATGATTGCATTCCCGCGAGAAACCAGACGTAAAATATTTTGTCCACATTGGTTATTTTCTGCCAAGAAGTCTGCCATTGCTGTGGAATGTCTTAGACTGCTTATGTTAGAATTCTAATCACCAAACATATTTTTGATCTGAAAAGGAGAGAAAATACTATAAGCAATGAGGTAGAAACATTAGCATCAACAACAAGACTGTTTCTGAACATAATAGTGGTCAAATAACATTGCAGTTGTAGTGTATACCTGTGTATATCTACTTAGTTACTTAGTTATTTGGATATATGATTTTCACTTCACTTATGGACTACTAGCTAGATTTCTAGATTCTAGATCTAAAATTTCTAGATCTAGATGAGTAGTAACTACTACTATACTAAATATTAATATATATAATAAATAATTAATCAGCCTGGTCTATAGTAAACTATAGTTATAGTCTATACTATAGACTATAGGCTATAGGCCTAAAATACAATTTATTAGTATTAGTCGAGTATTACTAGTCTAGTAGAGTCTAAGTTCTAGTGGTAGTTACTTACTACTACTACTAAGTAGTTAGTTTAATAGTTAGTAGTTAGTTACTTTACTAATACTTTACTACTAGATTCTAGTACTAGATCTACCTACTACCTACATGTACATACAAGTAGTCAAGTACTAGAACTAGAGTACTAGACTCTAGACACGCCCCTTTACATGAAAAAGATCATCATAAAATAAATCACGGTTAAGAAAAACATTCCTATTTGCCTTGTGGTTTTATATTCCAAATCGAAGTAGATTATATAAACTTACTAAAATTAGTAAATTATTTTGTTAGCGATCCTTGTAGTCACAGTGTAGTCAACTTCCTCGAGAACTTTACATTTAAAATATAAAAATAAACATTGTGTTCACATGATCAACGAGTAACATTCCCTTCTCTGCGCAGAGTTACCATTCTTGATTAGGCTAACCGGAACTCCAACTTACAATTTTAAATTTTGGTAGATCTATCAAGTGTGGGCGATCATTGGTAAATTTATTGTTTATTTATTACGCTAGTTCTAGAACTGTTAGATCTATAATTTATTAAAAGAAAAGATTTGTTTACATTTGTCCGTCCTTTGTAAGACAGATCTAGTGCTTGTAATCAGTAATCTAAATCTAATTTAATTAGATCTAGACTTGTTCTAGAAATTCTAGACTAATTTAATTTTTTTTATTTATTTTTGAGCATTTGCAAAACTTTTTTTTAGAAATCTATCAACTTTCGTTTCAGTCGCAGTTCTGCTTTGATTGCGTTCTCATGCTAGATATCTAGAATCCTAGATATAGATTTAGATTCTAGATCTCTAATCTAGATCTAGATAGATTACAGTTCATTTAGACCAGGGGTCTCCAAACTTTTTAGTCCGAGGGCCGCATTTACTATCAAATTTCAGTTCGGGGGCCAGTTAGTTCCAGGCATGTCTTTGTTTTTTTCTGCGCAAAGTTCCTCATCATCACCAACAAACGATTTTTTCTAGGACAAAACGATCTCCGCGGGCCGGATGAGAGGACTTCGCGGGCCGCATCCGGCCCGCGGGCCGCATCCGGCCCGCGGGCCGTAGTTTGGAGACCTCTGATTTAGACTATTAAATTTTAGACTAGAAGATCTTGCTAGGATAAACACCATTTTAGCAGCATATTTTAATTATATTCACCAGCTTCATTTTATTAAACTAGCTACAGTAACAAAAGTAGGTCTATTTCTATTAATAATTAATTAGGCATTTGATCTTCAACATTTACTGAAAGATGTGTCTGTGCTTTTGAACATGACAGTTACAAAATGTTTTTTATGCTTCTTGATATTATTTCTTTTTTCAAAAGATTCACACAGTTGTAAGAAAAATCTAAAAAATGGAGATAACCCCTTCAAATCTAGAAGCCATGTCAGGCTATCTACAGCAGACACTTTCACCTGACCAAGATATTCGTCGCAATGGTATGAAGTTTCAAATCATCATTTTGATATTCTTTTTAGATCAAGTTTTTTTTTTCATACAGTTTTTCAATAGGCCCTAAAAACAATTATTTTTCAAATTAAAGGTGAAAGTCTACACATAGTTTAGGCTAGAGCTTTATAGCATGCTCTTAATTAACATTTTTTTTTTTCAAACAGCTGAAAAGTTTTTGGAATCAGTTGAAGGCAACAAGAACTATCCTTTGTTACTTCTCCATTTAATGGACAAAGATGGGGCTGAATCTCACATTCGTGTTTCATCTGCAGTCACTTTCAAGAACTACGTGAAAAGAAATTGGAGAATAGTAAGCTAGTTATTTGATTTTTATTAGTAGTAAGAACATATTATATTGACTTGTTCCTGTTGAATTATCATTTAAAGAGAATTGATATTTTTTTAATTTATAACTCTCATAAAAAATACTTGACATACTTATTTTAAAATGTTACCTTATGCTTGTTTGTTGAAGTGAAAATCATTTACAATGTTGGTATTTCAGAATGAGGGTTTTCCAGACAAAATACATGCAGATGACAGGGAGGCTATCAAACAATACATTGTTGGCTTGATGCTTAAAAGTCCAGAACAAGTTCAAAAACAGGTGCATACTCATTTACTTTCTTGGTCATCACCTGTAATACACTGCTTCAATTTTTTACAGAAATTATTTCGTCCTGTTCACTGATATTTGTCTAATTTTATAGATCTTGTGTATTATATTTTTCAGTTGAGTGATGCTATCAGCATTATTGGCAGGGAAGATTTCCCCAAGAAATGGCCAGGACTTCTTGCAGAAATGATTGCCAAATTTGAAACTGGTGATTTTAATGTAATTAATGGTGTTCTTCGTACAGCACATTCTATTTTCAAAAGGTACGCATCTTTAATGTTAGGTCTTCTACTTATTAATTTTCTTCTATTGTTCCTTATTCCTGGAAATTTTATTATTTTTTTTTTTTGTTATGTAAATTATGTAGAAATTAACTCTTACACTTTATCTCAGGTATCGACATGAATTTAAGTCACAAGAGCTGTGGGAAGAAATCAAATTTGTTTTAGATAATTTTGCAACTGCTTTAACAGAATTATTCAAGGTTTGTGATTATTGTGCCTAGTACTTAATGTTATTAGTCTTTACTGTCAGTGAACGTTATCAGTGTTTATTTTTTAGTTCAAATTGTTTTTAAACTCAACATGTAATTCACAGGCTACAATGGACCTTGCCACTCAACATGCCAATGATCCTAAAGCTTTGAAAGTTATATTTGGTAGCATTCTACTCATCTGCAAAATTTTCTACAGTTTAAATTTCCAAGTAAGTGTTGTGGTTTTTATTTAGTTTCACTATAAATTGACACATTAAAATATGAGAAATAAATATATTTAAAGTGTTCGCTGTTAACATTTTTAAAAAGTATTTGAATAACCTTTTTTTTCTACGGGGACTGGGTGGTCTAGCTGTAGAGAGCTGGACTGCTAACCCGTAAGTCTTGAGTCTTTGAGTCCTCCCAACTCTGATGGGTACCTAACTCACGATAGGGAAATGAAAGGTGGCTGGGTATAGTGCTGACCACACCATTTCTTTATATGACGAGGTCACAGAAACAAGTGAGCTCTACTTCACTTGCCCTATAGACCATCAAGTTTTGAAAGGGAACTTTACTTACTTACTTACTTTTTTTTCTACAGGACCTACCTGAACATTTTGAAGACAACATGAAGGTCTGGATGGATTACTTTCTTGCTCTTTTGAGCGTTGACAATAAGTTGCTTCAGACTAGTGTAAGTCTTAACATAGAAAGTTTCTTTAAAAACAATGATACATCTTTGATAAGCTATTGCTGCCACACATGCCCAACTCATTTAACATAAACTTTGCTGTAGAATAGTCAACCCACTTGTATATAACAGTTTTAAGTGCTAAGATATGTTTTCTTGTTTTTATTTAGCTCTATGTTGTTATTTGCACTTTCTGTTCAAACATTGCAGGACGAGGCTGAGGCTGGCCTGTTGGAACAGATCAAATCTCAAGTCTGTGACAATGTTTCCTTGTATGCTCAGAAGTATGATGAAGAGTTCTCTCCCCACCTACCAGGCTTTGTCACAGCTATTTGGGGGCTATTGATTAGTACTGGACAAGGAGTCAAGTTTGACTTGGTGAGTTGCCTCATGGATTCCTGGTGTGTTCTGATGATTAGCTGGATTTTTTAAATATTATCAAGCATTCAGTTATTTGTCCTTAAACATGTAGATAGAGTTACAGTAATGTATAATTTTATAGAAATTTACTTTTAATTTGAAAGTCAACTGTTTCTAATTTTATTATACCATAACACAGGGGTCGGCAACCTTTTGAGACGGAAGAGCCAAAAGTTGCAATTTACAAAATTTCCCAGTTTTAAAGAGCCACACACATTTTTTTATTTCAATATTATGATATTTTATTAGGATAATATATATATATATATATATATATATATATATATATATATATATATATATATATATATATATATATATATATATAATAGAAAGTACATTGAAATAGGGAGTAAACAAATATTCTAATATAATAGCGAGTGTTTATTGTTTATATTTATTATTATATCATTCATCACCGAATGTGGTAGAACAATATTTTTAATTTTCGAAAATATAAAAAAAAATATTAATATTTGTGCATGGAGCTGAAGAGCCGCATCTAGACATCAAAAGAGCTCGCGAGCCGCAGGTTGCCGACCCCTGCCATAACATGATAAAAAAAATCATTTGGAAAATGTCAATTTTTTCTTTTAGCTTGTGAGTAATGCAATCCAGTTCTTGGCCTCAGTTGCAGAGCGCCCTGCATACAAAGGTCTTTTTGACAACATGGATACATTAGCTAGCATCTGTGAAAAAGTTGTTGTACCGAACATGCAACTTAGAGGTAAGTTTCACGCTATGTTATTGTGTCACATGGAATTTTCAACTTTATTATTTTAAAAGATTAAATTTATTTACCTTTAATTTGATACCAATATTAACTATCAAGGTGAATTAGTTCTATAGAAAATAGTTATCCAATGGCTACCACTATTCACTTGTATTTCTATATTAGCTTTTTCCCCTGCTGTTTTTATGAGCTCAGGCGTAGCTCACAAAAAATGTCAGCTATAGTTCATTTAAAAATGTTAGACAAGTGACACCCTATACTATGTCATGTTCAAAGGGCTATCTTGTAGACATTATGTGTTGTTAATATGTTATAAACTTACCATTTTACATGATTGATATACTTAATGATCAATCACATTTTAAATAGTTAAATGCTGATACTCTTCTGCTTGCCCACTTTGTGCATATTCATCTTGTTTGTGATGTGGCTGTTTTGTTATTTTCAACCCTCGCCCATTTTGGTGGGTGTAACACATTTCAGGGTTTACTTCTAAAAATGTTATTTTTGCTCATTTTAGAGGTTGATGAGGAATTGTTTGAAGATAACCCAGAGGAGTACATGAGAAGAGATATTGATGGTTCAGGTATGGTTTGCTTTTCATGTTTGTATACTAGAGTAACCATGTTAAATATTACATGAGAAACTGGTATGTTCAGTCTAGCAATTTTTTAATGATATATTGTTCTATTTACGCTGTTAGATGTGGACACGAGAAGGAGAGCTGCTTGTGACTTAGTTCAGGCCTTGTGTAAATCATTTGAAGGGCCTGTCATTCAGAATTTCTCTCGTTATGTTCAAGCTTTATTGGAGGTGCTTTTTTTTTCCACCTTAATTTGAATAATTTTATTTTTGTGGTAGAGTAAAAGAATTGTGATTTTGCAGAAAGAAATATCCTATAATCAATATTTTTTCAAGGTTCTTTCAACAAAAATTTAATGTAGGAACAAACAATAATGTTTTTAATTTTCTTCAGGACTATGCTAAAAATCATAACACAAACTGGAAAAGCAAAGATGCTGCTATCTTTCTTGTTACTTCTCTAGCTGCCAAAGGACAAACACAAAAAGTATGTACACTGACCTCATTATATGTTTGATTCTGGTCCATTCTTTAACTGTTTGCTAACTAGAACTTTTTTCTTGTTCACTAACAGCAAGGGGTTACACAGACAAGTGAACTAGTGAATATCACAGAATTTTACCAAGCTCACATCCTACCTGATCTCAAATCTAACAATGGTATGCTTGTACTGGCTAACTGTATGAAGTATTCATTTAGCTTAAAGGCTTTTTATTATTAATTTTTAGACCTTATGTAAATTATGTTCTTTTTTTATTTATTCCATTAAGTTAAAATGTGTTCTTCCTACTTTAAAAAAAGCCCAGTTAATCTTTTTATTGTATTGCAGTGGATGAGATGCCTATCTTGAAAGCTGATATTATCAAGTATTTGATGGTTTTCAGAAATCAGGTATGTTTAATTTTTTTGCTTGCTCTTTCTTTTTTTTTTATTTTTGTTAAGCTATTCTGTTTTTCCAAGTGGCATTCAGCTGATTTACTTTATTTTTTTTTTATTTTTTTAATTATTTGCAGCTTCCAGCTAGTGTTATTCAGGCTTCTGTCCCAGATCTCTTAAGGTTTATACGCTCTCATCAAGTTGTTGTTCACACCTACGCAGCACTAGCTCTTGAAAGATTGTTTATGGTGCGTCATAACGGAGCTGCAGTGTAGGTTTCTATGATATCCTTTTTTGTTTTAACATTGTGGATGTTTGGTTATTTTCACTTATTCTATAATTTTACTTTTTATATTCCAGCATCACCTGTGATTTTGTCCACCCTATGGCAGGAGAATTAATGACCAGTCTCTTTGCTGCTATGGAAATGCCTGGATCAGCAGAAAATGAATACATAATGAAAGGTATGTTGTATTTTTAGTTTGTTTTGTATGAACTATTTATTTATTATTTTTTTATGAATTATTTATTTATTTACAGAAATGTTTTTAAAATATATTAGTATGCTACAACTACATGCTTTGATATTTAACTCTTGGAATTTTGTTCACTCTCCAGCTGTAATGAGGAGTATGTCACTTTTACAGGATCATGTGTTGCCCATGATTCCACAGCTCCTTGTTGGGTTGAAGTCAAAACTTCTTCTTGTCAGCAAGGTACTTTTGTTAATATTACTTGTATTTATTTAATTAATTTTTTCCACTTTCTGTATAGATTGTTATATATGGTTAATTTTCTTAGCTAACATCTTTTAAAATTCCTTCTTTTTAGAATCCCAGCAAACCCCACTTTAATCACTACTTGTTTGAGTGCCTGTGTGTGGCCATAAGATCTTCATGTAAAAATCATCCAGAGGCAGTAACTTTGTTTGAAGAAGCTTTATTTCAGCCATTTACAGACATACTCCAACAAGATGTGCAAGGTAGAATCATCAGTTTACAACTGGTCTAATCATGCATGAAATATCTCAATACAACACGTATTTTTTTTTAAGAGCATAGGCCATAGTTACCTCAGTGTTTATTCAATGATTTGTTATAGTTGTTGTTTTTTTTTTCAGAGTTTATCCCCTATGTGTTTCAAATCCTCTCCATGTTGATTGAGCAACACTCTGGACAAATTCCTGAAACATACATGGCACTTTTCCCCCACCTTCTTGCCCCAGTCTTGTGGGAACGTCCAGGCAATATTCCACCACTGGTTCGCCTCTTACAAGCTTACATTCACAAAGGCTCTGGTCAAATTGAAACTGACAAATTGGTTAGTTGCTGGATTTTTTTAAAAACTTTTATTAGCAAATTAGTTATTTAAAATTCTTTAAATGTACTATTTATTTTACAGAACGGTTTACTTGGAGTTTTCCAAAAGTTGATAGCATCAAAGAGTCATGATCATGAAGGATTTTATTTGTTGAATTACATCATAGAGTTTATGCCAAAGTAGGTGTAAACCTTTTAGTGTATTATATATTTAAAAATATTTGTATAACTTATTACTAAGAATTTCTAATAACTGATGCTTTATTTCAACAGAGAAAATGTTACACCATACACCAAACAAATTTTTCTTCTGTTATTTCAACGTTTAAGTAACTCCAAGACAACAAAGTACATTAAAAGTAAGGTTTTTTCTCTTAAAGTTGCTCCAATAATTCATTTCTCAACTAAAACTTCAGTCTTAAACATCTAACCATGGAAACATAGCCCTAAACCTATACTATTATTTAAAGCAATCCTACTTGAGATATCTTTTATTGTAATGAATCTTTTTAATTCCAGGTCTGTTGGTCTTTTTTTGTTTGTATGCAGTGAAATATAGTGCATCATCTTTAATTGAAATCATCGATGGAATTCAGCAAAAGTATAATCATTTTGTTATTATTGGTTGCTATTTTTACTGCTTTTTATCACTACATATCTAGAATACCTAGGACTTAATTTCATAAAAGTTCATCAAAATATTTTGTCTTTATAGTACTATATCAAACTTAAATGTATCTTATTATCATAATAATTAATAATATCGTAATGTTCTATAAAATAAAAATTGGATTTGTTCTTTTTCAGAATGTTTTCCATGGTTATTGAACGACTTTTCTTACCAGACTTACAGAAAGTCTCAGGAACCACATCAAAGAAAATCTGTGCATTTGGTGTCACTAAAATTCTCACAGAAGCAGATGCAATGCTTTCTGGTGACTATGCTTCCCTCTGGTAAATTACACCTTCCTCAAATTCTGCATCTTGTTAAGCAAACACAGAAATTAAATTATGTATGTTATAGTTAATAAATTCTCATACAATTAACAGGCCACGACTTCTTCAAGCTTTGATTGGTTTGTTTGAGTTACCTGAGGACGAATCTGTACCAGATGATGAACACTTCATTGAGATTGAAGACACGCCAGGTAGGACGTTAGTCTCCTTTATATCAACTCAAGCCATCTTGTGTACTTTCAGATGACGCCAATGTACTTGTCTCATTTCTTTTTTATTTAAAAACTATTTTAAAAAATCCTTTTACAAGCGATGTATATTAAATCCTCAAAAACTGAGTTTATCCAGTTGTGGTATCATCTTTTCACAGGCTACCAGACATCCTACTCTCAGTTGGCTTTTGCAGGAAAGAAAGATCATGACCCACTAGCTGGATTAGCTGAAGATCCCAAGATCAACCTTGCTAAACACTTGCAAAAAATAGCCACTCGTTGTCCTGGAACGGTAATTGTAACATTTCCTTTTGTAGACCCTCTGTTACACGTCTCTCATTTGTAGATTCCCGCCTATCAATTTTCTTCTATTTCTGTTACCAAAAAAAGGGAATGCAAATTTTTTTTTTGAAGGACTAATTTATGAATGAAAGAAAATGTTTGCTAAAGCATGCAGTTTTCATCATTTTACTACACTTCCATCCAAACCACCCCTCACCTTCTTCCCATGATCCCACGGGCTGATGTGCCAACAACACATGACCATCCAACACAGTTGTGTTCAGTCTATCTCTATTCTACTAATGATGTTATTTAAATATTTGAGTTGATCTTTTTTGTGTATAAATAAAATAACTTTTTAAAGACATGAAAATACTTAAACTATTTCCAGATTAAACCTCTGATAAAAGCTGGAATGGAGGCTAAAGCGCAAGAGTTTCTTGACCAGTATTGCCAGTTAGCTAATATTAGTCTGGTGTGAAACACATTTATGACGACTTGTTATTGCTGATATAAGGTACCCAAAGTTTGAAGTTTGTTACCGGTACTTGAGTGACTTGTAAGTCAGACACCTTGTAATCATTCTGTAAAATATATGTTGTATATATTTGGTATGGATATGATATGCACCCTATTCCCTACTAGTGTGGAAGGTTGGAAGCATATTGCCCATACACACTGTTATATGCTGAGATCAGATCAAGGAAAAGTCCAGTGATTACAAATGTGGGGAGTTGAGTTTATTTAGTCTGCCACTAGTGTTCACACCTGTTATCATACTTTAAGATAACCTTGTAAAAAAAAGAATATTTTTACTAACATTCACATTTGGTTGGATTTCTTTCTAAATTGCTAAAATCTAACCCTGTAGAGAAATAGATGCAATACTTGCCGCCTGTAAAAAAAATTGACTGTTGTTTTGTATTTGTAAATGCTCCATCTGGGCTTTTGTTATATTAAAATTCATTTTGTAAATAAATGTTCTGCATCAAGATGTTAAATTTTTTTTTAATTCCATAAATCATAATAAATGCAAAGTTGTTCAATTTATTCAGATGATTACCTGATAAGTTAGAGAAAGTAGTTGCTGGACGTATGAACCCTACTTCATTTGCTCTGTTGACCATGGTATATGATAGTATTGGACAAAACCTAAACAGGCCTAAATGATCAGTGCCAACTGTCATTGCATTTTGTACCCACTTGTTGAGGCTCTATTAATTATCGCACTATTCTATTGGAACACAATTCTCAAAACTAATTTTGCAGCAGGTTTTCTAAACTCTGGTCTAAAAAGATTTGTCTGATTCATGTAGAAAACAGCTTATAGAAGTTACTCTTACATAGTAGTTAATACTAGTATACAGCCAGGACTTTGCACAGTCACAAACATTGAAAAACAAGGGGAAAATTTTAAATATTTTTATTGTTTAAATATTTTGACATGTAAACATAAAACAGTGGTGCTTGAACTGGATCTGAAAAACAAAAAAAAAGGATATCACATGTGATTCCCAAGTATCAACCTTATCTTAGAGAAATACAAATGACAAATAAACTAAACATTTATTGTATTGGCTCTAAGGATCTCAGTCTAGTTTAATGTTATGATTCTATCATTATTGTCGACATGGATTTAAATTGGAAATGTGTTTTTGTAAATTTTGTCTGCAAAGTGGTTGTTAAATTTATTTTTTTTACTAATTTTAAAATTTATTAATTTTAGAATCAATGTTACAAAAGTTGCTCCTGTTGAGAACTTGAAATATTTTTTGCATTTATTTATTTACATCAACCTGAGATTTCACAGAAACTCAGTGATAGTATTTCTGGAACCACTCACTTTGTATTCAATATTTGCCGGTACCAATTTTAATAAATTTATAATTTTTAAAACACCATGAATTAGTTAGATGATGTTTATTTACACTTTCTAATTTTATTTGGTTACAGTCAGACACTAAAATATACCTCCAATCTTATGAATCAAGATTTTATAAACACAATCATTTTGATAATGTACCCGATTTTAAAAATATACTTGGTGACAATTCATTAAATGGAACACAACAAAACTTACTGTGATGAAAAAAATGACATGATGGCAGTGTAGAATCAGTCAACCTTTTTAACATTATTGACAGAGACATAGTGGTATAACACTACTAGCAGAAACAAGGCAACTCCTAGGCCATTGGCAAAAATAGCTAGCTGCACATCAGTAATCATTCTTGTATTTTAGAATACCTAGAATAAAACAAAGTAAGTTAAATCACAGCTTACATGCAGTATAGTCTTCAAAGCTAGATTTATTAACTAGTGATTACATTTAGAGTAACGGTTTGGATTAAATAACAATGTGAGATTATTTCTTTAAAATTCTTTCTTATACAACTTACACACAAGATTATAATTAATTTACATGTAACATGGATTTTGATACCTTTTTAAAAAGTAACTATATGGGTAAAAAAAAATGTTTTTATGAAATTAAGAGATATCAAAACTTAAGTTGATTATTAATCTTCCTGACAAACTATCACATGCCATGTGCCATTTCACTTGAAACACACAATGTATTACAACGTTAAACAGACTTACACTTGTTCATCAAGTGAGAGAAATCAGGTTGTGCAAGCTTCATAGTATATGATTAAATTAAGAGCCTTGATTTTAGGCTTAGCATACCTATTACTGATTTAAATATTGTTGTTTTATTTTAGACCCTTTCACCTGAATATTTTAAAAAAATTAATAGTGTTGTATAATTAAATATGGGCGTAATAAATACATCAGGGGATGGCGTGGTCGAATGGTAAAGCATTTGTCTGCTAACCCATCAAGTCTAGAGTTTGGGCCGCTACCTAGTGAATTAGGCCTACAGTTTAATAATAAGAAGTATAGGCCTAAAGGTTTGTATGATAATATTTGTTCAACATAAATGATGAATTATGCATCAGTTTTGGTGTTTCCATTGCCTAAATTCTAAATCAATGCAAAGATGATTTTTATACATTTGAGTAAGATGCTAAAACAAACAAATACAAAGTGTGGGTAAAAAATGATCACATCGCAAAAGAAATAAATTTATGCACTGGTTTATCCAGCCTTGCTTGAATTACTCAAATTACTGCAATACTGCCTCGCAGTATGAGTACTCAGTACTCATCAGTACTGTATTATTGGGCCATGAGCCTATAAAAATAAGTTTAACTGGTTACTAGATTATTCAGGAGAGCAAATTAGATCTATAGGCCTAATTGTTTAAGTAAGTAATAATTCTAGATCTAGATACGCCTACTACATTTAATCTAGATCTAGATAGATCTAGTAACTAGCCGGGAGGTTAGACTTCTCAGCTGCACCAGACTAGACTTGCTTGAGGGTGCAGGACTGCAGGTGGTTAAAAAAAAAGGAAAAGGACATTCCAGCTGAATCCGTGCGACAAATGAAATGCGAAAGATCGTTAACAATATTTAAATGCTATCTAGATCAATATGACAGTTTCAAATGTATTAAATTTAATTACACAGCTTTTCTTACTCGTTAAGTGTACTCAAGATTCAACGTAACGATTATTATAATATACGTGTCGTTTTATATATAAAATACAACTTCTATATCCGGCATGATGTATGTAATTTTTGTTGATGGAGAGCTCTACTAGATAAAAATCTAGTCTGATAAAAATTTGTAAAACAAATATAGATCTACAAAGTTTAGATCTCTATATAAAGAACTATATTAATTTTAAAAGTATTAAAATGAGAACAATTGAAATAAATTTAATGTAAACTATTTTCCCCGAACAGTAAATACGTGTTATTTGTTTTTTCAATCTATGCTCTGGTCTAGTAAGTCATTAAAAAAAAAGTCATCACTAATAGAAGTCTATAATAAACGCTATCGAGACCAAACTATTATTTATTATTGAACCTACTCAGAAGGCCTACTCTTAAAATGTTGGAGAGACAATATTTGTTAGAGATATGCAACAGTTAGTCTCACCCTTGTTACTACCTTAATATGTGAGGCAGTAGCGTACGCAGGGGGGGGGGGGGACAAGGGGAGCGGCCGCCCCCCCTCTGGCCATTTTCAGCAAAGTGGCGTCTTTTTGGAAACTTTTTAAACTCAAAGTTTTAAACAATGATATTTTTAAAAAAATATTTTTGGTCGGCACATCTATGTAAATCACAAGATTTCTTTTCATGCAGCAATTAAGCATTATTGTACTAGTTTAATAGTGTCTACGTTTACAACACGTATTAACAGCTGCATCAGTTTGCCATTCTAAAAATAACCATTACGATGCATTGCAATGTTTTAAAAACCTCTACGGGTAGTACCACTTGGCAAGAGGGATGTTAAGTTTAAGGCAACTGTATAATGTATTTGCTTACGAATAATTGAATTAGAAAGTGTTATACATAAAACTTCACACATAATTACTTTATATATATACAGTTTGAATCGTGTGATTAATTTAAAAAAAAATTACAATACAGAAACAAATACAACTGATGTGGCACCTCTGTTTAAATTTACTTATGAGCAAACTGCGCAGTGGTGGGGAAATTTTGACAAGGTCAACAACGTCAGCACGATGAAGTAGTAGTATTCTTACAGTTTGGGCGATAGTGATTACGATTACAAATTATATGAAACAGTTACAACCCTCCTCCCCTATGGACCCCTCTGTAAAAAAACAATATTGTCATAATACCACTGCTACTTATTTAAATCTATTTCTGTAATATATATTTGTGTAATATATATGTATGTTTAGAACAGTCATTTAAAAACTGACGCTATGTTCACTCTTAGTTATCTCCCCCCCTCCCCCCCCCCCACAAACACACACCTCACCACCACAATTGTGTAGAGCGACATTAATGTCACACCTAGGTATACACTGGGTTGGATAATTGACCTAAAGTGACCGGACAGTGGTGAATGTAGTTGAACTTATTATTTATTTGTTTTGACATTTGTAATTAAATTTGTAGATATATACATATTTATATTAAGAGAGTGATTATTTCCCCTATTTCACTTGTCTTAAATAATTTCCCAGGAATTATTATGTAAGAATTTTTTTTACAAGAATTACAAAACAGATTGGGCTCATTGTTTTTGGTTATATAATACACGTATAAAGAACGTGTTAAAAATTCGGCGCCTTTTTTTGCTCTTTTCGCTCCCCCTACAACGAAAACCTGGATACGCCTCTGATGTGAGGGTGTATAAGTTGGTATGTGACTATGTCCGTGTTCATAAAAGCCGCATGGGTGCGTGTGTAGCCTATGTAGGTTTACTTGATCTATGTATGGGCATGAGCGCGTGTTTGGGTGTGATACATCGAGAAATAGCCTCTAGGTCTATTTCGTCGTGTTGAAGAATAAAAACGGCATAAAATGAATTTGTAAACAGCATAGTGCAGTGCAGTGGCGTAGCGAGGTCGGGTGTCACCCGGTGCGGCACTTAATGGTGTCACCCCCCAGAGGCGTAACGACCCTTCCCGGGGACAAACTTTCAAATTTTTTTTATTTGCACCCCCCCCCCCCCCTCAAACTTTCGATTTACACCCCCCCCCCCCTCAAACTTTCGATTTGCACCCCCCCCCCCCCTCCTCAAGTTTTTATATATTTTGCTATTTTTTGCCTTGGTGTCACCCCCCCCCCCCCCTAAATGGTGTCACCCGGTGCGATCCGCACCCCCGCCTCCTCCCCCCTCGCTCACCTCTGGTGCAGTGCGATAGAGCTCTCAACTAACCGAAAAGTCTTGAGTTCGGATCTCGGACTCGCATCTGCGGGATCCAGCTTTAATGAGTATCTGACTTATGTAAGAACAATCAAGACGGCTTGGCAAGCTCGCCATATTAAGCTACCGGTACTGACCCTGGCCACAGAAATTGATTAACTCAACGTCATCTGCCCACTTGACCATCAAATTTGAAAGGGTTAACTTCAAACGTACTATGACATTTTTTCGAATGATCCAGTCTATTTACATTTTGCTTACTTACATCATAAACCGAATTGTTTGACATACATTTTGTTAACTAGACACTGGATGGAAAAAGCTTAGATTCTGATATTCATTGTTATGGTTGATATTTCCATGCTTCATGTTATTTGTTATCCGTTATCCAATACACGTTCTCATAAATGTAAAATTATCATCAGTTCATTAAAGTGGTTGCTCCTATGTTATGTTGGGGATGATCCATAAATAAAGTTTCGTTTTTTTGACGATTTTTACTTCACCCCTCCACCCGTCACAAAAAGCCAGACCCCCCCCCCCCCCCCCCCATCCAAGACATCACACATTCTAATAAATTTATATTACAATGTATTAAAACAGTTTTCTAAAACACGAAATAACGGCTAAAATTCGCTTTCTAACATCACTTTTTTAATAATACAAAAGTGTGACGTCACACTGACTCTCCTCCCATCATCACACATGGTCACAAAATTACGGAATCCACTCCCCCCTCCGAATGTGACGTCATTCTACCATTTTAATAATCAGCTACAGTAAACTTTTTATTTAACCTCAGGTCTCTTCCAATGTTTTCTGGGAGGCATTGTGCTTAAACAGTCAGTGATACATTGAATCACCACATTGGGGCTTTTGAAATGACGTTGTTTAGTTTCTAAATATTGATATTAAAAACCTGTTTGTATTTTGTTTCGTAGATGAACAAACCATTTATGATAACTGTTCTGTGCTACTGTAACACCATATTAAAGTAATCCACTAGTACAAAACATTACTAAAACAATTCATGAAACATGGTTGAAAAACCAAAAAGTCCCAAGTTCGAACCACCAGGCAGATGAGGTTCAATAGCTGGGGACAGCAACCGATCTAGGAGAGACAAGTCCAAGATAAAACAACTGCTGCCTTGTAGTTGTTTTTGGATGGACAAAGGCTATGACTCATAACAAGTTAATATGTAATACTTAATTGTGTTGGAGAAAATCCCTTTCAACATTACATTTAAGAAAGAAAGAAAAGAAAATTAATGAAAAAAAAAACGATTTTAAAAAGAACATATTTTAATATTATAATCCATTCTGATAAAAACATTTATTTAAACAAAATACTTTTTACATTGATTCACAAGCGCTCACATAATTAATGAAACAAACAGCCATATAATAATAGTAATGAAACAAATGACCATATAATTCACATAAGGAATGAAATAAATAACCATACAACACTCACTAGTAATGAAATAACTGTATATCACATATAAGTTATGAAACAAATAACCATACAACACATATTAGTAATGCAAAAAATAACTGTTAAAGACAAGTAATTAAACAAAACAAATAACACCGAAACAAATGAAAAACACATGGGTAAATGAAACAAAAAGTTATCAAACAAACAGCACAAACACTGGCATAAGTAATGAAACAAATAGTAAACACATAAAAAAATGAAAGAAATACCCAGATAGGTTGTTAACTAATAATAAAAAAATAAAGATTGCACATGTGACTACCAAACATTGGGGATTTTTTTATGGAGAAAATACAACAGGAAACTAAATACTAAACTGTTCATAAACTACAAAAAGATGTTTCTATTTGCAAACATTTACTAGCCATTCTCAAAGCATGAAAGAACTACATCCTTATTTTATTCTCATGTAAAAATAATGCAAGTAGTGTGTGAAGCTTTACAAATTTGAATTCTGAAAATTTAATACCTGGTATTTAAATCTGACTGCAAATGTCTTTCTCATTTCCCAACGTGATTCAAAAAATGGTAAGAGTAGATTAAATTATTGAATTAAATAGATGGAATTTATCATGAGAAATTTGAAATACTAAAAAAAGCATTGTCATGTTTTGATTGTGAAAAAATGGATGTCAATGTAGAGCTACTATATATTCAACCAACAAAGTTCATTTTACCGGTCCATTTTCATTTTAAAACTTGAATGAGATCATTTGTATTTCTGTATGACATTTTGATATGTATATGTACACTTATGTTACAAAATAAAATAAAAAAAACATGATTAGTATGAACATTTTTTGGGGATATCTTTTGAACAAACAACAAGCATTGTAAAAATGTTATCTTAATAATCCACAAGCCTTTGAATATACTTTGGCTAAACTTTTGAACAATCCACCTCTTTTTAGTTATCTCTCAAACAACTCACAGCCTTTGAACATCATTCTGACTTAAACGTTATACAATCGTCAAACAGTTTTTGGCATATCTTTAGTACAACCGCAAGCCTAGAAACAATTTTTTTAATACAGCTTTAGTACAACTTCAAGCATTGGACCATTATTTAGCCTTAATCTTGTATACATCTTGAAAACATCTTGAAAGACATGCAAAGAACCCACCCAGTGACCAATCATCCTGTTAAGACCTATACAGCAGCCTCTGGTAATGAGGGTAGATCTCTGTGTCTGGAATATGCAGGTAGAATTCTATGGCTACAAGACACTCTATCTCATATTGTAACAGCTCTTTTCTGCTTACACGAAAATCATCAACCACTTGCTGGAAATTAAATGAAACAAATTAGACAATCAAAATATGAAAATGGATAAGCAAAAGTATTTTACAATTAAAAACATCAACCACTTGCTGGAAATTAAATGAAACAAATTAGACAATCAAAATATGAAAATGGATAGGCAAAAGTATTTTACAATTAAAATCATCAACCACTTGCTGGAAATTAAATGAAACAAATTAGACAATGAAAATATGAAAATGGATAGGCAAAAGTATTTTACAACAACCACCTGTTGGGAATGGGATGTAAGCAAAAGTATTCTCTGTCAGTCAAATTATATGATTTGGTCTTCTATTTCTATTGAGCCTGATTAAAATGAAACAAATAAACAAATTAAAAAAAAAAGAGTTACCTCAATAAGTTTGGTCAATGTTGGTCCTTTAACATCATTCAATTTGCTTGACAACAGTAAACATGCACCAGCACAAAGTTTACGATTTTGTTTAGTTATAAGTTGCTGAGAAAAAAGTTTTAAGTTATGAGGTGGGGGTTGCACAGGAAGCTTTGTTTGGTTGTACATTGGATTTTTTTTGCTGTTTCATAATTATTTTTAACGAGGTGTTTGAGAAGTTCTGAATAACAAAAATATTGTGGAAAAATTTTGATAACTTAAATAAAAACTAAAGTTTTCTATCATTTAAAAAAAAATTGACTTACCTTTAAAATTATTTTTTCAAAAAATACATAAGACTGTGCTACTGTCCACAAGTCTACAGAACACTGAAAACAAATTTTTACAAACTGATATTTTTTCTCAAGACTAAGTGATAGAAAAAAAAACATCACTGAGATAGAATAATCATGTTCTGAAACATGATATGTCAAGTATTGTAGTTTCAAAAATTTTTAGGTTTTACTATAACTGTAATTTCTAGGTAAATTTTTATCAGTTTATAAAATAATCTAAGTAGTTTTACATGTTCAATACTGCTTATTTCACATATAAATTCACAGTCTTTGGTAAGATTTAAATTCCTTGAATTTCTAAAAACTTAATCTCGCATCAATAATTAACTTTAACATTTTTTTAAGAAAAATTCCATATGATACAAATATAGATGTTGATTCTGATAGATTTTTAAAATGCTGTTCCTGATTATGTAGATAACTCATTTTGTATATTTTTATGTTATAACGCCAAATTACTTTAGTTTGATACAGTAGGAATTCTTAATGAAGAGGATGCAACTGTCATTAATAACAAAAGAGCTTAGTTGTATGATCTATGTAAGTATTGCAGATTTGTCAATATTAAAATAATGGTCTTACCTTGACATGGGAAATTTGATATAGTTCTCTTTTTAAGCTGAAAGAAAAAAAGTTTATAATGTATGTTTATTTTATAAAATGGGATAGATTTTTTCTTAAACAAAAAGGCAACTGTTTTCATTATGGTAATTTAAATTTCCCTTTTTTACCAAGTATATAAAATTGATGTCATTATGATTTATTACTTGCAGAATCCTCTCAGATGCACTAAATACTTTTATTATTTTTCAAAATTTACCTTCTTAGTTTAGAGAGCGTTAGCTGTACATTAGGAAACCTATCTTTGAACTTTTCATTTAATTCTTTTTTTAACATAGATGGCTTGACATAGTCTATAATAGATGTCTGAAAAAGAAGTAGAAATTTTAAAAATTATTTCTATTAGCTAGGCAGTACTTGAACCTCAACTAAGCAAACAGATGAAACAACTGAAACAGATGAAACAACTGAAACAGGTGAAACAACTGAAACAGAGAACATTGAGACAAATCAGAACCAACCAGGTAGGATTTAAATGTTAACTCTGTCCTATAACTTCCAGACTGGAGCTCTGGGTCATCCAGTTTGTTGGCGTGGTAAGCGTCACTAGAGTCTTCTTGTACTGAAATGTTGGCAGGTCAAATGTTAACAGGTCGGGGTAAAAACCTCACACATCTGACAGGTAACACTAATTCACCTCTAGAAATGTTTACCCGATTCATCTTAAATTCACATCACACAATAATCTCAAAGTAATGTTGATATGTAAATCAAAGTTAAATATTCACATTATTTAATATAGTTGCTTTAAGATATTTTTTTATAATTAAACAGAAATTTTGTTTCCATTAAAATTAATAAAATTTCAAAATGAGTTGATGTTGGTCACATTAAAAAGATTATTTTTAATACCAGATACTAACAACTTTTAGCTATTTTATAGTGTACAAAATAAAGTGGAATGGCATGGTTGAGTGGTAACCACATAGGTACCTGACTCAAGCCAGAACAAGTCAATACAGCTGGGCATAATGCTGACCATAGTCATCTAATATACTGGGGATAAAAAGCAGATACTCTACTTCATCTGCCATATGAAAAAATACCAATGGTGTAAACATACTGATGATTCATTACATTCTAATACATTTGGATTTTCTATAAGATAACACGGACTGGTAAAATTATAATAAAGTAAATGTGGAAAGGTTTTCAAATAATGTTTAAAGTGTTAATATTGGGCAAAAAAAGAAGTAAGAAAGCTGAACAAAATAAGTGTTAAATTCTAGGGATCAAATGAAAACAAACACTACCTAAGTTATAAAGCTTTGCTAAATCAACTGCTAGATATGAGAAAGCATAAAAAATATATATGGGTGTGGTCAAGAGTTGTCAATGTTCCCCTTTACATAGATCTTACTTAAAACAGATGGTAAAATAATTATTTTAACCTATTTTTAATAAATGTACCTAAAAATATTCCTTTTTTTCCTCCCCTTATCTGCTGATAAAATATTGGGGAGTGAGAGTTGTCTGATTGTCAATAGCTAAATGCTGTTAAAGGATTCATAAGGTAGGAAGCAGATGATTTATATCACAGTAGTGATTTCAAATAGCATTAAAAACTTGATAGTTTATTTAAAAGGGCTATTGTCAAAACAGATAGTTACATTGCAAAATATCTCAAGACAAAATATTTCAGAGACAAAATATCTTACTGATAAAATAAAATACCTCAATGAAAAATATCTCAGACTAAATACCTCTCTGACAAAAAAACTTAGCATGGAATATCTCACTGACAAAATATTTCAGACACTGATAAAGTCTCTCAAGGAAATTAAATCTCAGGACAAAATATTTAACCATCAAATAAATTACCTCCCTTATTAAATATTTCACAGATATATAACCAATCAAGGACAATATATCTCAAGGCAACCTATCTCAGAGACGAAATATTTTAACTGTTTAGGAAGCAATTAGTTACTTATGGACTGAACATTCCAGAATGCATCATTCTCCCCTCCATGAGAACAGCTCGCAAGGCCACAAACAAAAAAGTATAGAAGCATTACAGTACCTGTCTCCAGGTGACAGTGCCACTGCCACTGGTTACTATGGGGGTGCCACAGGTGTTGGGGAGGGGTGTCATGCAGCACACGTGGACCCTCTGGATCTGCCAGTGTACAAGTCTGAGTTAACCTGTGTCCCCCATATCCATAATCTCCCTTACAAATCAACTTCCTCATTGGACAACCTTCTTCATCATCCAACCCCAATTTCAAAGGTATTTTTTTTTTAATTTTTGGATTTTGATAAAATTTGTATTAAAAGAAAGGGGACCTCAAAACAACTATAAACCCTATGTTTTTGTAGATATATATTAGCAAAAAAAGCTGGGTGTGTCAGTTAGTTCATAAACAATGTGTAAAGCACAAGCCTTTGTAATGTAAGAGCTAGAGCAAAGGTGTAAATATACAAAATATTGAAAACTTGTAAAGGAGATTGTAGGGTTTGAACTACATGCAAATAAACAAAAGCTAAATTAAAATAACTAAATTACAGTGACAAAGTATAGTTCTCTGTGTTAGGTAATAAAGTAATTGACTTTAAAAAATGTTGTGCAAATAAATATTTTTAAAAATCTAAAAATTGAAATGAAACCATATCCAAATATTGATTATGTGGTGCAAAATATATATATAATATATTACGTTAATCTAATTTTAAACTGGTAATTTTTAGGCCCATATATAATAATGTAATCTATAAGACCAGTTGATTACATGGTTGCAAGTGTTACTTCATCAGAATGTAAGTCAAGTCTATGATAATACAATCTACACCAACTCACACAATGAGAGCAAGCCAAATACCAATACATACATAACAAAGTAGATGCTGTTTTAAGCATTTCTGATGATCCTATCAAAAATTAGCATTTACATTTTCTTATAGATAAATAACTTAAAAAGCAAAAACAAGAATTTTAACAATTCACACATTTAAAAATTATATGAATTTTTGGGGACGAGTAATTTAAAAAGTGGAAATCGCAGGAGGAAAATAAAAGAGTTTGAAAAGTTACCAAATAAAAATACTTACTGCTAGATATTTGGTCCTTGTGCTCAGCTAATGTCCTCTTAACATTCCTTCTGTTTGATGCCACCAAGAAGCGACTATAAGAAACTTCCTACAAATTTTATGTAAAGATAATTTAGCAACATTTCTTGATTTTAAAAATAACTTTTATTCCGATATTTATAGAAAAGTTGGAATAATTAAGCCTTTTCTTAAATTTTGTAAACATAATGAATTTCAACTACTGCTATATAAAACCTAATAGAAAATGTTAAAATATAAAATTATTTCATCATCAGTTCAGAAAGGTTATTGTTTTTTTTTTTTTTTTGTTTTTTTTTTTTTGCAGTTTCACTCACTTCCTCTTGCTTAGCCCCATGCTGGAGCCCCACAAACAAAAGACCTTCCTGTGATGAATGGGACCTAGACCCAGAATGCCCTGATAAATGTCTGACACGACTTTCTTCTTCTTGCCTGAAAAACAAGAATGAGGGTAAAATGAATAATGCTAACATAGGAAAATAAAATTAAGTTTTCAGAAAACCTTCAGACAAGATAAAGATTCTTGTTATTGTCTGTACTAGGATAACATACATAGGTTAGCCATTCTATTAGACTGACCCATTCTAGTACATTTGTTTACAATAAAACTATTTTTTCTAAATTTAACCTACTTATTCCAACTTGATAAGTTATATTCAGTTATATAGATGGTAATATTATTTTAAGTTAAGCCTTTTTGTATTAAGAAGTAAAGAACCAGTACACTATCACTAATAAAACATTTCAGAAATTGTTCATCAAGAAATTTATAACAAAATATCATAAATAAGTTGATGTTTTAGTACTCTATCATCAATACATTTATTCAGGAATTGAACAGCATCATCTCTATTGCCAATAATCTTTAAAAAATTGTTTAAATCACTGAAGGTCATCTGCATCATCCATAATAACAAAAATAGCACAGCAACCCATGTTATTTTCCCACTAGCACATCAGTGAACAACAAAGTTAAATACGCTCTCATTTATGTATGCTCTTCCCAATGCAATAATTGGATGTATATTTGATATCCACAAGCATTTTAAATCTTCTTTTAAATGATGCAGCGAAACATCCTAAGGACTATAGTGACTATAACTAAGGAACAGGTGCATTAGGTATACAAAGCAGCTACATGTTTCATAATGTAAGTACAAGATTTCAAAAACAAAAAATTACCTGGGTGTAACTTGTGATGTAAAAGACAATACAGAACAAACTGCTAGTGGTATTCGATCTCTTGACAACAGATAAACTCTGTATATGAGATCATAGTGGTAGTTTCTTTGGTTTTTATTTATGATTGTGTGCTAAAGGCTCCAGTTAAAACATCAGTGTTTGAGTGGTTAGATGAAATATTTGTTTATGACCATTACTGTTTTAAGGGAGGTTTAACATATATGTGCAGCCAGTAAACTGCACTTGGCGTTATAACATAATCTTTTTTTTAGCTGCATTGGAATTTTAAGTTCAACAAAATATTTCTTTATTAATAATTATAAAATTATCATCTACATCTTTGGGAGAAAATTGCATTAAGTGTTACAACTGCCTATTTATAGGAGGTATTTCATTTTTAAATCAATACATTAAATGTTTCCTTTTAAAATTTACATTAAAACGCAAATTAAAAATCAGATGTTTTAACAGAAGATCCCTAGTCATACAATAATTAAATTTAAAAAAAAAACTTTATTAGTGTAAGAAATTAATAACAAACAAAATACTGAGCGCAAACACGGTAGGTGTGCACAGTTTGAATATAATACAACATGAAGATAAATGTAACGGCAGACAAGTGTAGATGAGTGTATATAGGATGGTAGGAATTAAATTTCAAATAAATGAAATAATTATAACAATATGAAATAGATTTAGATTTAAAAAATGTTAATGAAACCTACACCGGAATTTTTTTATTTTATTATAACTTTTAGCTTAGAAAGCTTTTTGTAGTTAAAGAATTGTATGTGCATTATCAGTGCATTTGACAAGGGTTTGACAATTATATTCAACCATCAGAAGCCAGACACTAAAACAATGACTGGAACTACAGTACTAATATGTGCTAGAAATCTTGTTTTAAACAGAGAAAGATCTGCCTACCTTTTATCTTTAACATTAGAAAATAGCTTTGTATCTGCTGTTAAATAGCTCAAATCTCTGGTACTGGATTCAACAGACTCTCCAGACACTGAGCTAGAACGACGGCTTCTTTCACCTGTTGCAAATTTTATAAATATAGAAAAATCCCGTAAATTATGCTCTAAAAACTAAGCATATTCTATCTGTAGTAATAGTGTATCAGTTTTTAACAGTTTGAAATCAGGTATCTGTGTGATTTAAGAAGAAGTGAACACTGACAATTTTTTTATCTAAACTTATTTAGATTATTACACAAAAATTGAATTTTTTTTTTAAAAGCATAGTTTAGAACATTAATATCTTTGAGCTGAAAGAATTTCTTAGTAATAATATATTACATTTTCATATGCTCTGTTTAGAGCTTAAAATATATATTTTTTAAAAGCTTTTTTTAAAAATAAAACATACATGCTTTTGTTAAAAATTAATGAAAATTAAACTATTACAGCAAAGCATAAGAGAAAACGTAAATAAATTATTCCTGATCCATTTATCTACATTTATGTCCTTACTGCCCCTTAGCAAGTCGTAAGTCATATTATACCTTGGTCAACTTTTCTTGACTTTTGTTATTTTTAATCCCTCTGTTTCATAATAAACTACATTCAAATAATATTTTTAATCTGGGTACATCAGCAAATAACTTGCCTTAAAATATGTTTTTAATTTATATTTGACACCACTGAATCTGGGAGTACAGATTATAGAAGCTGCTTAAATTAAAACATTTGTTAAAACTATCTCCAGCAACCCTGGTGCTTCTGCTTAAGAGCACAATAACATGTTGAGCCAAATATCATCAAGCATTCAGATAATTCCATTAGTATAATTATCAGTAAAGTTGTTTTTGATCTATTCTATTAAAATGTAGGCTACTTATTAAGCAGAATGAAGACAATTTCCATTAATTAATTTGTATTAAAGTTGTGTTTTTTTAAACATACATAATAAAGTGAATTAAAAACAAAACTACCACAAAAGTTTTAAATTGAGAGAAAAAAATTCAATTAAAAATAAAAAGCATAATAAAACCATTTAAAAAAAAATTCTTTGTGTGTGCAAAAGCAAGTTAAAGTTTTATCAGCTTCAAATAAATTATTTTACTTGCAAAATACTTTCAAGTCCACAGCTTAGAAAAAGTTTACTATAAATCTCATTACCATCACAGATAACTACTACCAGTTAATACAATAATAAGTGTTATCATAAATGTTATGATTATTCTGTTTCTGTCACAAGCAATTCATTAATTTAGCAGAGCTTTATTTAAATTTAAATCATTAATTTCAATATAAATTAAAGCAAATTTTAAATCAAATTTATTTTTAAACAATATCTAAAGCTTAGCATGCATTACTATCTAAACCCCAAGCAGTACCAATGCTTAAGGAGTCTTGCATTACACTGACACATGCGCTTGTGAATCAATAAATCTTCAGTGAACACAATATTCAATGTTTTCCATGAATTGAAAAAGAGGATAGTCACCCAATCCCTGACCCTCTCCAAATATCTGTCTTTTAATGGCAAGTGGAAATCGATCAAATGGATCAGAGTGTAACTGTAACAGTTTTCTCATTGGCTTACCAGGTTTATCACCACTGGAATATGAGGAGGTCCTAGAAGAAAATAATTTTAAAACACATTATGTTCTTATTAGTAGTAAGAATATTTGTTTTTTTTTAAATTTTACAGTTACTAAATTAAGCTTACTATTTTCCAAAAATAAAAAGGTCAGTAATAGTAACAAATTCAAACCAGTCAAGTCAGGCAATGTGATGTTTTGAAAACACAAGCTTGCATTGTGGTACTAAAATAAGGAAATATTTTCTTCCCAAGGTGCTGGCATTTTCTTTAGAATCAGGCTGATTATATTATATATTTAAGAGCCCAATTTTTTTCTTGATCTGGATCTATTCTAGTTTAGATGTCCTGGTTAACAGGTCACTGTGAGTTCATTGAACAATATTATTTTAGACTATATTTTAAAAAAATTTAGAACTACATCAAGATATTTTAAATTGTGAACATTGTCGACCACTCACATTTTCTTTGACAGCATGAGAAAAATACAGCTATATTAGGGATCAAAGTCAGTGGGTATGCATCGTCCATGACGTCAAACTCATAGGGAGTGAGGGGAGGCTTTTTGTGACGATGTGTAATGGAGAGGAGGGGCGGAGGTGAAATAGTCAACAAAGTGTGACTTTATTTTTATAGATGACCACATACAATTACTTTCACATAGGTCATAGCCTGAGCAATAGTAAATACAACAAACGTACTTGGGGTCATTGTGAGTTCATTTAATCTTGTCAGAGCGAGAAATATACAGCCATAATTGTTAATGTAAGACAATCTTCCAATCTTTTAATCAAAGCGAAAGTAAAAATAATAAAAAATAAAAACTTAAGCCTATACATCAAATACATTCAATCTTTTTGTAAAGTCTGAAAAAACCAACCAGACAGGATTTTATAACCATAATTAATAATTTTAACTAGGCCTACACCGTCGTGCATGATTTTTAAAATGTTAAGTTTAATGGGCCTCTCGAATACCTTTGCCTTTGAAACTTTTCTCACTAGGGTCCATACTTTAACTTTTAGTTCAGAGCATTATCAATTTTCTAAATTTTCAGCATTTTGATTCCCTACTCAGTACTCACTCACCTCCATCTTTTGACTCCTTGACCATCTGCAGTTAGGCGTTCAGATCTAAAGCCCTTTGGCGATTTATTGTTACTCTGAGGCACACCCCTTTTAAGACCATCATTATCTTTTTTGGGAGAAAATTGTTCTTGCTCCTCTGCTTCTGCTGTGTCATTTGAAAGCTCCTGGTCATTATTTTCTTTCTGACGTTTTTGGGTTTTGTCGTAGATGTCGTTTCCGTATTCTAAGTTATCTCTATCTTTAATATTATCTGACAGAGAAATGGCTGAATAAGTTCCATCGAGAGAAATATTCGATAAAAAGCTAAGGGCTGCAAGTCTTCGTCTAGAACGATACTTTTGTTGACGTCGAGATGCACTGGCCATCAGAAACGATACAACTTTCTACAAAGAGTTATCTATCCATTTTGTTGCAGGTCTTTTCCGGTTGCGATGACAACATACTTAAGGGAAACAATCATGTTTTTTTTTTTTAATTCACCAATTTATTTAACTGTAGGCCTGCTCATTTTTTTATATATTTTTTTTAGTTCAGTTTTGTAAAACAAAATCTCTTTTAAATAAAACAAAAAATTATGAACTGTTTATTGTTGTTAAATCATATAGATCTGGAATATAGCTACATTTTGACACGTTTCTACCATATTATTTAATATTAATAACATTCGTCATTTATTTATGAGGCAGCCGAGTTTGGCGATTTTGCCATCGTAAAAAAAAACAGAAATTAAATATTTTTAGAATCAATGTCGGAAAGGTTACACTGCAGATAATTTATTTGTTTTTATTTAAGGCTACATTTCTATTTATTTTCGTCACGCCCAAATCATAACTTTTGCAAGATAAACATTGAATTGCTCTACAGACAAGATCAATCTCCTGAAAACCCCACTTTGAGATACTTTGTACTCAAAACTTTTAATAACAATCTCAGAGTTTCTTCCAGGCATCTCTGCGGATATATATATATATATATATATATATATATATATATATATATATATATATATATATATATATATATATATATAGGGGGATCCTAATTGAATGCTAGCCACCGCCGCCGGGAGAGGTCATCACTACACCTCTGTATATTTAATTTATAACAATACAGGAATTTGTACAAAAAAACAAAAGTGTATTTAAAAGAAACAAAACATTATAAAGTACACAAAACATAATTTCAACCACCTCCCTCTTCTCCTCTTAATAATAATCAAATCTCCCTCCATCTTTCTCTAAGGATCTAATCCACATTTTTCTCCTCTTCCCATTCATGATCTATATCTATCTACTTCTTTCAGGGTTAATGTATGTAGGTGAGATTGCGAAGAGGGTTTACGTTTAAGCTTACGTTTATGTTCATCACTTTGGTTGTGGATTTGGCTGGTTGTGGTTATATATATATATATATATATATATATTTTTTTTTTTTTTTTTTCTCAAACATCCATATTTGCATATAGACAATTAGAAATGTATTATTTTCCTAAACCTGTGCATACAACGCTGGGTACTTGTTGCCTATTAAACACACAAGTCAGGGTCCTATACAGATGGCTTTTTCACAAAGGCCAGTGCAGGGCCTGGCCGGCATGGCTAGTGTATATATATATATATATATATATATATATATATATATATATATATATATATATATATATATATATATATATATATATAATGGACTACACACAAAACAAATACACAGCATATAAAACCTCTTTGCTTTTTATTTTTATTCATGGAAGATAAAAAGTCTCTTAAAGTAAGGTGTAATTTTAAAAGAATTGTTACCAGAAATTTTAAGATGTGCATTGAAACTTGCTTAAGCAGAAAAACTAAAAGTCATAGCAAAATTTGTTATAATTTTATTGATGAAATAATCTCTTATAAAAAAAATAATTAATGAATTTATCAAATTAATGTACAAATTAATACTATGACCTTATTTGTAAAGAAAAAGCTATTCATCACAAGAATACATTGAAGCTATTATACAAGAAAATTTGTAATTTCCTTCATATAAATGATTAAATTACAACAAATATTATTACATTAAAGTGTATTTATATCTGATGTGAATTTAAATAAGCGAAAACTGATTTGAAAAAAATAAAATAAATACATTTGATTGAAAATGATTCTGGTGAAAAAACTGGTTTTTAACAGTTTTAAGATTTTTTTTTCTGTTGTTTACAATATTACATTTTAAAGTATAAGGACTGTAAAACATTTATAATTAAAAATCTTCACTTCATAAAAGGTTTGTGTCTGGCTGTAGCACTATGCAAGTCCAATAAATCTCTGAAAAAGAACAAAACATGTTAAATTGTGCACATTATAAGATTGAAGCTTTTCATTGCAATAAAATGAAATTAATCTTACAATTCAACTAAAATATAACTTTATAGAAAAAAAGAAAGCTTACTTTGACTTCATGACTTAAGTCGTTAAAAGTTTTTAAAACTTTGGGGACACTGGGAGGCTCAAAGTGTAAATAGTACTGTGGATGTTTACAAAAGAATTGATTTGTTATCCAACTATTAAAATCATTTTTTAAGTATTGATTTATGTTGAAATTTGGCTAAAATAAAGGTAAAGCAATAACGCTATAAATGAATGAACTTACAGGCAAGGAGCTGGCATTACAAAGCTGGCATTCCCTCTCTCCTGAATCAGCATTACATGTACATGTCTGACATGGGGATGACTTGATGTTCAACCCAACTCGTTTAGCAAACGACTAAATGAAAAGAGTTTCAGAGATCATTTATTCATCCACATATTTTAACCCTGCTTATTAATCTGACAGTACATACATCATGTGCTGTTAGTCTTTAAAAAAGAAATCTTTTTAAAAAAAAAAAAAAATTTCATCATCAAACATTACCTGAACAAAGTCTATGTGTTGTTTTGGTTTTTCATTAAAATTTGCTGTATCAAACACGGATCCTTCAAGACTCTCTACCAACTCCTGACAGAAATCTTCGTCTGTTGTCCCTTCTATGTTTTCCAACAGTACTTGTGTATCAGCACTGACTGGGTCATTGGTGAATGCTTTAGTATTGTCCACACCTAAGGGGTTAAAGTATAAACATTAATTTATTGTGTTAAAGTGCAAGCAAACCATCCCATATCTTATCAAATTAGGTAAAAAATGTAGATGCTGATTTCCATATTAGAATAAATGTAAAGTAAAGAAAAGTAAAGTTCCCTTTTCAAACCTAACGGTCTATAGGGCAAGTAAAGTAGAGTTCACTTGTTTCTGTGACCTCGGCATATGAAGAGATAGTGTGGTCAGCACTATGCCCAGCCGCCTTTACTTTCCCTAACGTGAGTTAGGTACCCATCAGAGTTGGGTGGACTCAGGGACGGTCTACTGACTTGAACCCGGATTCGAACTCGAGACTTACGGTTTAGCAGTCTAGCTCTCTACACCACTCCGTCCCAAATGTGGAGTATAATAAAATAAGTTAAGCAGACATAAAGAGAAAAAAAAGTATAGTTTACACTTTACTGGAAAATTATTATAAAGACTGTTTACCATAAATTCTGAACTTTCTTGGTCTGCTAATAGAGGAATCTAATTTGAAGTCCTGTTTTTGTAAAAGATGGACCAAGAACCCTTTGGACTGGGTTAAAGTGGTCAGATATTTTTTCTCAAGGTAGCTGCCATCACATGATGAGCATGGGGCAACGATGAGAATCTGAAATACAATCACATGAGGATAACAATGAGAATCTGAAATACAATCACATGAGCATAACAATGAGAATCTGAAATACAATCACATGAGCATAACAATGAGAATCTGAAAATACAAGCACATGAGCATAACAATGAGAATCTGCACAAGCACATGAGCATAACAATGAGAATCTGAAATACAATCACATAAGCATAACAATGAGAATCTGAAATACAATCACATGAGCGAGGGGCAACAATGAGAATCTGAAAATACCATTATCTAAAGGGTGTCTATCACAAATTAGCAGGTCTTTGAGGAATCAAGAATAGTTCTAAATTTAACGATTTATCTAAAATATTAAGGTACAGTTCCTTAAGTAAATTCAATGTAGTTTTGAAAAATAATCAATAGCAACTGACAGTGAAATGCATTTAAAAGAGAAAAAACTTTTACTTTAGCTGCATCAGCCCTGAAAGGATAATCCATTGCAGACTTCAAGGCACCTGGGAAGTAAGGTGTTGCTGGGCTGTTTAATGACCTGAAAGTGTACAATTTTAAAGTTCTTGAACACAATATAAATGTTTTTTTTTCGTTTAAAATCATTTTTCGATATTGGTTAAAAAAAATTTAAAAATAGAGTATGTATGTATTATTAGTATTAATTGTAACAGCCAGATGATAAATTTTCTTTTGTTTAAAAAAAAAAATCAAACCGTAAAGTTTCGGTGGCCTTGAGGAATGTAGATGCCTCACCAAAGTGTTGACCGTTTATTGTTCTTACAAGGTTATCGTTGTCCACACCACCATAGGTCAACAATCCAAACCTGTTTTCAGTCATATCTGGGGGGAAAAGGATAGAAAATCACATGATGTTAAACCTGTTTACAGTCAAATCGAGGGAAAAATATAGGAAATCACATGACGTTAAACATGTTTACAGTCATATCCGGAAAAATTATATCATGATGTTAAACCTGTTTTCAGTTATATCTGGGGGGGTGGGATATAGGAAACTGTTAAACCAAGAAAATAAGTATATTTATACATTGGATATCCACCACAATACAATACAACTTTCTGTTGTCTAATCCCCACACCTGATAAATAAAACAGTGATATATTTAACTATGTACCAGTACCTGAAGCAGAGAGTATTTTGTTGATTTCTGTAACTACAGAAGTTAAAGAAGTGGCAGCCCAAGAATTGCAGAGATTTTCTTCCACAACAAATAAAACATCTGCTGTTTTGAAAGTGGATTCTGGGATCTCATTTGTCATTTCAGGGTTGCTACAGGAATCTGCAAAAAATAATTTAACTAATCAATTAGTGTGAAGAGTAAATTAATTTTTTAACATTTTGTTTTTGAATAGAAAAAATCTAAATAGAAAATGAAATGTTATTGAAACATTTAAAGTACATTTACAAACTAAATATGTTTTACTTTCCATTATATATAATGTATCTCTGTACTTACTGTAATCTTTATGAGCACCTAGGTAGACACCATACTCTTCACACATAAATCTATACTGGTCAATGACTTTAGTAACAGCCTCAGTTTCAGCCATCTCAGTCTTGTAAACTCTGCACAAATTTATGAAGGGTGATGGATCAACCTGGCAAGAGAAAATGTTTCAAATAAGAGGCACATACAGTGATGAAATACAAGACTAAAGTACATACATACTAGTTATCAACAATTAAATGTGACTAAATAGAAAGATAGGGGCAGCGTTGCCTAGCGGTAGAAAGCTAGACTGACAACACAAATGTCTCGAGGTTCTAATCCGGGTTCAAATCAGTAGAGCGTCTCTGAGTCCACCCAGCTCTGATGGGCACTTAGCTCATGTTAGGGAAATAAAGACAGCTGGGCAAAGTGCCGAACACATTATCCCCTGTATGTCAAGTCACTGAAACAGATGAACTCTACTTCATCTGCCCCATATATCTAAGCCACAAAAGGGAAAAGATGATGATGAAACAAGACAATGAATATAACACACCTGGTAATATATGGAGTAACCTGGTAATATATGGAGTAAGCGGCACACTGAACAAAGGAGAACTTCAAAAATATTTTTCTCTGTGATTCGCTCTTACCTTTTTAAAGCAAGGTTTGTATTTAGAGCCAGCCCCTCTGAAGACTTTCTCGCACAAGTCGGAAACATCGGGTGATCTGGGAGCCACAGCCACGTTTTTGGAATTGCAGGACTTTTTGGTCACTTCAAAGCTGGTCAGTTTTGTGTCTGGCACTTTGTCGTTGACTGGCTCATTGTCATAGCGACCCAACATTCCAGACAGCTTGCCGTGGTACCAGCCGGCTACTTTCACCTGATACATATCAAGTTTGGGGTTGCTAACCACCTCCAGTCCACCGTAGTAGTTCACACGGATGAAGTCCCCATCACGGACAATCTTAACCTTCTCTGTTGTTAAAGGCATCTCTGCTTCCTTGTTGAGTACCTTTATCTAAAAATTCAATCACAAAATAAAGTAGTATTGCGAAGTCAAAATTATTTTATTTATGTTTAACTTTCTTCAAATGGCAACATGGGAATATTTTATTATATAATAGCAAACTTAAACCCCTACATTTTTGGTTAAAAACTTTTTTTTAAAACGTTCTATTATCTCCATTAAAAATATATCACACTTTGTTTATAATTTGTTTTAGTTCCTAATTGCTTACTGCATAGGAGCATTTTATTCAATATTACTCATATAGTGTAATTTTTTTTTTAAACTATTTAAATGACAAAGTTTTTTTTCTGAAAATAAAACATTATAACAACTGTTATAATCATGACAGAGAAAATTTGTTTACTTTGTAATCATCTGAAATCTCAAAGTTGTAAGAATCCTCAATGGTAAAACACAGAGACTTGATCTGTGGCCTGCCAGATTTCTTCTCATAGTTGACAACCACAGAGAAGCTGTCGTTGAGCATATCACGAACCAGGATATAGTTACATGTGCTGGAGAAATCAAATTGTGACTCATCAAACGTGAAGAAATGCTGGGATCCAACAATGTAGGCAGAACCTGCGGGAGAAAAAAAAATTTGAATATTAAAAATTTAACTTTATTTTTTAAAATTAGTTTTAAAAAATACTGCTTAAGCCAATAATATTTAGTAAAACGCACCATAGAAAGCAGGCTTCCATTTTGAGGGCTGTAGATATGGGACGTAGTCATAGTAACCATTCAGTGTGTCTGTAATGGAGGATGGAACATTGACCTTTGTCCACTGCTGCAAGTTGTTCAGGTAGCTGTTGACTTTAAGTTTTGGCACTTCAGTCAGAGAATTCACGGCCACAGGCATGTGGACCTGTTTAAAACAACAACAGGAGATTTAGGTGAAATGTTAGGATGTATTTATTTTAAAATATGCTTTATATAATGTTATTTTTAAACCTCTTAAAATTTGCAAAATGATTGGTCTATAACGAAAATTAATATAAAATGGATTTGATTCTAAAAAAGGCTTATAGGTAGGCATGTGTGTGGTTAGTGTGTGATGTGTGTGGGTTGTGTGTGGAAGGGTGTGTGGGAGGTTGGGGTATGAGTGGATGTGGCAGTTTGGTTGATTGTAGGTGTGCTGTGTGTGTGTGTTTGCATAAATGTGAATCCTTGCATATGCAGTATATCTATGTGCACAGCCTTTTCAGGTAAAGAAAAATATCCAACTGAAAATACAGAAACCTTTTGAAAAACTGTTTAAAAGATGTATAAAATTAATTGAAAATGAAAATAAATTACCTCAAATTGCAGTTCTCCTCTCTCTAGGTCATAAACAATAACGCGGGACCCTTCTAGTGTTTTCTTGATTTCAGATAACTCAAGGATGACCAGGCTCTTGGCCAGCTCTAACAGTCTCTCTACTGCTGCATCCAAACTCTTCTCTGCTTTCCAGTAGTTGATCTAAAAATACAAACCAATCATTTCACTCATCAAATTAGGCAACAAAAAAATTTCAATTTGTGAGTTGATTTTCTATGAACAGATTAGTATTTTATTTGTAATGAACAAGTTATTATTTAAATTTATTACTTTATCTAAAGATTCAAACCAATAACATCACTTATCAAATCATGCAAAAATAAAGAGTCAAATGTTTTATTAAGAGGTTATAATTTTACTTATAACAGACATGCTATGATTTAAATTTAAGACTTGAACTTAATATACAAACCAATCGCTTCAGTTATGCAAAAATAAGTTTCAATTTTAAGTAAAACATTTTTTCTAAAGTAAAAGGTAAGTAGGCCTATCGTATTTGTACCAGTTTTTTTTTCTTTTTTACAGATTTCTGTTTTATATTAAATGTAAAATGCTAATAAAGCTTTTTCAGTGATTGAGCTTGTTACAGATGTTGCAAAGTTAATTTTTAAATTTTTAATCGTCTTGAGTTTTTCTCTACTGGACCATTCTCTCCAGCTGCCTCACCATGTTTAATAAGCTTTTATTTAGTGACTGTTCGTTTGTGGATAGTAGCAAATCTTGAAACTCGATTTTGACCCACTCCTAATGTATTTATTTTATTCAAACTTTCCATATAAATTAATCTTTGATGACAATGCAAAAAAATCAAATTTTTTTATCTAATTAGATTTTAAAAACAACCATCACAATTAAAAGATTATTAAATTCAATATCAAAAATGGGAATAACAAGATTAAATACTAAAAATGTGTTCTCTGTCATAAAGCAGGTTGCTCATAAAAAACTCAAACACATTTTAGATACCAATGCTTCTATTAAAGAAAACAAGTTTTATTTTTCTTATTTTTTACTGAATTTAAAAGCTTATTATTAAAAAAGGTATTTTTTTATACTTATTTTATTTTAATCTAGGCCTATTTGAGTTTTAACATGAGAAAAAATGTCTGATATAATTTACCTGTTGATGGAATTCACTGGCCTACATGAGTTTTAACATAAGAAGAAATAAGTCTGATATAATTTACCTGTTGATAGAATTCACTGGCCTACATGAGTTTTAACATGAGAAGAAATAAGTCTGATATAATTTACCTGTTGATAGAATTCACTGGCCTACATGAGTTTTAACATGAGAAGAAATGTCTGATATAATTTACCTGTTGATGGAATTCACTGGCCTACATGAGTTTTAACATGAGAAGAAATAAGTCTGATATAATTTACCTGTTGATAGAATTCACTGGCCTACATGAGTTTTAACATGAGAAGAAATAAGTCTGATATAATTTACCTGTTGATAGAATTCACTGGCCTACATGAGTTTTAACATGAGAAGAAATAAGTCTGATATAATTTACCTGTTGATAGAATTCACTGGCCTACATGAGTTTTAACATGAGAAGAAATAAGTCTGATATAATTTACCTGTTGATGGAATTCACTGGCCTACATGAGTTTTAACATGAGAAGAAATGTCTGATATAATTTACCTGTTGATGGAATTCACTGGCCTACATGAGTTTTAACATGAGAAGAAATGTCTGATATAATTTACCTGTTGATGGAATTCACTGGCCTACATGAGTTTTAACATGAGAAGAAATAAGTCTGATATAATTTACCTGTTGATAGAATTCACTGGCCTACATGAGTTTTAACATGAGAAGAAATGTCTGATATAATTTACCTGTTGATGGAATTCACTGGCCTACATGAGTTTTAACATGAGAAGAAATAAGTCTGATATAATTTACCTGTTGATAGAATTCACTGGCCTACATAAGTTTTAACATGAGAAGAAATGTCTGATATAATTTACCTGTTGATGGAATTCACTGGCCTACATGAGTTTTAACATGAGAAGAAATAAGTCTGATATAATTTACCTGTTGATGGAATTCACTGGCCTACATGAGTTTTAACATGAGAAGAAATGTCTGATATAATTTACCTGTTGATAGAATTCACTGGCCACAGCATAGGTGTGTTGGAACTCCGGCCTAGCCATGAAATCATGGTACTGATCCTGGAGCATCTGCTGCCATTTCATGTACATGGTATTCATCCAGTCAGATTGACCTGGGAGTGATCCTTGAACTTGCTGCATCATCCTCTTATACATGGGCAGCTCATGGATAGATCGGGTATAACCTACAATTTGATATAAATTTTAAAACTAATTTCTTTAAATTGTTTCATGAATATTGACACTTTAAAAAATATTAAACATTGACACATCTATAGACATAGATCTAGACATAGTCTATATAGTAAGAAATTAAATATTTAAAACTATGTGATTTTAAATATTTAGAATAACTAAGTTTAAATACTTATAAGACAAAAACTTGTTTTTTTTTACATTTCTTTTAAGCTATTAGAAGAGTGTATTCATAACTTTTTTGGAGGTACCAAACTGAGGATAACTAAAAATTGTAACTGGAAAACTTGAAAAATTAGTTTTATTCTAATAATACAATGTCAATAAAGCAAAGAAAAGAAATTTAAAAATTTAAAGTCAAAAATAAAATTTTAGAAGACAAATTATTTATCAAGAAGAAATCTTACTCATTAATTTGCGATCAAGAGACCTAGAAAGCTCGAGGTATTTCTTGTGTGAGATATCTGAGAATTTTCCCATTTCAACAGACACATCTTTGAGGGCTTTCTCGAGCAGTCCACGGAAGTTCTGGTTTAAGAGTAGCATTTGAGTTAAGTTTTATATAATATTGGTAGTGGTTCTCTCTAGAACATGTCTGATTAATACTAGTAGAATTATCATTGTAGTAATTAAATGTAATATTTTATAATATGACTAGTTGTGATTTCATTCAGAGCAAGTCTGATTTAAACTGGATCATTGTAGTAATTTAATCTTTTATTAAATTTAATCTTTTATATGATTAGTAGTGATTTCATTCAGTCTGATTAAGACTGGATAAGGAGTCAGGGAAAGTTCTGTTTAAAGAGTCTGATTAAAGACTGCATTAGCTGTGCCTGTACCTTTAAGCCATTAACGAGCTCTTCAACTGTGGTGGTGTATTTGTAAGCAATGGGATAGGTCTTAAGCTTGTTGAGCCAATCACTGGTAGCATCATTGATGCTGTTGCAGTAGGCACGGTATTTCAAAACAGCTGTCTGCAGGTCTTTTCTGAAAGTGGGAGTTTAAAAACATGGACTATATTGCTTTACAGGAACAATTTAAAATGCAACAAATTAATACTAACTTTTGGGAAGAATTAAGGTAGGGAGGCAGAGATATTTTCTACAGGAGGATGATGTATACATTCTTAATATTCACACTACATGTGTAAGTGAGCTATTCACAGTGTAAGTGAGCTACAGTTAATGTGAGGATGCTAGCACTACCGATTTTACTACTTTGTATGAACCTCAGAGCAGCCAAATCCAGGTTCAAGTCAGAATGGTCCTGAAATCACCCAGCTCTGATGGGTACCTAACTCACATTAGGGAAAGTAAAGGCAGCTGGGCATAGTGTTGACCACATTATTCCTTCATATTTAAGAAACATAAACTCTACTTCATCTGCCCAATGGATTGCTAGGTCTTAAGAGGAACTTGAGTATATATTTTTTTTACTCACCACAGCTACAATGTTTGTTTAGCTACAGTTAAATTAACTCAACCCACATACACACAAACTGGTCTAGCCAAAATCAAGGTTCAATGACCTTGATAACTATAAAAAGAAGTACAAGTTGTCACTAACTCCACCTACCCTGGAAATCTGTTTTCCAGTCACAATACTATTCTTTTTTTTTCTATTGATCTTAAATTCTTAATTGTTTTAAATTTTTGTAACTAAAGCATTGCGCAAGCAGAAAGGTCTAGAATTTTGGTTGTTTAAAAAAAATGTATCACTTACAGCATGTTATCAAAGGCAGCTTTAATTGAATCCCCCAGAAGTTTGATGTTTAGGTCGTTACGCTGGTAGAACCGACGGAACTCAGTCCTCACAGTTTCCATCTGTTTGCTACAGATTGAACAAAAAAAATCACATATTTCAATGTTGGATCAAAATTTGTTAAAATGTTAATCTTGGCAAAATATATTGCAGATGAAAACCAAAACAGAAATGTTTTTTTATAATAAAAAAATATTACCTCAGTCCATGCATTTCTTTGTCCATAAGGTCAAACACCTGACCCATTTCTGACATCAGCTCTTGTGATATCAACAAATATTTGGCCTTTACATCTACTCCTATCTGATTCACACTGTTGGCAAATACTTCGTTGGCAGAGTAGGAAAAGGCTGTAATTTTTGTGCCTAAGTATGTCTAGAAAATATAAAATTACACATGGAATTTATTTAATTACGTAATATTTTGTGTTAATGTGCAAATATACAACAAGTAGCTGCTTGGCTATGATCACTTAAAATTTTAAAAATTTACTACAGCTTGATACAGATAATTGATTATGATGTGCTTTTTTAAACTCTTAAACTATTTATGGAATTATGGATGAAATTTTTTTACACTTAAAATAAAACAGACCTGCATTTCATTGAAAAGTGTTGGCCTCCACAGAACACGGGTGTGTAGAATTTGTGAGGTGTTGAGTCTAAAAGCTATCATTGCTTCGGAGAGAGGCTGTCCACCATTTTGTGAGAGTATGTCAACTTGCACTGCACTATCATTGACGTACCGGCCAACCATGCTGACCATTTTCCTGGGGTTTTCTGAAAAAATTTGTAATGTGGAATAAATTCCGTAGCATGTAACAATTTGATAGTGATCATTTTTCTTCATCTGTCAGAGAATACAAATTTGTGTGGATATATTTTTTAGAAGATTTAATTTTTTTTAAGTTAAATCCAAATTGGCTCTTTATTATCAATGTTGTTGTTCTTGAGTACAGTTTAGGATACCAGCACTATCAATTTGATAAAAGTAAAAAAAAAATGAATTCAATTAAACTGGTTATTTAGGAGTAATTACCATTATCATAGTTGAACTCAACATTAATCTTCTTCCGTTTCATGTCCCTTGCAAGATTCAAGTTGAGAGTCTGTTTGTCATCTTCATAGCTGGTTATAACAATTTGTTGGTAGCTAGGAGTTTCGTCAACTTTTCCTTGAATGGCAACTGTCTTTATGGGTGTGGCAACCTAATTTAAGACACAGATCTTTAAAAAACATACTTATAGTAATTCAGGCTTAGTGGACTAAATTTTATGCCTATTTATAGCAATTATTTTTAATAAAAATGACATCTATCATGTGTAATATAAAAATGTTAAAAAGTAAATATTATATTCACTGAAACAAATATAAACCAAAACATTGCTATTAGATCAACATTAAGGAATATAGATGCATATACTTGTATGTTAAGCAAAAGTTGTTTAACGTCCAAATATATACATATCAAGCTCTAATTTGATGATTATTTTTGTCCAAGAAACCTTCAACATAGACACTATAAAAATTATATTTTGGAAACAAAGGACTACCTTAAGATCCATGAGTTTATTCTCTCTGTCGAGCTTTGTCCAGAATTCTAAGGACTTTTGTTCCATGTTAGCAGTAAAGAAAGTAAACTTGCTTCCAGCTGAACAAATATTCTCAACTTTACCAACATGGGAAGTGATCTATAAAAAAAATATTTATCAGGAAACATTTTCATTCAGAACAAGTAAACAAATACTTACCTTGTTGAAGCTAACAGACATTTAACAACATCACAAATGTTATTTTAAATACACATTATATTTCAAAGAAAAAAAAGTTTATTTTAAAAAATTATGCAGGTGTATAAGTTGAAATCTCAAACAAAAGTGTAGTATCTCCCTGAGACCACTTAGCTCTGATGGATACCTGATTCACAGAATGACCATAGAACATGACACATTATTCCTTCATATGCCAAGGTGATGGAAACAGATGAACTCTACTTCATCTGCCCTACTGACTGCCAGGTCAGAAAGGGTAACAAAAAAGGTTTAACTTTCAGACAACTCATCTTAAAAATGGCTAATTTTTTATACTCAAATAAAAAAAGAATAGGTTTTTTATTTATTTTTTGCTAAACTAAAAATAAAAATACAAGCATCAGTGCATGTCTTACCTGTATATTTGTGTTGGTGACTGGATGCTCAAAGGTGAGATCCGCAGTGTAGTTGTAATTTTTCTGTGAGCTGCTGTGGGAGTTGGTGATCACCGAGGTCACTGTGATTGTCTTCCTTGGATCGGATGAGTAGGAGATTTCAGCTTTACTGTCCACAAGTGTGGAGCCATAGCCGGCCCTAGTGGTGGCTCCCAAGTTGAGTTGCTGGAGAAATTAGAACAAAAACATTAGCTAGAGTAACAAACTAACAAACTTGAAGGTCACGGCCGAAAATATATGAATATTTTTCTTTGTTTAGAAAAGTAGTAATGTATTCATTAAACTTCACCTCAATTTTACTTTTTATACAGCAAAAGTGTAACAAAAATGAAAGCAATAGTGAAACCAAAAATGTCTAATGACTATAGTTAATACAGTTTTAAGGGGACCCTAAATATTTTAGAGTTATCTTTCGTGAACATGTAAATTTTTACCTTGTTGATGGTAGGCAGGTTAATGTTCAGGTTAACACGCTTCAGGTTATCTCGGTCTTCTACTGTTGTTGTCATGGTAACCTGCATTGTGGCAAATTACAATGTTTTCAATGATTAATAATTTTTACAAAATTTTAGAATATACTTTACAACTCTACATTAGGTAGATATAAATAATTCAATTCAAATTGCAAATTTAAAATATTCAAAGAATTAATTTTAAAAATAGGGTAGTACTAATGAGTTTCACTTATCAAAATAGGGCTATCACAATTAAAATAATTATATTTGAAAAGATGCATGACAAATTTTAAAATAGTTGTTTTCAACTTGGAAATTAGTATGATCTTAAACTAGGCTGCTGAAAAAATATAATTTAACAAAAAAAAATTGTTTTACCTTCTTTTTCTCATCTTTTTCAGCATCCCAGAAAAACGCACCATAAGTGGTCTGGCTGTTGTCGACGTCGCTATGGGAACCTTGGATCTTCACACTGCGTTGTGGCACGCCAACTTTGACGTGACCCTCGTACATTTTACTGTACATGGACGTTCTATTCAACCAGCTGATGTCATACAAGAAGGTGTTGCTGTTGTGCTCGTCCCAGCTGATCTGACCGGAGCTGAGCATTTCCTTATCCGATTTCTTGAAGCTGCTCGTCAGGCCCATAATCCGCGCAGGGTGAAGAACTCTGAACTTGAAATTTTTATCCAAGCTGTTGTCGTCTGATTTATCGTTGTAGAAGGAGACGATCTCAATGTTGGATTCCGGAGAAAGTTTATCCCAGTTCAGTTTGAACGTGCCGTCCAGTTTTCTGGGGTCAGCCATGCCGACCAGTGACATTGCCATGGGTCGTGGGCTCTTCATGTTGATGTTTCCCTCATGCTTGTCTCCAAACTTGTAGCTGAGATCCACATCCAATAAATCTTTGTTGTTGTGGGTCAAAACGATGGCCTCGCTCACTGTTTTTTGTCCGAAGGTGTGTGTAAGCTTCAGATTGGCCATCTTGGCTTCGTCAAACGGCGTAGCAAGTTCAAGGTCTGCGGTCAGTTTGGTGCTTTCATCATCTCTAGCCAAATCGTACTTGTTTACTAATGTTATTTCTTTACCAGCTTGCCAGCCGAAGTTAAGAAGAGAGGAGCGGGTTGTGCCAGATTCTTTTGACTTAAAGTTCAACTTGAGATTTTCCATGTTTTTGATGGTACCTGTTACAGTAGCATCCCCATACATATCAAGGATAGACCTGAAGCTCAGATTAGACTTGGCTTTAGCCTCACCGTAAACTTCAGACTTGAGGGTGGAGGTCGTCTTGACCTGAGACCAGCCCTGGAAGAAATGCTCCACCGCCAGACTCAGAGACTTGACATTCTGGTACGGCGTGTCCAGCTTGAAGTTCATGTTGACAGGCTGGTAGTTGTTGTTGTCAATGTCGTAGTCCAGTGTTGCTGGTTGCTGCGCTAGTGTCAGTTTCAAAGACGCGCGGCCATTGACTTTTTGTTCTTTTTCGTTGTATTTTCCAGTGACTGTCAAAAATTCAAAAGCTTTGAACGGGCCTGTTACTGTAAGTGTCATATCATTATTATTAGCCAATATCATCTTTCCGCCTAGCTGTTCCCCATTACCAGCTATAATAACAGCGTTTGCAGTTAACTTGTTGTTTTCAAATACGTGTTTGTAGTTGAGTTTATTACTTTTGTATTCAACTATTGGTAGAGTCAGTGTTGAATCCACGTTCCAGTTGCTTTCCCCAGATTTCAGAGCATTGAATAACAAAACTGCTTCGTTATCATCTTTGTACACCAAAGTTATCGTCCCTTCATGTTTGTTATCCTGGCAGTCAACAGCCACTCGCAAGCCGACGTCATTGTAGTCTTGGAAAGACGTTTTCACCTTCAGGTAAGCATTCTGTGTGGTCATAGCGCTGGTCACAGTTTCAACATTTCTACCTAGCTCTATGTTAACCTTGTGGTCATTGTAGTAGCTGTCCAGTTCTGCCTCTACCTGCACACCGTTCGGTTGCCACTGGCTGCTTACAATAGTGCCAGCTTTTCTGCCCACGCCATCAAACAAGTATTCATTTCGGATATTGTATTCAAACTTGGTCTGTGAGAGCCCCATGGAAGTGTAAAAATCAATGAGATATTTCTGGCCATATTTACCATACACGGTGAGGATTCTTTTACCTAGTTCTTCACTATTTTCCCGTTTTAGGTAGTAGGACAATGATTTAGTGTATGGAGTTTCTAGAGTAGTGCCCAGAGCTGTCTTGGATATTAAATTAGAATACTGCATAGAGACATTGTACGGTCTAGAGGTCTTCCCTACTTGAAGAAAACCACCAATGTTGAAGTCGTTGGTGGTCATCCCATCTCTGTGAACCGTCGCCTTTATGTAGCTGGTGTCTGCCCCGGGGAAGCCGTAGGTCAACCAGGCTCGGGTGCTCTCATCCCGATGCTTGAGTCCAACATCTAGATCCAGGTCGTAGCCATTGTGTGCGGCAAAAATTTTATTCTGGAAGTCAGTCCAGGAATTGGATAATTTTTTAAACCCAATCATGGTACGCTTGACACTCGGGGCAGTGAGGGTGAAGTTGGCGCCGATGGCATCACCCCAGTCTAGCTGCACTCCGGCTGCTACTGTTTCAGAGAGGGAGGAGGAAATCTCAATGTCATTGTACGTAGATGTTTCTGTGGCGCTGTGCTTTCCTTTCACTTTGAAAAATTTCAGAATGCGGGACTCGGAATCCAAACTCAATTCTCCTTTCCAGATATCTTTACTTTTGTCAATGTTTCCTCGTATGTTTAGCGTAGGAAGAATTTCATACGGTGTTGTTAGATCCACTTTGAGTGAAGTGTCGGCAGGGAATTTAGTTTTATCAATGTTATTACCAATAAAACTAAGTTTAATTTCCTTGTTAGGAGAGTAGTTTATTTTTACGTCAGTGTTACAAGTTTTCTTGTTTTGTTTTGTTTCATAATTGATCTCAAGCGTCTTTAGCTCTGTGTCAGGTATCTCCAAACGGTAAAGTCCTGTCAGCTGACGGTTGTAGACCAAATCCTGCTCCATGTTCAGCTTGACCTTGTTGAAGTATGGCTGCACCTCCAGGTAGCTCTCCCCCTTGTACCTTTTCTTCTCATCTATATCAAAGGTGTGTCCAAAGTTTACCTGCGACAGTTCTTTAAAAGGTGTTTTAATTGAGCCATCAATAGACCTCATGGATGAAGTGCCCACGTTCACGTCCACCGTGATTTCTTTACCAACATCTACAGAAGCCAGCATCCCAAAGTTCCACGCTGTTGATGTTTTCTTCATGACTGTACCAGAAAGGTCTAAGTTCCTTGCTCCGTCAAAAGGTGTTAGCACTTTAACATCGGCCTTAATATCGCCATTACTTGATTTAGATACAGAACCATCCAGTGAGATGGTGTTGGTTATTCTTGTCTTGATGTCCTGCCAATCATGTGAAAACACAAACGTGTATGGGTATTCCACATAAACAGCTTCAGCCTTGGTTCTTGAGGCTAAGCCATTATTTGTACTTAGAACAAATCTGGAGCCGGAGTACGTCAAACTACCGGATGTTCCATCATTTTTGTTTACACGTACATACCCCGAGCCAGTCACCGAGTTCAACATGTTGTGTCTTATCTGAACTTCGAGGTGGGAGAACTCCTTCAATGGCAATGATAAAGCAACATCTAACGCATAGTCTTTCATCTTTCTGTTTACCACTGCTCCAGCGACAAGTTTGCTGTTGTACTCTGGTTTCCAGGTGAAGCTTACGGTTGAGTTCACTTTAGCCTCAGAGCCAGTCAACATCAGCTGCATGTTCATTGGGTTGTTGAGAGGGATGAGGACCTCAAGCTTAGAGTCTATTAAAACTTCATTGGTCTTGTTCAAGAATGTTGCAGTCAGCCTGACCTTATACAGGTTTTCATTGCGTTCATAAACAGCTTCCGTTGCGTAGTTTTTACCCTTGTTGGTATGGCTTAAGCTAACGAGGACATTTCTACATTTCGCATACGAAGAGGTCACGTTTAGAGAGGCTGAAATATCATTTTTAGTCACGTCATTCCTGTTGGTGTACTTGACGACAGTCGTGAGGTAGGCGTCGTTGTAGGTGCCACTGATTCCTGTCGACAAGTAACGTGAACCATCCCATTTGTGCAACATATCCAATCCGACTTTTTTAACCTGCGCCCACGGCGTGACAGCAGCCATTTTCATTTCAAATTTTTCAACAGACGCAGGTAATGCAAGCCATACCGTGTATGAGAGTTGATTATCCAACATGCCCCAAATCATCTTCAACTCATTTTGATACTCTTTTGGATTATTCTTCATGGTTTTACTAATCTGATATATCTTATGATTTTCAAATGATGTTGTGGCGACTATTGTTACGTTGAAGAGAGAGTTATCAGGTCGGTAAGCATAGAAGCTAACACCAACATTCTGTGTTTTATCTTTTTCATCATCCCAGGAGACTTCAAAATTCAATATGGCCTCTCCAACTTGTTTTTTCCCAGCCATGACCATGCCTTTAACCGACGTATCTGGCACGATGACGTTCCACATAAACGTGTACAGTGGGCTTTTCTCTATCTTCAGGCTCATCCCAGCGCCATAGACATCCTTGTTTATAACAAAATTAACTGACCCACCAAAGGTGTCTTGAATGCTGGACACCTGCAGGGTTACTTTAGAAGGCTTGTCTCCCCTGACTTCAATCTCAGAAGAAAAGTTAAACTGGCCATTTTTTAATTTCATGAACTTGGTGACGGCCGAGTGTTTGAACTTTTTGTCCATTGTGAGGCTGATGGTGTGGATGTAGTCTTTGTTGACGTCTTGAAACACGGAGGAGACTAGAGAGTAGCTCTTGCTCTCCACCGTCTGATCCTTTGTATTATACAACGGGAAGCTGACCTCCAGCAGACCTGTAGCGTTGAGCACATTTTTCATGCTAAAATCATTAGCCATAAGCCGCACTTCCACAAACTTGCCTTTACCGTAGATGAAGTTAGCGTAGGTCTCCAGTTTTAGTTTTTTGCTGATGTCGTGCATGTGTTTACCTATCACTTCATACTCTAAGCTCTGTACAGAGAGAAAGTTGTTTTAACATCATTAATTGTAGTTAAACACAATAACTTTTTAGTTTAATTTTGATTATCTCACATTCAAGATAATGCAGAGAAATACTGAAAAGGAGAGGATATAAACCTTTCTGTTCTAAGAGTTGTAATAATAATAATAATTATAATAATAATAATAATAATAATAATAATAATAATAATAGTAATAAAAGTAATAATAATACAACACTTTTCTTAACATAAAATTATACTTGGCAAGAAACCCACTACTTTTTGATTAGCCTATAAGATAAAGAAAAAGCATAAGTAATAATGACACAGCAAACCCAAAACCAATTTTTAACGTTATCCCTAAAATGAAATCAAGTCTTTGAAAGAACTATTATCATTCATATTTATAAACCAAAACCTAGCAACAATTCTGTATCTTAGTTGTGAAAAAGCATATCTTTATACACCAACCCAAAACTAAATATGAGCTCTAGTGCTAAAGTAAAATCAACTCTATCACTGATATTCATATTTATAAACAAAACAAAACCTAACAACAGCCCTGTAATTTTAGTGTTAAAAAGTATATCAACTATCATTATTAATATTTATACACCAGCCCAAAACTTAACAACAACTCTCTAATCTTAATGTCAAACAATATATCACCTTTGGAGGATAGAGAAATTTGAAGTTATAATTAATTTCCGCTGCAGATGTTTCAATCTTACGGCTAACAGTTGCCTCTATAGTTAGATCAACATCCTTTGCCTTATCGGACTTTGCTTTAGCTCCGTGCTTTAAGTACATTACATACTTTGTGTCAGCTTTGTTATGCTGAATATCAATTGTTGTATCAAAGTTGGCATCAGGGTAGTTTTTACTGTCAAAGATACTGAAATAAAAATTATTTTAATGTATTTGCAACGCCTCTTTTTAAGTATTTTGTTGAACTAAAAAGAAAACACCAATGTAGGCTTACCAGAACTTAACAATTTTAACTCTATAATAGCAATAGTTCAATCAATAAAACACATTTTATAAAAAAAACTAAAAATTTTTTTTTAATTTAATGGAATTGTGTTATTTCATAGGATAAGAAATACTCACAAATTAGCAATATATTTGTTATTAGATTTGTTACTCTTGTTTTGAATCTTTGCAGTGAGTAAAACTTTATTCTTTCGAAGCTCTTTAGTTTTGAGGAGAGGCAGATTGTAATCCAGAGTTATCCTACTTGTGATTGGTGGGGCCTTCTTGACTGCAGCCCCAGCAGCTGGGATGACAAAACTGGCATTTGATGAGAGGGTGATAAACTGACTTTTTAAGTTGGTATTAAGTTGAAATTCTTGGTTTTGTGTCCTTTTCTTCAATGTCTGCAGAACTAAAATAATTGAAAAAAATATTATAAACAGTTGAACTAAAATAATTGAATAAAATATGATAAACAATTGAACAAAAATAATTGAATAAAATATTATAAACAAACATAAATCCGAACATAAATGACAGCACATACTGGAAGGGAAGGGTTCTGATTTTGACAATGGGAGACATGAAAATTGTGATGGCGATAGGTGGAGGAAAGAGCTCTAGGAAATGTGATGTAACTAGCACTTAGTATTATTTAAAATTAAAAAGATGAAAAAACATTTTTTTATTTTTATAAGTATAGACTTTGTGGATTTTGGGGATTGGAGTTTTGAGACATTAAGAGGGGGCTGGGTTTTATGATGATAAATGATGAATGTTTCCTAAAATAGCATGACTTTATTTATAGATGGCATAAAAAAATCATAGAATTTTTATATATCAATATCCTATCATAATTTTTTACTTTGTAGTTATTTTACAGATTTAATACCCAACAAAGTATACATTTTCAGACTTTTTAAAATTGTAATCGCGTATTTGAAACACAATTAAACTCACAATCTAAGCTGATTGGCTGGCTTAAAACTCTGTCCATTTTCACTTGCAAATCTCCTTGAAGACTACGATTTTCCACGTGATTTATCTTCCCTGAGAGCAAGAACATCTGATTGGTTGCGTCTGAGATGAGGATGGTTGGCTCCCACTGCCCAGACTTTGATTTAGCATTGGAGACTTTCTGCAGGAGTTGTACAGTGGCTGAGTAGCTGTTTGCTTTGTCCCAAGACACGGTCCCTGCTAAAGTTTTCTGTTGTTCCTTGTTTATAAAGTTACCTGCAAAAGTATATAATAATCTTACCTAAATCTTACATATAATTTAGTTTAACTAAATAGAAACTTTAAAATGTGTAATAATTCATATTCTATTCTATTCATTAAATAATTTATTTTATTAACAACAAAACAAAAAAGCTAACATTTGTTTACCATTTAAGTCTAAATTGAATGGGATGTTGCCAGCACTGAAACTGAAATCTGTTTTTATATCTTTGAGTTGTGTATCCAGTTCAACTGTGCCAGTTACTGACAACTTCTCCAAGTTTGTGTTCATTATTTTTAGATTTGCATCTTGAGGAACAGTAATATCCAGAGTTGGTTTCCATACAGTCTGTAAAAAAAAAAAATATAAAAATTGACTTGGAAGTTTAAACTCTTTAGAGTTGAAGTTTAACTTTATTTAAAAGGATAAATTAAATATAACATGCATTTGTATGCTCATCTTTAAACTTACAAGCTTAAAAGAATATATATTAAAATGTATTTTTAATTAATTTTAATATTGAAAAAAGTGATTATAATTTTCAAATCATGTTCTCTAATTTACTTTATCAATGTATGACAACTATCTACCTTTGATTTTGATACTACTTTTGAAGCCTGAATCAAAACTTTATACTCTTTTCCATTATCAGTGACAGAGGCAGACAAGGCTCGATTAGGCTCAGTAAAGTAAGTTCCTTAACACATAAAAAAAAACATAGACATAAAATTTGTTTAACTCCCTTTTGAATATTACACTTTTTGTAAAATATTTTTCAATTTTTGGACTTGTAAAAATTAAAATTATGGCTCAATATTTTCTCATTTTTATAATTAGTGTTATACTTCACAGGAGTGTTTCTTAATTAAACTATAAATAGGCACAACGTTTAAAATACATTATATTCTGTTTTGGGACGTATCATTGGAATTAGTTGAGGACCACTGGTTGTTACTATTAACATATTTACATATTTTTTTCTACCAAAACATTCAAAGCAGCTTTCCAAGATGAATGCATTGCAGTTCATTTAAAGAAAATGTCAAGCCTACCCTTTAGGGAGACTTTCCTCCATTGAGAGATAAACTCTGCTTCAGCTGTCTTGTCTTGTTTATCTACATAGTAACTGATGCTGATCTTTCTGTCTTGCTTGGATCCAGGTGTATCTATGGATAACTGGGCAGTTGAAGATGCTGGATTCTAAAACAAAAGAGCAGGTTCAAAGTTCAATATATATATATATATATATATATATATATATATATATATATATATATATATATATATATATATATATATATATATATATATATATATAATGTACCGTCTTTAGTTCTGTTAATCTGATGAAAAAGCCTTTACATTTTTATTACCTGAATTTGTTTCCCAGACATTTTAAATCCGTTTGGTACATCTTTGTTGGCAACAGTAAACTTGATGCTAGCAGGCCCAGTAAATGGGAAGTAAGGCATGTTACCGACAGCCGAGGCATTGATGTAGGAGATGGAGCCACACAGTTCATAGCCGACAAATTTTAGGAATGTATTTGAGGAGCATGATTGGACGCTGACTTTCTTGTCTTTTAACATCTCCTGCTTTTTTTCCACTGTGTCGTGAAGAATGAAAAACTCTGACCTGTAGATAAATAAATTTTGAAAAGTTTATTTTTTAAATATATGGTTTAGTTATTCAGGGTCTGTAACTCCAAAAGATACAATTATGATTATCAAACTTGATAGATGGGGGACGGAGTGGCCTAGCTGTAAAGAGCTAGACTGCTAAAATTCTGGAGTTGAATCCGGGTTCATATTAGTAGAACGTCCTTGAGTCCACCCAGCTCTGATGGGTACCTAACTCACGTTAGGGAAACAAATGCGGCTGAGCATAGTGCTGACAACATTCTCCACTTGTATGCTGAGGTCATTGAAACACATGAACTCTACTTCATCTGCCCCATGTGTCTTGAGCACAAACTAAAAACTATTGGTTTAATTTGCTAAATAGGTGTCAGAACTGTCTTTATTAAATATTTTAGATTTACTTGAAACTGAAGACATCCATGTTCTTTTTCGGAGTATCCAACTCAGCTGTTAAAACTTGGCCATCCTTGAGTTCAAACTTCCCCGCTACTGATGTGCTTGTGTGTAGCTGGGAAACCATTTTTAACCCTGAGCGTGTTGCGCCAGCGCCAACACTCATCATGCCTGACAGCTGGATGGCACCACTACAACAAAAGAAAATTTTTTACATGACATTCAAAATTATTGGGGGATTAAAAATTTTTTTTTTTTAGGTTAAGGGGTCATCCGTTTATGACGTCCACATTTTTTTTTGGATTTTGGACCCCCCCCCCCCCGTCCACAAAAAACCACTTTTTTTTCCTTATAAAATTCCATATGCGTCCACAAAAGTCAGTTTTTTTCATGACCCCCCCCCCAACCCCCCCCCCCCCCTCCCGCATGTGGACGTCATAAATGGATGACCCCTAAAGCTAAAAGAAGAATAATTATGTAAGGGAGCAAATTATTTAATCTACTTCTTCTTCTTCATTCTTAATTTTAGTGTTGGAAGGTATCCCTCCAACACAATTAAGTATATGTGTCAACTGGTTTTGCGCGATTGAGGTTATTGACTCCGATTTCAGCCTGCTTTTCTTTTTGGATTTGCTTCCATAGCCTTTGTCTAACCAAGAACAAACTACAAGACAGCAGTTATTTTATTTTGGAGTTGTTTCTCCTATAAGAGTGGCTGTCCCCGGCTAACGAGCCTCAGCTATCCGAGGTTTGAACTCGAGCTTTTTCAGTTTAGCAGCTTTTACCGACTTAAACACGCCGACCCATAAATTATTTAATAAATAGAATTTACCTTGGTCTTATATCAAACTTTGTTTGCAGCGCTTTTACCGACTCAACCATGCTGACCCCTAAATTATTTAATAAATAGAATTTACCTTGGTCTTATATCAAACTTTGTTTGCAGCGCTTTTACCGACTCAACCATGCTGACCCCTAAATTATTTAAAAAATAGAATTTACCTTGGTCTTATATCAAACTTTGTTTGAAGCTTCTTCAAGGAAAATGTTTTCATGCTTAGAATTCCCTGCACCTGCAGATCAACGTTAGCCGTTCCGTTGACACTCAGGGTCAGAGGTAGACCAGCGACCGTCGGCACGGCCATCTGGGACTCAAGGAACAAAACGTTCTGGGTGTAGCTGATTTCATCCCCCTTCAACAAACTCTCCAGGCTGAACTTGGACTTCAGCTTCTCTGGTAAGGAGCTGATCTCGTTCTCTTGGAAGTGATGGAAGCCAATCTCGTTGCCGAACATCCGGATGTACATGGATGCTGTGAAGTCATCTTTATCAACACTGAACTACATAGGAAATATAGACATAATTATATCAACACTGAACTGCATAGGAAATATAGACATAATTATATCAACACTGAACTGCATAGAAAATATAGACATAATTATATCAACACTGAACTACATAGGAAATATAGACATAATTATATCAACACTGAACTACATAGAAAATATAGACATAATTATATCAACACTGAACTGCATAGAAAATATAGACATAATAATATCAACACTGAACTGCATAGAAAATATAGACATAATTATATCAACACTGAACTGCATAGAAAATATAGACATAATTATATCAACACTGAACTACATAGGAAATATAGACATAATTATATCAACACTGAACTACATAGAAAATATAGACATAATTATATCAACACTGAACTGCATAGAAAATATAGACATAATTATATCAACACTGAACTACATAGAAAATATAGACATAATTATATCAACACTGAACTGCATAGAAAATATAGACATAATTAGATCAACACTGAACTACATAGAAAATATAGACATAATTATATCAACACTGAACTGCATAGAAAATATAGACATAATTATATCAACACTGAACTGCATAGAAAATATAGACATAATTATATCAACACTGAACTGCATAGAAAATATAGACATAATTATATCAACACTTAATTGAACTAAAAAAATTATACTTTAAAAAGTTGAACATACAGATCAAAACTTGAATAATTTATGGTCTTTTCTTTGTGATTTCTGTTTATTACTTTTTAAAAAAAGTTTAGATAATAATTAGATTTGTATGGATTGGATGATTCTTTTCTGCATTAAGTAATATATAAAACTCTATTTTAATTCTGGAGATTCTACAGCAATTAAAAATAAATCATTTAACTATTTTGATAAACTATTTACCTGGTTTTTCATTTTCTCCATTTTCTCTTTTTTAACACAACTAGAGGGTGAACTGTCCTTGACCTTTTCACCATTAAAAAGTTTGGATCCCAAATAGTTTTGCAGCAGAGCATCTAACCCTTGAACACGACCTCCCACCTCAACAAAATTAATACTGTGTCCGAGCATGTCCACCGTCAAATTAACCATTGCAGATCTGGAAAATAAATTTAGTCGGGTATTAATTGCTAAAACTTTGTAAAAAGTTATACAAAATTATTATTTTTAATATTGGTAATTTAATATTAATGCTAAATTTACATTGTAACAACTTTTATAAGTTACTGACCACACAACCCACCTGGGTAGAAAAGAATCAGCAGACCAAATCATGTTGCTCTCAGCCGTAGTACCCAAGCCAAACTTGTCAGAATAAAATGAAACTTCGTAGTTCCTCGAGAACTTCCATTTGTCCAGGTTGAATTCCTTCTTCAGCTTCTCATCATTCAGGATGTCCCTGAGTGCTTGCTTATGAGGGCTGGAGGTCTCAAGCAGGTTGGTCAGGTGTGTCCACACAAAAGATCCCACCTGATTTGTTGTCTCTTTCTCCAGGGTCTGCTTCACCTGCAGCAGGATGTAAACAAAGAGATTCACTTTAGGGAGAAAGGTTAAGACAATATATTTTATTGTTTTAAAATAAAAGGACGTAAAAAATTAAACGATTGTTTGAAATAACTAAATACTCACCTAACAATTGTAAGTTAAGCAAAATCAATGTTTAAATCGAATAAAATTAGTTCAAAGAATTAGTTCAAAATACAAATGAAAGGGGGAATAATATGTTCGTTTGATTTATAAATGTGGATCAGTTTATTTTAAAACAATAATCCTAGCACTAGAATTACTGTTAAAAATATAAATCCTATATACTTAAATTTATTATTTTAAAAAACCTATTGTAAAATAACATACCAGTACTAGGTTGTCTTCATTCCAGCACTGCATCACACCTAAGTATGCTGTGATCCTAAGCTCAGAATCCTCATTTGTATCCATGAATGTATCCATGAGAGACTTTCTCTAAAAAAAATAAAGAAATATCTGATGATGTGAAAACCAGATGTTTGATGAAAAAAACTATAGAACAAAAGGGAATTGTATTAGGCACATTAGAATACTAAAAACACCATGAAGATACTGGGGGAGGCATAGTTGGATAGTAGAGCATATGACTGCTACCCCAGAAATCTCAATCCCAGGTTTAAGTCCATAGAACATCCCTGGGTACTTTACTTTTTTTTATAAAGATATTGTTAGCAAATTAGTTTGTCATTTCTCAGGTAGGTTGTCTACTCACATCAACATTGCAAGTGACGCCCCTGAAAGCCTGGGCTGCAAACACCCTGATGTTCATGGTGTTAGTGTTTAGCTTGACGCACTTTTCTAATGCTGGAACCAGACGATCAGCAAATCCCAGATTGCCAATAGCTCTCAGGATAATCAACATCTGAAATTTTAAAACAACACTAGTTACCAAAAAATAAATTTAAGTGATCCGTTTTATTAAAAGTCAACACCTGAAGATTTTTTAAATAACAATTTGACAAAAAATAAATTAAAGTGATGCATTTTATTAAAAATCAACACCTGAAGATTTTTAAATAACTATTTGACAAAAAATAAATTAAAGTGATGTATTTTATTAAAAATCAACATCTGAAAATTTTAAAATAAATAGTTAACAAAAAATAAATTTAAGTGATGTGTTTTATTAAAAATTAACTTCAAAGATTTTTAAATAACAATTTCACAAAAAATAAATTAAAGTGATGCATTTAATTATAATTTTTTTATTATTATTTTTAAATTGCGTACAAAATATTAAATTATGTAAACTACTCACCAGCTCCTTGTCATCTGACTGGCATCTATTACTGATGATGCTCCCTAACACATTCACTATTTCTTCTATGTTTTTGCTGTATAAACAGTCTGTACCCTTGCTGCACAGATTTCTAATTAGAGACGTCACAGGCAGGGCAGACAACTTCTGGTGATTTTCAGACATGAGTAGTTTCTGGAAAAAGAAAATGTCCAATTATCAGACATGAAAAGTTTCTTGAAAATATATTTTGTTCTACCAAAAAATGTCCGATTATTATAGTGTAAAAATTATTTTAATAGAAAAGGTGTAAATTATGAAAGGAAATTCTTTTTGTAAATAATGATTTTTATAATTACAGGATGTTTTTAACATTTTAAAAACTTAGGCCAACGAAAAGTTTAAAAAAAAAAAACCCTTTCAGCTGAAACATCAAAGCTGAATGTTTTACCTTAAGGAAAGGTAACATTTCTGAAGTAGGGTTTTGGATAAAATGCAGTGACTGTATCCACATTTCTCCCTGTGTGCCAATCACTTGGCCAGACAAAAGCATCTGAACCATTACATCAACAGAGGAAGAGGTTCCTACCATTGGAATAGCATCTAGAAGAAATTTTCTGCAAAAAAGAAGATTTAAAAATAATTACTAAGGTGTTTTAATTTTCTAAAGTACAATTTAATATTTAACTAACCTTTGATAATAATATAATAAAAAGTAGCATTTACACAATCTGGCATATTCCCTTTCTTTACCTGGCAAGGTCGTTATTTTCCTCACAAATACTCTTTCTGAATAGTTTGTCAACAATATCTGTAATTTCAGAACTATCCAAATTTCTCATTAGATAGATCTGAAATATATTTAAAATAAAAAAAGAGAGTAACAGGAAGCTTCTAAATACATAATTTCAGGGATTATATATATATATATATATATATATATATATATATATATATATATATATATATATATATATATATATATATATATATATATATATATATATATATATATAAAAATAATATTTATATTATTGTATATTTATTACCCACCAAATCAGTATAAAGGGAAGGAACTTCTGCTGGAAAATCATTGAGGGTTATCCTGCAAAGTTCTGTCAATTTCTCCCTTACAGACCACAAAGTTCCATCATTGTTCATGCTTGTTGTGTGTTCAAATAGAAGACTTGTCCTACTTGATACAGCCTCTGTGTGATAAGCATGAATTACGGATACATCATAGCTAAATAGTTATCAGAATTTCAGCCTTAGACATTAAATAATTATTTTTACAGTTACAATGAATTAGTTTTAAACCAGGTATGTCAAAAGAGTAATGGGAAAAACTTTGAGTAATCAAAGCTTTAATTTTTCCTTAGACTTTAAGTAATTTCAAAGCCAAACAAATAATAAGTCATAAAAATGTTTTTTTTAAAGTGTAATTTTACAGGAGAAAATTTGCAGACAAATGTGATCAAAAAATAATTTTACAAATAAGATACATCCAGACTTGATTCTTTGGTTTAGATTACTAAGTTAAGTCAAACAGATGTGCTTACTCTATTTTTATTTTTAATTTGAGCTATGCAAAGTGTATTGCGAAATGCACAAAACATCACACATATTGGATAATACATTAAAGTCATGCACAATAGTTTAGCTAATGCACTATATAACTATAAATGTACGATACATCTAAATAAATGCACCACATCTCTTATACCTTGTACTGTTCTCAAATCATTGCTAGCACTGTAGTAAGTCAGTTTTTGTGTTGTTTCTGTTCTAGCACCTGCCTCTTGCTTAGAGAAAGGTCTGAACACCAGAGACTCCAAGCATGTGGATGACTGAAGGTATCCTTCTTTAGATACTACTTGAGTACATTTGTGGTTTCCTTTCAGAAGAGCAGATGACTGGATAGTCTGGGGATATTGACAAGAATATTATTTTTCAGTCACATAAACAGAATTGTATGATGAGGGGCTAACCCCTCCCCCTAATACATAGTGATTTCAAAATTCTAATTTTGAAATGGAAACATGGTTATGTTAATAAAATATGGTTTTTAACCCTCATTTTTAAAAAAAAAGTTTAAATAAGTTTTGAGTTTTCAAATCTTACATCTGGAATATAATGTGCTGTAGATTTCAATGATGTTCTGTAACTGTGGCGGTCTGTACATCCTAACAGGTCTTTAGATTTTACAAAATGGAAAGCCCGTGTTCCCTTCTGTGACACAGTGTAACTTGTGGGACAGGTACCAACAACATCGACCTGTAAGGAGAAATTAAATATTATACTGTTATACAAATAATGTAACTAATGCATGGTGTTATTGGTACAATGGATTTCAACATTTACCTGTAAGAAAGAGAATATTAAAAAATGTATCAAAAATATATTAAACTGTATATTTTTAAAAGACAACATAAATTATTTTCTTCTTCTTCTTCTTCGTTCTTAATTATTAGTGTTGAAGGGGATCGAGATTTATCTGCCAGTGGGTTTGAACTCAAGACTTTGTTTGAATTTATCAACCATGAGCTTTTTGCCGACTCGACCACGCCACCAACACAATTAAGCGTTACGTGTCAACTGTTTATGCGCCATTGAGGCCATTTACTCCGATTTCAGCCTGCTTTTCTTTTTGGATTTGCTTCCATAGCCTTTGTCCAACCAAGAACAAACTACAAGGCAGCAGTTGTTTAATTTTGGAGTTGTCTCTCCTAGAAGAGTGGCTGTCCCCAGCTAACGAGCCTCATCTGCCCGAGGGTTCGAACTCGAGACTTTTCGGTTTAGCAACCATGAGCTTTTACCGACTCGACCACGTCGACCCCTTAAATTATTTTAAAGTCAACCTTTCTTAATGAAGGCCTATTAAGAAAATTCAATTATCAACTTTTTTTTTACATTGAAGGCACATTTAGTTATCCATATTTTGTTACATTTTTTACATAAGAAAACTGCATGCCATTACTTAATAGTAATGATGTTCATCTATAGCCTTTTAATAATATTGTTGGATGTAGCATTGTTTTCTCTATAGTTAGCACATTTACGTCATCATATCATCCTCACCCCCCTTGTAATAATTGTCCATTTGTACTTTAAAGACTATTTAACTAAATTAATGGAACTGGCAAAAACTATTTTTCAATTGTTTGCCTTGGTGTCACCCCCGTAAATGGTGTCACCCGGTGTTGCCCGCACCCCTTGCCAAGCCCTTGCTACGCCTCTGTTCCAATATATAATCACATTATTTTGCAAAACGATTTGGTGCTTCCTATATCTTAAACACATTGGTAAATTTCTGTAAATGATTACAAAGTATTCTTGACCTCTTTCATGCTTTCATCTCTTTCATTTTGTGTCATGCTGTTCTGGAAAGCTGACAAGATTCCTCGTTTGAAGTTCAGAGATGCAGTTTCCTCATTTTCACCAGGACACACATCTTCTATTCGGCCATCTTGGAAAGAAAAGCGCAGACTGTTGCCCTCTAGCGCTGATTTGAAACCCTGATCTGTAACAGGTTTCATACTTGGGTTGTTGGGGTCAGATCTTGTAATGGTGACCCCTGACAACTGAAAAATGAGACTTTGTATTAAATAAAATACACAATAAATTTAACAACAAATTGTGATCTAAACTATAAAACTACAATTAAATCTAGACCTAGTAATACGTTTATGAAATGATGTTACTGTTGAAACAAGTATCACATTCAAGTTTTTTTTTTTTACTTTTTAAACAGTTTAGTGAAGGGTTCTTAGACTTTGGATACAATTTCTTACTGCAGTACTCTCCCCTTATCTTTGAAAGTAAAAGCAAGGAAGCATGACTTTTTAATACTTTTTATTTCTGATTTCTAGATCTGCTTAGATTTTATTTTACTAATATTTCTAATGTTTAATTAATATTTCTAAACTAAATTATAGATCTAGTTATAACATGTTTTCATTTAAAATTCTATGTTTACGATGTGATTATCATTTTCAACTGCGGCCAAGGATTAAGTCAAGTGAAGCCAAAGGTGATGCTTTTGTTCAACATAATAATTAATAATAATAGATTTAGAATCTAGATCTAGATCTAGATCTCTAGATCTAGACTCTAGTTTCCAATCAAACAGTGACATTCGCATTTTTATCGCTTTGTTCAGTTATACTGTTAATTAGGTTAGGAATGTTGTTCTGTTATCAAGCAATTGAACTTTCCACTTAACTTATCTAAATAGAAAGTAAAAGCTGCTAATTTCAAATTTCAGCTCAGGGTTGATTGTTAAGTCCGATAACTCTAAAGATAACACCATGAACGGATTTTTTGTGTGCAACTTTCTTTATGTTTTAACTCCGGCGTAGCAATATTTTTTTGGCTACATCTTACATAAAACATAAACAAGGTTGAATAAATACACAGGTGCATGTTACGAAATTGCAATATTATTGTTACTAAACATTATCTTAAACGAGAAAACATTTTCGATCTTTAAAAATTAATATTAAAAACTTCTTTCTTTATTATCATCATGTCAGTGAAACGGTGCAAAAAATAAAAACAAACACCTTGACCTTAAAGAAAGGTGAAGGTGTTGTTTTCTCCAACTTAGCTATTTGCTTCATTATCCCAGATTGTATCGACTGTATAGGTCAAGATTCTATAGAGATCTTAAACCAATAGTTATTGTTTTTCTTGTGTGTTCAATGGGTTTTTTTTTAATTTAAATTTAATTTTTTTTTTTTGTGTGTTTCATAAACAAAAACATGTTTGAAACTTCAGCCAGGAAAACTTTCGAGAAAGTCATCACTCGATTGGTTGCTATATTAACTGGTCGTCCATAAATGACGTCACACTCGGAGGGGAGGTTCAGATGGTGTGACGTCACACTTGTGCATTATAAAAAAAGCAAAAGTGTAGAAAACAGAGTTTTAGCAGTTATTTCCGCATTTTAGAAAACTGTTTTAATAAATTGTTATAGGAATTGATTAAATACTGTAAGTTGACAGAGTTCAGACAATATTTTGGGAAAATATCGATGTTTTAAGAAAAATTCAACTGCAATGTTGATGGGAGGGGGGTTGTGGGCTGAGGTGTGACGTCATTTTAGGGGGCTCTGGCTTGTTGTGACGATGTGTGACGGAGGGGAGGAGGTAAAAATCATTTTTAAAAAAGCATGACGTCGTTTATGGATGACCTCATTGCAACACAAAAGAAATGTTTTGGTTTTCATTTTACAAAGTGTTGCCTACTTTAAATACTTTAACTCTCGACGTTTTAGGAATAATAATAATAATAAAGTAATTTGCCGTAACATTATAATAACATTTATATAAGGGGTGGTCCATTGGTGATAAATGTGTTGGCATTTCAAAAAATGAAAATAATATTATCTGTTAGAATCTCTGGGGAAAGGGGGTGGGGGGGTGGTCAGAAACCCACATCTGTCGCACTCATGTTGTGTTGCTTACGATGCTTCTAGTTTCAACATGTCAGTAGTGTTATATGAATGACAGAAATTCCAAGTTTTACACTCTCAAAATCGTTATTGAATTTGTGTAGGGTTTATAATCCTATATGAAAAAGAAGCTGACCCCTGTCTATAAGAAGACTGGTCTAACGTTACGCTACGGTGTGTGATAGACCAGTGGGCAAAATGGTGACGTGGCGAATGGGCGATATTTATTACTATTTAAAACGACACCGGAAAATAAACATCTTTAAGTATTCAAAATAAACTTGACGCTTAAAGTGGATCTACTAAATTTTCACATTAGAACACAAACTTTTTCCTTCCGTGTGTCTCTTATAAACGTATCCGCTGTGTAGTGTTTCTTTTAGGCATCTCTCCATCACCCCCCCCCCCCCCAACTCAACCCCCATGTATCAAACAGAAATTTTTAAAAATTAATATAGAAAATATAAATTTTATCAATTCTTATAATCCTCATCCCGCCAGAAAGTTTTAAATACCCCCTTCTTTCCCACCCCCAAAACCCGTGCTGAAAGAAGCCCAGCTACCAAATATGTTATACACCGCACTGCGCATGCGTGCACTCACCGAGAGAACCAGTTCACACTTGGAGACCACGAGGATGTTGACCATGGCCTTGACCTCCGTGCTGGCCACGTCTTCGCTGGCGCCGTGCATGCTGGTCGAGGTGACCACCTCGTAGTTGTAGCGGTAGGTCTTGCCGACCTCGTACTGGAATCTGCCGAGACCTGGGGTTACACAGATAGACAACTATTACATTTGATTTGATTTACCATACACAGCCAGACAAGTATTTGATTTGATTTACCATACACAGCCAGACAAGTATTTGATTTGATTTACCATACACAGCCAGACAAGTATTTGATTTGATTTACCATACACAGCCAGACAAGTATTTGATTTGATTTACCATACACAATCACACAAGTATTTGATTTACCATACACAATCACGCAAGTATTTGATTTGATTTACCATACACAATCACACAAGTATTTGATTTGATTTACCATACACAATCACACAAGTATTTGATTTGATTTACCATACACAATCACACAAGTATTTGATTTGATTTACCATACACAATCACACAAGTATTTGACTTTGTTTGATTTATTTGATGTATTTGATTTACCATACACAATCACGCAAGTATTTGATTTGATTTACCATACACAATCACACAAGTATTTGATTTGATTTACCATACACAATCACACAAGTATTTGATTTGATTTACCATACACAATCACACAAGTATTTGATTTGATTTACCATACACAATCACACAAGTATTTGATTTGATTTACCATACACAATCACACAAGTATTTGATTTGATTTACCATACACAATCACACAAGTATTTGATTTGATTTACCATACACAATCACACAAGTATTTGATTTGATTTACCATACACAGTCAGACAAGTATTGACTTTGTTTGATTTACCATACACAATCATACAAGTATTGATTTGATTTACCATACACAATCACACAAGTATTTGATTTGATTTACCATACACAATCACGCAAGTATTTGATTTGATTTACCATACACAATCACACAAGTATTAAATTTGATTTGATTTACCATACACAATCACACAAGTATTTGATTTGATTTACCATACACAATCACACAAGTATTTGATTTGATTTACCATACACAATCACACACGTATTTGATTTGATTTGATTTACCATACACAATCACACAGGTATTGACTTGATTTGATTTACCACTCACAATCACACAAGTATTAACTTGATTTGATTTACCATTCACAATCACACAGGTATTGACTTGATTTGATTTACCACTCACAATCACTCAAGTATTAACTTGATTTGATTTACCATTCACAATCACACAAGTATTGACTTGATTTGATTTACCACTCACAATCACTCAAGTATTAACTTGATTTGATTTACCATTCACAATCACACAAGTATTGACTTAGTTTGATTTCCCATACACAGTCACACCACAAGTATTGATATTACTTGATTTAGCATTGTGTCTATGGGGTTGTGGGGTGGGATGGGGAGACCCAGAGGCGTAGCGAGGGGGAGCGGTGGGTGCGGACCGCACCGGGTGACACCATTTAGGGGGGTGACACCAAGGCAAAAAATAGCAAAATATATACAGAAAAAACTTGAGGAGGGGGGGGGTTCAAATCGAAAGTTTGAGGGGGGGGGGGTGCAAAATTGAAAATTTGAAAGTTTGTCCCCGGGAAGGGTCGCTACGCCTCTGGGGGGTGACACCATATTAAGTGCCGCACGGGGTGACACCCGACCTCGCTACGCCACTGGGGAGACCATAGTAGACACCAACGAGTTGACGAGAATCCTTCCACCATTATTGTTGACATGGATAAAAAAAATGGTGTTTTTGTCAATTTTGCCGATATAATTTTAAAATAAAATTATACTTTTATAAACCACATGGCCCAGTTATGTCATGTTTATTTACATTTTCAGTGACAAAATGTTAACAACCAAATTGTTTTTTACTTCTTTTTTTTTAAAAATAATTTTGTTTATTTACCGAAAATACTAAAAACGTCATCAACATCCAATTTTTTTTAGTAAAGTCCGACAAAAAAAAACAAACATTTAAAATGTTTTATAACCGTATTTATTTTGTTAACATCGTAGAGCTACATGGTTTTTGAAATATTCAATGGGCCTTTCGGAAAATGTTGACACTTTTCTCAGTTGGGTCAAGGAGAGGTAATTTGGCTTTTGTGTCTATATTATAGGCTACTACGAGGGAATGGGCAATGAATCTGATTCTGCTATCTATTTCTTTAAGACAAAAAATGTCTGTAATCTTTGCTACATTATAATTTTAATGGGAGCGTGATACTGTGATGTAATATTAAATATTCTATTGAGTGGCGTATGTGCATATATGTGCGTGTTGTGTTTTTTTTCATTTTAAAAGAGTGTGCTGCTATCCTTAATTAAACTGTTTTGATAAACGAATTGCAATTTCGGTGTCACTATGCGTGCCTACCCTTTTAATTCACATATTTTTAATACGGTTTTTTTTTCAATTAATGATGTAAAATAAGCTACACATTATGAAAAGATTTAATAAATGGATGAAGATGCCCTAATAGGAAACTTGAGTCGACTCGGTGTATTTTGTCAACGATTATAGTGGCCCCGCCTTGTAACTAGTGGATGGCGTTTATGGGACTTATATATACAATTTCGTCTACCTAACTAAAACAGAACTCAAGTTATAGGCTTTCGAGAAACCGAAAGTTGAGTATGTGACACTTCCGGTTACCGGAAATCTCTGAAAAGTTGACAGAAAACTACAAAGAGACAGGCAGACACATAAGATTGCAAAACTAAGTGTAAAATGTCGTTTTTTTCATGGTTAAAATACTTCTCTTCGTAAGCCTACTTCGTAAACAAAAAAATACAATTGATAGGCAACTCAACGTTAAAAGCAAAACATAGCAACCAATCGTGTAAAAGTTGTTATATTATCCTAATAAATATTAATATTTAGGTGGACCAAGTAGCGATGTGTATAGCTAGTGAAGCAAAAGGTAGGCCTATAACAACAAAAAGTTTTGCCAGCTGTTCTGTTGTTAGGGAGTGATGTTTACATATTAGTTAAACTCTTCTGGTGGGGATTGTAATAAACCCGTAACTAGGTCATTCAAATTTTATTTAATCGTCGAAAACGAATGGGGGCAAAGCGAGTTAAATAATGGGAGGATAACTCCAATGGAAAGTGGGCGAAGTGTCAATTTCCTCGATGGTAATGTCAAGTGGCGAGTCCTAGTTTCCTTAAGAACTGACCTTTGAACTTTGTTTTGTTTTTGTTTGTTTTTGTTATTTATAAAACCAGTTAGTTCTTGATGTTTGTGTAATATGCGCTTTAAAAACGTCCTACGGGCCGTGTGTGACGCCAGTGTCCTATAACACCACAGTAATGGAATCTTCTTTAAAAGGGGGGTGATAGGTTATTGGTAGCAAACTAAAGGATAATCTTTAAACGACGTCAAGCTTTTTAAAACAGTTGTCGCCCCCCCCCCCCCCCAAATCGTCACACATAACAAAAAGCCAGACCTCTTCCACAATCACCCAGAGGCGTAGCGAGGGGAGGGCGGGGAGGGCGGCCGCCCCGGGCGCTGACCCTAGGGGGGCGCCAAAAGGGGTAGAAAAAAATATTTAAAAGCTCATTTTAAGCTGCAGTTTTGAATTATAAACAATCAAAGTTTATGAAATTTAACGGCTGAGAGCCTTTGCTTACTGATTTAGCTGTTTTCTACCTTGATTGTGTAACTGTAAAACGTATGTCCTTAAGATACAGTGACCGGAAAAAACGCTTTCCAGCTTTCCTAGATGGGGGGGGGGGGGCGCTTTTTCGCGACTAAAATCGGAAAAATTCACACCGGATTAAGGAATAAATAACCGATATCACTCAGAAAAGAAACCTTTCTACTAAAGCGTATTTTGTGTAACATAAAAAAAGAGTTAGTGACGTTTAAAATCCGCTCTACCATTTTTGTCCAAGATGATGGGGCGCTTTTTCACCAAAAAAATTCGCAGGATTTCTACTGGAGAGGTTACTAGTTAACACTTTGAAAAGAACCAATTGTACTAATGCTTAATGTACGATTTCACTACAGTTTTGCTAAGGAATGACGCGAATAGTTCTTTGTACGATTCTTACGATTCTCTCAACTTCAATGTGAGAGATCAGATACTTTTACTTGATTGCATTACAACTTACCTGGATCACTGCAGCTTGCACCTTCAACAAAATACACTCTAAAACAGTGGTTCTTAACTTTTTGGAGGTACCGAACCCCACCAGTTTCATATGCGCAATCACCGAACCCTTCTTAATAGTTGTATCGTCCACCATGACAAAATCCGATCGTGAATCTAATGAGTCGGCTGTGTCCTGAGACTGAATTACCGAACCTCTTGGGTTCGATGGAACCCACTGTTCTAAGGAACATAGGCGTAGGCAACACTTCTTCAACTCACTTAATTTTTTATAAAGATCAAACCCTAATAATCCAGCCGCCCTTTTTCTATTTCAAACAAATTCCTTTATGGCTTATCTGGTCTTTTTCTCTTCCTCTTTCCCCGTGGACTTCACACAAGCACCTGCATAGTGATGTTAATTTTTGTCTTCCTAATATTGCGTCCTAACCACCATCTTTTCATTATCCACTATTTTTAACCTAGCTCCGAGCCATACAGTAAAAGATACATCATATTCAGCTATAGATCCTGATTGAATAATTTGACAATGCATTTGAATTCCACATCGACTTAGAATGTTAATACGCATTTTATCGCTGCTGATTCTAATCTGAACGTCATAGGCATCAGCTATTATCATTACACCAGTTATTACAGCTTCTTCAACCAGAACAATTAGTTCTGAATTTGTTGTTGACTGTGAGCGAGAAGGCAGTGCACATCTGATAAATCCAAGACTTCGAGCTGTTGTGTCCGTTGGATTCCAGTTTGTTTCCTCTAGCTTGTTTCAGTATACAATCAACCAGTCAATGAAATACCCATATTGTATTCCAATGTGAACAATAATTTGCTATTGTATGTCAATTGTATGACTTCATCTAACAAGCTTATAATCCAAATATGTACTATATCATAACAGAGACTGTTCCAAAGATAAAACATAAAAAGACTGTCCTAAAATAATTAGCACCGCTACAATTTTTATCTTTTTTCGGACATTACTAATCATCTTGTTTTAAAGGATAATGCATCTTAAGGGGAATTTAATTGGCGACGAGTAAAGTTTTAGGGAACGACAATCATACAGCGTAATTATTAATTTTTTTCCGGACTCACGCACACACACACACACACACACACATATATATATATATATATATATATATATATATATATATATATATATATATATATATATATATATATATATATATATATAGGGGGGGCGCCAAAATGAAAGTTCGCCCCGGGCGCCGTGAGGGGTCGCTACGCCTCTGCCATCACCCCCCCCCCCCCAAATGGCGTCAAATTTCAGCCTACACCCCCCCCCCCTTCTTTCCTAAAATTGCAGTTTTTATATATTTAAACATCCATTTCTTTCTAAAAAAAATGCACTGAGCTTGGTCAAGATTGAGTATATTTATCAACTACTACAAAATTACATTTAAAGTCTTTTAAAAATGTGAAACAACGCATGAAATTTCGGTTGTAACATTATTTTTAGAAAATGCAAAAGTGTGTCGTCACACTTTCTGAACTCCACCTTCGCCTTCATCACACAACGTCACAAAAGTCCGAACCCCTTCCCTCCCCCTGTGAGTGTGGCGTAGCTTATGGACGATTCATAAATATCAAAATAGCTTTTAATGTAAGCACAAATCCTAACCCAACCCCTAACCCAATTCCAACCACAACCCTAACCCTTATGTCTTACCCTAATACTAAACCTGATATCACAATACTTCCAACAACCTAACACACGTATTTTCAGAAGAGTCTATTCCCGGAGACGGGTAACACCAAAACTCCGCGGGGTACGTGATACGTTTGTTTTAACACACACACACACAAAAGAAATTCTATCGTAAAGTTTTTTCAGAAACCTACCCCTTAAGCAGGACCATGTAGACTACTCACCCGTGCAATGTGTCGAGCAATACGCGCTGCCCTCTGTGACGTCATTGGTCCTACCGTCATACTGCCAGTTCACCGGACCTGTGGGGGTTCAGAGGGGGAAAAATGTTAGTGAAATATAACACAAATTTATCGAAGGCAATTGAGGACTCTGCAGTCAAGAGTAATCCTGCTTCAAACGGCAGGGATATTTGAAGTTTTAGTTAGTTTCTTATTAGAGTTAACAAAATTTAAAATTAATTGAGAGGATCTTTATAGACTTGATTCCATTTCTCAAACTACAGGCTTCTATTGTAAGTGATGGTGGATGAGGGTAGTATTTTTCCATTGTGTGAGTATTGAAAATAATTTTCCGAAACCGTAAGTAAAGTATTTAAAACTTGGCACTAAATTTTCTAACGCATAACCTACAGTGTTTCTTCCAGACTTTTTTCTCCAGGGGTGTACTTGATATTTTCAGGGGGTGGGGGGGGGGGGGAGCGGACAACATTTTTCGGGGGTGGGGGGCGGACACTGGTAAAAGTATATGTTCTAAAATTCTAAAATTTTAAATTTTGGCACAATGAAAATCTGGTAGTTACAGCCATAGATAAATATCTTATGGATCTCTTTGCTGATTTCAGCAAGTAGGCCATAAGTGTTGGAAAACTGCAGACCTCCATTTCTAATTTTTGAAAATTTGGGGAAATTATGTATACATTGTTTTTTTTGGCATCATACACTGACCTACATTTATATGCTGTTTTATAGCTCCTAGATTATAACTACCATGGTAAAAATATATGTGTGCATGTACCGGTACAACTACGAGGTGATACTCCCCCCCCCCATTTAAAAAAAAAGAAATATTTCAACACCTAAGAAATCATAACAATTTTTTGCTAGCATACTAACATACCAATTCAGAAATGCTCTTGTCATTTTAATTATAAAATCATATTCTTTATAAAATCATTTTCATTAGGCCTATAAAGTATAAAGGGACATTATTTGTTTACATTTCTTTATAAACTTGCATTGTTTTCTTTTATTATTTGTAATAAACGGGCATTTTTTACTCGATATTTTGTATAAACGGGCATTAATTGTTTACGTTATTTGTAATAAATGGTCATTGTTTTCTGTAGTTGCAATAAAGGGGCATTGCTTGTTTTCATTATTTGTCATAAGCAGGCAAGGTTTGTTTACGTTATTTGTAATATTCAGGAGCTGTTTATATTTCGCACTGGGGCGTTCTCTTATGTCCTCCTTATTCAGTACAAACTTAATTATCATTAAAAGATCATGATCGTCCAAATAGCAATGCAGTCCTATTGGCAAATGAATCTTGTTGGGAATTTACTACAGCTACTCCAATTTTAATAGCATGAATTATCCATAAATAATATTTTACATTAGTGAAAAATACAAAATATGCCGTGCGGAAACAACGAATAAAAACGATAAATGATTGAGCATAGATCATAATTAAGGGTAAAAGATGAAATCAACGACATACAGTTTAGATAGGCTATAGTATATAACTATTGCAAATTTTGTGTCATGGGCGAAACTACCATAAGGCTAAACACCGCAATGTAGGGGAGGGAGGGGATCTGCCGTTTAGGTGGCCCAAAATTGGTCCCCCCCCCCCCCCCCCCAAAAAAAAAGTTTTTAAATTCCAGAATATGCATGCATTTTGTGTAAAAAAAACAATATTCTACATCGGTGATCGTTTTACAGTCACTAACCCATACCTACTGTTGTTACCATTATTGAATAAATTGATGTTGCGTTGACTAAAAAAAAACGCTACACTAACTGTAGTGTGAAAGTTAGGGAAACGTTCAAACTGCTTTCATGACTTATTGCTCTTCTTTTAATAGTCTAATGTGGAGGGGTATGGGGTCATCCATAAATGACGTCACACTCGTAGGGGGGAGGGGGGCTCCGTAATCTTGTGACGATTTGTGATGAGGGGGAGGGGGGGGGGGGTTCAGATGTTGCGACGTCACATTTTTGCATTATAAAAAAAGCAATGTTAGAAAACGAATTTTAGACGTTATTTCGCGTTTTAGATAACTGTTTTAATAAATTGTAATAGTTTAGACAAGATTTTGGAAAAATATCGATGTTTTAAAAAAAATTCAACTGCAACTTTCAGGGGGGGGGGTTGTAGGTTGAGGTGTGACGTCATTTTAGGGGGGGGTCTGGCTTTTTGTGACGACGTGTGACGGAGGGGAGGGGGGAGGTAAAAATCGTCAAAAAAAGCGTGACGTCATTTAATGGATGACCCCTATTATATTCTTGTACTAAACACATTAAAAAAAACCAATTGATTCTCTTATATTATTTAAATAAGACATACAAAATAATGACATAACTGTAAACAGATTTTTTTCTAACTGAATAATATAAATACAAAAAGAACAGTTATGAAAACAAGCACAGGAAACCATTACACATTTCAAGCTTCTGTACTTCCTATACTCTTGACCCGCGTGTGACAATTTATGTTTTGCTTTTATAACTCCATAATTTCAGGCCCTAAGAAAGTTTTTGGGTGTTGTTATTTTTGGTTTCTGTGATAAGGTGTTATTTATTTGGTGATTTATGTCGTAATGGATATATTTTGCAATAAAGTAAGTCAAACTACTAAATTAAGAAATAATTTAATTTTATATTTGGTAAGAATATATTCTTGGGCTCAGATTTTTTTTGCGGGGAGCCTCTCTTTTCTAGTTCTGCCACTGCTATAACAGTTAAGCCTATTTGCAGCATTTAGTTTCAGATTCGTGTTTTATTTCCCATAGATGTATAGGCATTGTAGTATTATCCCCCATCCTATGCTTAAAGTGGACAACACTTTAATAAGTAGAATGAAGTGGGCAAAGCGGATTTCCTCTGTCAAGAAAATAAATTTGGTGTCTCCCCATAAGATGGGGTCACCCAGGTGAGGTCTGAACCCTCACCCCCCAACTTGTTTGGGACGCTACCCATCTCTGTATCGTAACAAGGGCACAGAGAATAGGCGCCATAAATCAAATCAGTCACCTACTTAATACTTTGTCCCATAACCCACGACAAAGATAACGCTTGTGAATTGGAAGCCGATTAGTGGATACATTCAGTTTGATTTTGTTCCAAAAAAGTACGTCTATCGAGCGATCTTGAGTCTTATTTTATACTTATAAAAACGATTTCATTTAAGATCAAACTGCATACGGCTACTTCCGTTAAATCGGTTAGAGTTTACTAAAATAAAGATAAAGGGTCGTCGTATCAGCTAGCCCCGTAGATAGCCATATTGGCCTGATTGCGTATCAAGCTACACTTAAAATCAAACCGACCATCCGCAAGTGTCATCAATTCAACTCGATCACCACTCAGCAAATATTGCTCAGTGTATAGCTGATGCACAGTAAATACTCGGTCAGTAAAAGCCAATAATAACACGATAACATCCGTACAATTTGTCAGGAAAGTCATTCGAATACAAATATTAAGTACTAGAAACATCATACGGGTGCCAGTGGCGTATGCAGTGTAGCGTAAAAAAAAGGGGGTAGGGGTGAGCTCCGCTCACTTAAGGATTTCGAAAGTCATTAAACCCCAATTCTTAGTTATCAATATATATATATATATATATATATATATATATATATATATATATATATATATATATATATATATATATATATATATATATATATATATATATATATATATATATATATATATGGAGTTTGAATATGAAATCTTCCATGCTAAAATCCTGCCTACCCATTTGAGGTCCCACACCCTTCACTGAGGGCTGGATCCGCCTTTATGAAACATCTATAATACCCAACACGATAAAGGTCAGAATATTTTTTAACACACTACTATCAAATAAATAACACATGAATGAAAATGTGAAGTGGTGTATAGATTCTACATTTTTTTTCACCTTTTGTTTCGATTGCAAAAGTAACTAATGTATCGCGAAAATAGTCTGCTCATTTGAAAAACCTAAAGGCCAATTTACATAAATTGCAAACAAAATATTTTTTCTGGTGACATATTCGTGTCTGGCAGAATTTTTATTTTATTTTATAGTTACAGAAGGGGAAACAATCCGTACGGTTATCGTTCTTTGTTGATTACACCGTAGCATCGTGTAGTTTTTGGCCCAGAATTCGTAGTTATCCCATTACAACTTGACTTTTACAATTTATAAGTAAAAATGTATAAGTAAAAGGAAGGTTCCATTTTCGAACCTGAGGGTCCATAGGGCAAGTAAAGCAGAGTTCACCTGTTTTTGTTACCTCGGCATATGAAGAGATAGTGTTTTTACTTTCCTTAACTTTTGAGTTAGAAGTACTTTGCTCTAACTCTAGGCCACACCGTCCAAATGGAGCGTAGCAAAAAAAAAGTTCATCTGTTTTTGTTACCTCGGGATATGAAGAGATAGTGTTTTTACTTTCCTTAACTTTCGAGTTAGAAGCATTTCGCTCTAACTCTAGGCCACACCATCTCAATGGTGCGTAGCAAAAGCAAAATAAATGGCAACGTGATACATGGAACTGATGACAAATAAAAACGCGATAGGTCATACACGCTACTCTTTACTCAATGCAGAAGACAGTGAACCAACCAAGCCACAACAGAGATCATTGGTTTTCGACTCAATACAGTAATGACGATTTGTGAATGGGATTGGTTAATTATGATAACAGAGTGATTAGACTATGTTAAGAAGGGGCTGATTTAGCAACAGTACGTAAAAATGGACATATATGTTCTGGTTTCAACAAATAGTGGGAATAAATGTACTGTCAGGGTCGTATGAACGCAGTTGTCCCGAGTTCAAACCCCCGGGCAGATGAGCCTCAATTGCTGGGGACAGCAACCCATCTAGGAGAGACAACTCCATAATCAAACAATTGCTGCCTTGTAGTTTGTTCTTGGTTGGACAAAGGCTATGGAAGCAAATCCAGGGGAAAAAAAGCAGGCTGAAATCGGAGTCAATAGCCTAAATAGCGCATGACAAGTTGACACGCAATACTTAATTGTTTTGGAGGGAATCCCTTCCAACACTAGAATCAAGAACGAAGAAAAAGAAGTATGCCGAGCATTATTTTGCCTACCTATTTAGGAAGCACAGTAGTATACTGTGGTTTATCTTATAAGCAATGCGCCAATGAGTCTATTTCACAAGCAGAATGGATTAGTTTGTTGTTTGTTTGTTTTGTCTCCTCTCAGCCAAGTTGTTGTTGTTGTTGTTAAAATTACGGGCATGACGGTATAGTAGGATAGTAGAGTTTATGAAGAACCTACTGATGCCTTCTACTTCATCTGTTCCATGTGTGCACGAGTGGGTAACGATGATGATCATGGACCTGCGTTTTAATGTATCCGACTTTAACAGAACTAGAAGTCTTTTATTCCCGTATAGCTGTGAGCTTTTTGCTGTTGGTACTACAACTTCCATGCAAATCAGTAAACTAAAATTGTATACATTTGCTGTGGTTTGTTACCTATTTTTTTTTTTTGTTGACACGCATGGTACTTAACAATATTTAAGATGTTTTTTTTTCTTTTTTCTCCATCTACCTGAGAGTTGGGTAGTGTTAATTAAACTATAGCTGGGTTTTCAGCGCTAATTACGTCTCTGAATAGAAAGACATCATAGTGTCACAGTTCATCGCTCGTGTGTGTGTGTGTGTGTGAGTGCAGAGGCGTAGCGATGGGGGGGAGCAGGGGGGAACATATGTCCCCGGGCGCCGACCTTAGGGGGCGCCAAAATGGGTTGTAAAAACAAATTAAAATGTCAATTTAGCTGTAGTTTGAGGGGGGGGGGGGGAGCAAATCGAAAGTTTGGGGGGGGGGGGGTGAAAATCGAAAAGTTGAGGGGGGATGCAAATTGAAAATTTGCTCCCGACGGGGGCGCCAAATTCAAAGTTTGTCCCCGGGCGCCGTGAAGGGTCGCTACGCCTCTGTGTGAGTGTGTGTGTATGTGTGTGTGTGTGTCGACTCACCCAGTCACGTGCTATTCAGAGATTTGAACTCACCTGACAAGCAGACCGGGAGCGCCAGCAGAAGAAATAATAATGCCTCCATGGGCACTCGCTGAGTTTTTCGGGACCAAAATAACTGCTGGATTTTCTCTTGTCTCTTCGCTAATTCACAAATCCCCTTTTTTTTTCAAAAAAAAAAAAAGAATAAAAACAGTTACCCAAATTAAAATGAAATAATTTTATTTATTTATTTTGTTTATCTAAATACGAAAACTTCTATAACAAAGTAGCAAAAAATCCTAGTGAAAATAAAATATTCACATGAATGAAGTACGTCTGAATACATCACCTCTCGACACCAACTGAAGCAGCGCAAGGTTTCAACTGAGTTCTTCGCCCAAGTGCTGGGCGGTATCACTTGTTACAGTAAGCCACCAAATAGCGCGTAATGATGGGCGATAACTCTGGCTGATAACTTATCTTTCGTGCCCTTTCAATTCGTTCAAATCACTTTCTAAATTTGAAATTAGGGTTAAAATAGGGTTAGTTCTGGTCTATTTTTTAACGATAATTAATAAAGACCTAATTTTGGATGTTATTAATTACTAATCACAAAGATTTTTATTTTTTTAAATATTGGGAGTTGTTGCAAATATGTTGTGCAACCGTGCGGTGTAGTACCGTATCATTCTCACGACGCATGGACCGTATCACTTCATCAGCTGACTCGCGAACCGGAAGCTGCTCAGGAAATCACTTTGTGTCAATGATCTGATGGCCATTGTCTAACTGAATGAGTGTAATTATATTTCTATATCAAAGTCCATCTATTGTCTATGTTTTTCGACTTGCGATGGGAGGGGATTATGTACACGTTGTAATGTTTACGAGAGTTGACGTACACATAAGTGGTACTGGGTGAGGGGGGGGGGGGATTAATTCTGTTTGAGCGTTGTTTACAAGGGACTAGTGTGTAATCAGCATGTTGTTTTACGTTGAGTTGTTATGTCCCATTACCAGTAATAAAAAGGGGAGATAACAAGATTAAGTAGTAGCGACCTCTCGGCTGACTGGTTTCTTGTGTGCGAGTCGATCGTGGGCATATAATTGTCTTTTTTAGAGATCGCAATCTACTGATCGGCGCTTAAAGCAAATATTTTAAGTCGAATGTGGCGTTGAATTCATTAAACAAAAGATTATTAAAAAGTAGAAAACAAAAGAAATATAAAAAACCTTTTACAATAATAAGCTTCTTAAACATGCTTTCATTAATATAAAGTGTGACGGACAGTTCATCAAATCTCTTACATACATTTAGCGAACAATGCTTTAATTATTAGAGCAAGTTTGTTTTATTCAATTTTTTTAAAAGTTTTCATTGCATTTTAAAGCGTATTATTATTATAAACAATTTTTTTTTATTTTGCTTTTTTTTTTTTTAAATATAATTTTTAATATTAAAATGTATTGTAATTATGCATCTTATCTTGAACCTGATGTGTTAATACTGTAGAGAGAAATGGATGTTTTTATATGGAAATCTACAATTGGGGGGGGGGGGGGGGGGGGGAATTATGGTGGGCTGATCTGTGCCGTAGTTCTAGGGGTACTTTTGCGATGGTGTGATACCATGGAAGGAGAATATCGGGGGTGGGGGGGGGGGGCGGTGACAGCACGAAATGGCGTAAGCCATCTATGAACTTCACTCGCCCCCCCCCCCCCGCCAATGTTTCTCCCAGACATTTTTCTCCAGGGGAGCACTTGAAGTTTTCGGGGGGGGGGGGGGGCGGTAGACTTTTTGGGGGGGGGGGGGGCGGACACCGTTAAAAGTTAAAAGTATATATTTTCAATTTCATTTTGTTCGGGGTGGGGGGGGGGGGGCTGGAAGAAGAGATGCCTGGAAGAAACTCTGCCCCCCCCCCCCCCCCCCCCCCCCCCGCAACACTAGTTAATCATAATGTATTTTTACGTTATTTATAGTCATTCATAACTGACGTCATCTTTATTTTTTCTGTGTTGATAATACACTGTATGTTACGTCCGCGATCAAACAATTATTGTAAAGCCTCTTATTGTGTTTTCAATAGGTTTACCTGCTCATCCAAACGTTCTCAAAGCAGAAATTCAGCCATAAGGGAACAGAAAATATATTTAGGTGATGTATTACATTGCTTTAATCTCTAACACTCCTATCCCTTATAACAAGCCGTAAAGAAATGGTTTGACCACCCTTTTATTAGTGCTTGGCATCATGTGTACAGAGGCGTAGCGAGGGGGGGGCGGGGGGGGGGGGGACATATGTCCCCGGGCGCCGACCTTAGGGGGCGCCAAAATGGGTTGGAAAAATAAATTGAAAGGTTGAGAGGGGGTGCAAATCGAAATCTTGAGGGGGGGGGGGGGGGTGCAAATGGAAAGTTTGTCCCCGGGCGCCGGGAAGGGTCGCTACGCCTCTGCTTGTGTACAAGACTCTAACAGATTGAGCTGCTGAAGGCCGATTTTTCTACACGCCCTAGTTTGTGACGCTACTTGTCACGTGGTACCTAGTTCCGTGAAACTACACACGACTCGGGATTCTCGCTCCATTTTATTTGAACCTTTTGTAATACCAATTAATCAACTAATAATTTGAGAAATTATATTTTAATAGAGAAAACGGCCAAATTATCTCTAGAATAAAAACGCACGTATCACTGTAATTATATTCTGAAGATAAAACACATCGTCGATATTAGGATTTGAAATAATTGAATAATTTTCTATCGTTTTAATTCATCTTAGAATAAAAATAATACAGCCGTTTAATTAAAGTGGTACTTATAAGTACCGCCAGTAGATAAAGGGTAGGATGGGTCTTTGATTTGGTCCTGTTCCCGAACTGGATAAAATCTCCGGGTCAGCATTACTGCTGGGCACGCTCTACGCGTAGATTACATTTAATTTTATCCACAGCATTGAAAGCACTCCACAGTAAAAAAAAATATATTTTTTTTTACGAAAAGAAAACTGAAACTGTTACCCGTAGATGTAAGCTCGCCGTTCTGCCCAGGGTGAGAGAGACCATAGATAATTTTAATGAAAGACCAGCAGTGCAACATTAACGACTAATTAAGTAATTTTCTGTTTTATAAACATCTTGACATTAGGTTAGGTTTGCCTGTCTCCCCTCTTGAAACATAGGCCGCTGACAAGAGCTTTTCCAGGCATCTCTGTCCTGGGCTAGTCTCTCCAACTGTCCCCAGGTCTATCCAATTTCTTTGTGTCTTCTTCCAGGTCAACTCTCCGTGTCTTTCTTTGCCTGCCTCTCCTCCTCCTGCCCTGTGGATTCCAGGTGAGGGCCTGTCTTGTTATGCTTGATACATGCTTCCTGAGTGTGTGGCCAATCCATTTCCATTTTCTCTGGAGGATCTCTACTTCAGCTGGCAGTTGATTTGTCCGTTGCCATAGAACATCGTTTCTGATGGTTTTTGGCCAGAAAATTCGCAAGATCTTTCTAAGGCATGCGTTTATAAATGATTTAGCTCCATAGAGTAAAACAGGTTTTGACTGTTTTAGAACAATGCGAAAACAATTTGTTTTTTTTACTATTTGAGACGCTTATTGTTGTATTACTTGAAAAACTAACACCTAAATTTATCTGTAACAATTCAAATATCTCGAAATATAGATCTACTGTCACAATATTTTTTCCTCATTTTGGAGAAAACATCTCTTTTCATCATGCCTCGTGTAGTATATACACCCAAGAGGCCAAGTGGATGCCAGCAAAGAAACTAAAACGAAAAAGTATGGAATCCTTTAATTACTGCCAGTGTCGATGCTTCAATATTTCAATGAAACCTTTTTGTGACTTTTTTCGGTGACTTTTTTCCTAAGACTTATTTCCCGTTCACCGTGTGGGCCGTGGGCCTGCCTAAGGCCTAAATTAATCCATCTCCAAAAAAAAGAGCATTCAGGGGGAAGCCACTCTTTTTCTGTTGTCTTGGAAACTTATCTTACTTAGGCGTAACGGAATTTTTACATATTTCATAATAAAATAGATATAGCCTAGATTAGATCTAGAGTATATTAATTCATTTTAAAGTGTTGAGATAGAAATGATAACGAAAAAGAAAAACCAATAACGGAGTAGAATCTAAATCTGGTAGGCCTTACATCTACTAGTTAGCCTAGATATAAATAATGTAGTTACTGGTCTGGTTAGTATAGTTAGTTACTAGTTACTAGTTAGTTAGCTAAGTTAGGTAATCTAATATTACTAATAAATCTATCCAATCACCAATGATTCAATGTATTATGAATGTACTTATTGTACTATGTATCATTTTAGTCATTTTAGGTACGTAAAATTAAAATCGCCCGCGGCTAGTAATGTACGTAAAATTACCTTATTTTCAAGACTTTAATAGAAGTAGATCTATATTGTGATATATTTGTGTCAGATATTTTAGATAAATGAATAATAAACCTAAATCAATGGCTAAATAATTAATATATCAATATATATTATATAGGCAAGAAATTAACTTTAAACAGCACTGTTTGCGAGCAGGATTTGCTATATAATAGTATATAAAAAGCGGCCATCTGTAAGTTAGAGTGGCTTCCCCTGAATCTTGCGCTATAAGTTTACAATTAAAAAAAATAAACAAGATTGCTGCTATAGTAAATGAGCATGATTGTATCTGTTGGGAACATCGCTAGTCTTCATTTATTACTGAAAAGTTTTAATTCAATTGTTTAAAAACAGGTACATAAATGAAACAAAGAAATATTTTTGTATTTTTCAAAACATCAATCCTCCTCAAAATGTGAAATAATTATTAAAATTTAAGGAGTCACCTGTTTTTCACATTACAAGTCGCTGGCGATTTTAGTACCTAAAACGATATGTTACGTCCGGGTTAGCTTCGAATTCAAGAACAACACTTCGTGTATAACTTCACTACTTTTATTCGTCTCACTGCATTCAAGCGTCCCATAACAACCCTCGTCCTAACCGCTACTAACCCGCTGACTGTCCCCCCCCAATCGTTCACTCGCCCTTTTATACCCGCATTCGACCTTGGGACCACAAGACATAAACACACAAGGGTAACTACACAGTAGGGTGAACTCCACTCACACACGCTCTCTCCCCTAGTTCTAGACTATTCTAAACTATTCTAATCTAACCTACAACTGGCCCGTAACACTACCCCCCACCTAAGTATTTGTAGTAATAACTACAAATACTGACTAACAAATCCTAGCTAAATAAAAAAACACAAAGCCTTTCATGCACATACACTAGTTAAAAAATATACATACACAAAAAACATACACAAGTTAAAAATATACATTCCGAAGAATGTATATGACAGATTGTATATACAATGAAATACATAATGACAACATACAGAACTGCTACAATTTCGAGCTAGCACAAATCATTCGTGTAACTAACAAACAATAAAAAAATCATACACACCCAGTTGCATCGTACCGAATCTAAGAACTTTCCAGACCAAAATTTTTTGAGCCTACCCTGTGCGCTCTCTGGCTACACTGGTTTACGACTCCTACCCATATCTCAACCATTCTACATCACACAAAAATTTGAGTCAACCTGCGCTCTATGGCTACACTGGTTTACAACTCCTACCTATATCTCAACCATTCTACATCACAAAAATTTGAGTCAACCTGCGCTCTATGGCTACACTGGTTTACGACTCCTACCTATATCTCAACCATTCTACATCACAAAAATTTGAGTCAACCTGCGCTCTATGGCTACACTGGTTTACGACTCCTACTCATATCTCAACCATTCTACATCACTAAAAAAATCAAATAGAGTCCACCCTGTGCGCTCTATGGCTACACTGGTTTACGACTCCTACCTATATCTCAACCACTCTACATCACAAAAAATTTGAGTCAACCTGCGCTCTATGGCTACACTGGTTTATGACTCCTATTCATATCTCAACCATTCTACATCCCAAAAAATTTGAGTCAACCTGCGCTCTATGGCTACACTGGTTTACGACTCCTACCTATATCTCAACCATTCTACATCCCAAAAATTTTGAGTCAACCTGCGCTCTATGGCTACACTGGTTTACGACTCCTACTCATATCACAACCATTCTACATCACCAAAAAATCAAATTGAGTCTACCCTGTGCGCTCTATGGCTACACTGGTTTACGACTCCTACCTATATCTCAACCATTCTACATCCCAAAAATTTTGAGTCAACCTGCGCTCTATGGCTACACTGGTTTACGACTCCTACTCATATCACAACCATTCTACATCACAAAAATTTTGCAACTCACAGTCGATGTTGTTACATACTCTGTCAAACAGCTATAGCGTCGGGCTAACGGCATCCCCACAGCATCCAGCAAACGTCAGGACAGCAACCGGCAAACGTCAGGACAGCAACCGGCAAACATCAGGACAGCAACCGGCAAACATCAGGACAGCAACCGGCAAACATCAGGACAGCAACCGGCAAACATCAGGACAGCAACCAGCAAACATCAGGAAAGCAACCGGCAAACATCAGGACAGCAACCGGCAAACATCAGGACAGCAACCGGCAAACATCAGGACAGCAACCGGCAAACATCAGGACAGCAACCGGCAAACATCAGGACAGCAACCGGCAAACATCAGGACAGCAACCGGCAAGCATCAGGACAGCAACCGGCAAGCATCAGGACAGCAACCGGCAAGCATCAGGACAGCAACCGGCAAACATCAGGACAGCAACCGGCAAACATCAGGACAGCAACCGGCAAACGTCAGGACAGCATCCGACAAACGACAGGACAGCATCAGGAAAACGACAGGACAGCATCAGGCAAACGACAGGACAGCATCAGGCAAACGACAGGACAGCATCAGGCAAACGACAGGGCAGCATCAGGCAACGGCAGGACAGCATCAGGCAAACATCAGGACAGCATCAGGCAAACGTCAGGACAGCATCAGGCAAACGACAGGACAGCGTCAAGTTTATGCTTCTACTTGATTCATACTGGCCACCAGTTGTTACGTTCTGGGTTCGTTTCAAATCAACAACAACACTTCGTGTATAACTTCACTACTTTTATTCGTCTCACTGCATTCAAGCGTCCCATAACAACCCTCGTCCTAACCGCTACTAACCCGCTGACTGTCCCCCCCCAATCGTTCACTCGCCCTTTTATACCCGCATTCGACCTTGGGACCACAAGACATAAACACACAAGGGTAACTACACAGTAGGGTGAACTCCACTCACACACGCTCTCTCCCCTAGTTCTAGACTATTCTAAACTATTCTAATCTAACCTACAACTGGCCCGTAACACGATAGATTACCTTATATTTTAAAAAGTATTTTACCTTTTTTTGATTAGGAAAATTTCAAAACTAGACTTTACTAGACCATTGTCGTACCTCGCAAAAGGTTAACATTGATTTTTGTAATTAGCATGTCATATATTGGAATTATTTGTATTTAGAGTAGGCCCATATCTAAATCTATAGTTAACAGTTAACTGGCAGTAACCCTGCCTTTATCACAACTAGTTCTACTTTCTCTGTAAATGTTTATTTGTCACAATTAATTTTGAAAGTCAGGGATGTCCCCAGCTTTAATGCTATTGATTTTATGGACTATTACCAAAAAGCCAGTTTTTTTTTTTAATTTACCATATCCAGTTAGTAGGTACTCTTTAAAAGTGTTAGTTCTTTTTCCTTCAGTTTTCATGAAAAACTTATGCATTTTGTTTTCATATTGTACGGATGAACCCAGTTATTAATAGAATCATGCAGAATAGTAACAAAAATAAAAAAAATGACAAAAACCATTGCTCTTTGCCACCAGATAAATAATATGGCAGTATGGTTATGGTGGTTTGGATTACAAAAATTAAATAATTTAAAATTATTTTACATTTAAGAATTTATCATGCACAGGTATCCAGCACCAACATTGGACTTCTAACAGTCTCTTGACTTATGGATAAAAAAGTCAGCTGGATCATACTTTTCCTGGTTTCAGTGTTGTATGATGATAATTGTAAGTTGTACTTAGTTGTATGGGTTATAAAAAAGTTGATTCTGGCTAGTTGGGCCAAGTTCTAAAATAATTTTGTTTCTAATAATACAAATACAACAGGCAAGTCAGACTAGCATTCTCTATATTACCAGATAAATTGTGATGTATGAAACAGCCTTAAATGTTATGATGAACTTTATTGTGCTTTGACAGGGCAAACAAGAACTACTGTTATCTAACAACTTGGTTAATAAAAATTACAACTTTGAAATAAATTACCAATCAACAAGGTTAAGCAATAACTTAAACTAACGGAAAACATTATGCCATCTATTCTAATATTTCTGGCTATATGAATTGAGCAACCTCATAATGATAGCAAACTGGCTGTTGGTAGAAATGGTATGGATGAACATCAGAGCAGCTGATCTGATTAACTGATAACATAATTAATCAGATATGACTATTTATAATTTATATGATTATGTAAATGCCCAAACACTAATTAGGCTACAACTTTAGGTTGGTTTATGACTGTTAATAAATAGCAAGGCTATAAAATTTTCATATTTACAGTTTAGATCTTTTATATTTTTTCTTTACCACCACATTCAAACCCTGGTATCACTAATAAATATAATTTAGTCCTTGTGGTTTTTGCTAATTACAGAGTTAGCAGAACTGCTATCCTAACCCTGGCCTTATCCCTATCCCAAACCAAATCCTCACCAGACAACATTGATTTGGCATTATTGCAACCATAACCCTGACCTTGTCTTTATCCTTAACCAAATCCTAACCACACCAAAAAAGAGTTGGCTTTATTGCTATGCTAACTCTAGCCTTATCCCTATCCCTGCCCTTAACCATATCCTAACCATACCAGATAACATTCAGTTGGCATTATTGCTATCCTAACCCTGGCCTTATCCCTAACCATAGCCAAATCCAAACCTTACCAGAAAACACTGAAGTAACATACAAATACATGTCTGTGAACCTCTCCCCAGATGTTTCCACTGTTACCATTTGGTCCATGCCTCGCGAGGTTAATTCAGGGGATACCTACTTTGCAATGGTGCCTTTCAAGTTTGACGTGCCACCTGGTCTTACCTACATGAACATGTCTATTCAGGTAGCCAGGAGCCACGCAGAATGCGAAGACAGGACAGTCACAGTGTAGGTGTCACCTGTCTTGTGGATGTTTGTAGTCCACAGATTTGATGCTCTCTTTTTTAAAGTAAAAGTGTATTTTCTTAAAGTAAAAGTGTATTTTTTAAAAGTAAAAGTGTATTTTTTTAAAAGTAAAAGTGTATTTTTTTAAAGTAAAAGTGTACTTTTTAAAAGTAAAAAGATCATACAATGGTAACTTAGTTTATTAACCTGCCAGGTGTGAAGTAACCCAGGGTGTCACCCCACCCCACACACACACTCAACCCATGACTATATATCTGTTGTACTAAAACTTATTTGGTTTCACCCCCAACCTGGATAGTATCACCCTGTTTCTAATGTGTTGCCACCCCCCCCCCCCATTTTGGATGGTATCTCCCTGTTCCTAATGTGTTGTCACCCCCCATTGTGGATGGTATCACCCTGTTCCTAATGTGTTGTCACCCCCCCCCCCCCCCTTGTGGATGGTATCACCCTGTTCCTAATGTGTTGTCACCCCCCATTGTGGATGGTATCACCCTGTACCTAATGTGTTGTCACCCCCCCCCCATTGTGGATGGTATCACCCTGTTCCTAATGTGTTGTCACCCCCCCCCCATTGTGGATGGTATCACCCTGTTCCTAATGTGTTGTCACCCCCCATTGTGAATGGTATCACCCTGTTCCTAATGTGTTGTCACCCCCCATTGTGGATGGTATCACCCTGTACCTAATGTGTTGTCACCCCCCCCCCCCATTTTGGATGGTATCTCCCTGTTCCTAATGTGTTGTCACCCCCCCCCCCCCCATTGTGGATGGTATCACCCTGTTCCTAATGTGTTGTCACCCCCCATTGTGGATGGTATCACCCTGTTCCTAATGTGTTGTCACCCCCCCCCCCCCCATTGTGGATGGTATCACCTTGTTCCTAATGTGTTGTCACCCCCCATTGTGGATGGTATCACCCTGTTCCTAATGTGTTGTCACCCCCCCCATTGTGGATGGTATCACCCTGTTCCTAATGTGTTGTCACCCCCCCCCCCCCCCCATTGTGGATGGTATCACCCTGTTCCTAATGTGTTGTCACCCCCCATTGTGGATGGTATCACCCTGTTCCTAATGTGTTGTCACCCCCCCCATTGTGGATGGTATCACCCTGTTCCTAATGTGTTGTGACCCCCCATTGTGGATGGTATCACCCTGTTCCTAATGTGTTGTGACCCCCCCCCCCTTGTGGATGGTATCACCCTGTTCCTAATGTGTTGTCACCCCCCCCCCCCTTGTGGATGGTATCACCCTGTTCCTAATGTGTTGTCACCCCCCCCCCCCCCCCCCATTGTGGAGGGTATCACCCTGTTCATAATGTGTTGTGACCCCCCCCCCCTTGTGGATGGTATCACCCTGTTCCTAATGTGTTGTCACCCCCCCCCCCCCCATTGTGGATGGTATCACCCTGTTCCTAATGTGTTGTCACCCCCCATTGTGGATGGTATCACCCTGTTCCTAATGTGTTGTGACCCCCCATTGTGGATGGTATCACCCTGTTCCTAATGTGTTGTGACCCCCCCCCCCTTGTGGATGGTATCACCCTGTTCCTAATGTGTTGTCACCCCCCCCCCCCTTGTGGATGGTATCACCCTGTTCCTAATGTGTTGTCACCCCCCCCCCATTGTGGATGGTATCACCCTGTTCATAATGTGTTGTGACCCCCCCCCCCCTTGTGGATGGTATCACCCTGTTCCTAATGTGTTGTCACCCCCTCCCCATTGTGGATGGTATCTCCCTGTTCCTAATGTGTTGTCACCCCCTCCCCATTGTGGATGGTATCACCCTGTTCCTAATGTGTTGTCACCCCCCATTGTGGATGGTATCACCCTGTTCCTAATGTGTTGTCACCCCCCATTGTGGATGGTATCTCCCTGTTCCTAATGTGTTGTCACCCCCCATTGTGAATGGTATCACCCTGTTCCTAATGTGTTGTCACCCCCCATTGTGGATGGTATCACCCTGTTCCTAATGTGTTGTCACCCCCCCCCCCATTGTGGATGGTATCACCCTGTTCCTAATGTGTTGTCACCCCCCATTGTGGATGGTATCACCCTGTTCCTAATGTGTTGTCACCCCCCCCCATTGTGGATGGTATCACCCTGTTCCTAATGTGTTGTGACCCCCCATTGTGGATGGTATCACCCTGTTCCTAATGTGTTGTCACCCCCCATTGTGGATGGTATCTCCCTGTTCCTAATGTGTTGTCACCCCCCATTGTGGATGGTATCACCCTGTTCCTAATGTGTTGTGACCCCCCATTGTGGATGGTATCACCCTGTTCCTAATGTGTTGTGACCCCCCCCCCCTTGTGGATGGTATCACCCTGTTCCTAATGTGTTGTCACCCCCCCCCCTTGTGGATGGTATCACCCTGTTCCTAATGTGTTGTCACCCCCCCCCCCCCATTGTGGATGGTATCACCCTGTTCATAATGTGTTGTGACCCCCCCCCCTTGTGGATGGTATCACCCTGTTCCTAATGTGTTGTCACCCCCCATTGTGGATGGTATCACCCTGTTCCTAATGTGTTGTCACCCCCCCATTGTGGATGGTATCACCCTGTTCCTAATGTGTTGTGACCCCCCATTGTGGATGGTATCACCCTGTTCCTAATGTGTTGTGACCCCCCCCTTGTGGATGGTATCACCCTGTTCCTAATGTGTTGTCACCCCCCCCCCCTTGTGGATGGTATCACCCTGTTCCTAATGTGTTGTCACCCCCCCCCCCCATTGTGGATGGTATCACCCTGTTCCTAATGTTTTGTCACCCCCCATTGTGGATGGTATCACCCTGTTCCTAATGTGTTGTCACCCCCCCATTGTGGATGGTATCACCCTGTTCCTAATGTGTTGTGACCCCCCATTGTGGATGGTATCACCCTGTTCCTAATGTGTTGTGACCCCCCCCCCTTGTGGATGGTATCACCCTGTTCCTAATGTGTTGTCACCCCCCCCTTGTGGATGGTATCACCCTGTTCCTAATGTGTTGTCACCCCCCCCCCCATTGTGGATGGTATCACCCTGTTCATAATGTGTTGTGACCCCCCCCCCTTGTGGATGGTATCACTCTGTTCCTAATGTGTTGTCACCCCCCCCCCCCATTGTGGATGGTATCACCCTGTTCCTAATGTGTTGTCACCCCCCATTGTGGATGGTATCACCCTGTTCCTAATGTGTTGTGACCCCCCATTGTGGATGGTATCACCCTGTTCCTAATGTGTTGTGACCCCCCCCCCCCTTGTGGATGGTATCACCCTGTTCCTAATGTGTTGTCACCCCCCCCCCCCTTGTGGATGGTATCACCCTGTTCCTAATGTGTTGTCACCCCCCCCCCATTGTGGATGGTATCACCCTGTTCATAATGTGTTGTGACCCCCCCCCCCCCCTTGTGGATGGTATCACCCTGTTCCTAATGTGTTGTCACCCCCCTCCCCATTGTGGATGGTATCTCCCTGTTCCTAATGTGTTGTCACCCCCTCCCCATTGTGGATGGTATCACCCTGTTCCTAATGTGTTGTCACCCCCCATTGTGGATGGTATCACCCTGTTCCTAATGTGTTGTCACCCCCCCCCCCATTGTGGATGGTATCACCCTGTTCATAATGTGTTGTGACCCCCCCCCCCCTTGTGGATGGTATCACCCTGTTCCTAATGTGTTTTCACCCCCTCCCCATTGTGGATGGTATCTCCCTGTTCCTAATGTGTTGTCACCCCCCTCCCCATTGTGGATGGTATCACCCTGTTCCTAATGTGTTGTCAACCCCCATTGTGGATGGTATCACCCTGTTCCTAATGTGTTGTCACCCCCCATTGTGGATGGTATCTCCCTGTTCCTAATGTGTTGTCACCCCCCATTGTGAATGGTATCACCCTGTTCCTAATGTGTTGTCACCCCCCCATTGTGGATGGTATCACCCTGTTCCTAATGTGTTGTCACCCCCCCCCCATTGTGGATGGTATCACCCTGTTCCTAATGTGTTGTCACCCCCCCCCCCATTGTGGATGGTATCACCCTGTTCCTAATGTGTTGTCACCCCCCATTGTGGATGGTATCACCCTGTTCCTAATGTGTTGTGACCCCCCCATTGTGGATGGTATCACCCTGTTCCTAATGTGTTGTCACCCCCCCCATTGTGGATGGTATCACCCTGTTCCTAATGTGTTGTCACCCCCCATTGTGAATGGTATCACCCTGTTCCTAATGTGTTGTCACCCCCCATTGTGGATGGTATCACCCTGTACCTAATGTGTTGTCACCCCCCCCCCCATTTTGGATGGTATCACCCTGTTCCTAATGTGTTGTCACCCCCCCCCTCATTGTGGATGGTATCACCCTGTTCCTAATGTGTTGTCACCCCCCATTGTGGATGGTATCACCTTGTTCCTAATGTGTTGTCACCCCCCATTGTGGATGGTATCACCCTGTTCCTAATGTGTTGTCACCCCCCCATTGTGGATGGTATCACCCTGTTCCTAATGTGTTGTCACCCCCCCCCCCCCATTGTGGATGGTATCACCCTGTTCCTAATGTGTTGTCACCCCCCATTGTGGATGGTATCACCCTGTTCCTAATGTGTTGTCACCCCCCCATTGTGGATGGTATCACCCTGTTCCTAATGTGTTGTGACCCCCCATTGTGGATGGTATCACCCTGTTCCTAATGTGTTGTGACCCCCCCCCTTGTGGATGGTATCACCCTGTTCCTAATGTGTTGTCACCCCCCCCCCCCTTGTGGATGGTATCACCCTGTTCCTAATGTGTTGTCACCCCCCCCCCCCATTGTGGAGGGTATCACCCTGTTCATAATGTGTTGTGACCCCCCCCCCCCTTGTGGATGGTATCACCCTGTTCCTAATGTGTTGTCACCCCCCATTGTGGATGGTATCACCCTGTACCTAATGTGTTGTCACCCCCCCCATTGTGGATGGTATCACCCTGTTCCTAATGTGTTGTCACCCCCCCCATTGTGGATGGTATCACCC